AATATATGGATATATCACTACTATATTACGTGTAACGTATTAACGAAATGAATTAGTGATATGTTAAGGCTAGTGGGAATATAACAAGTGTGATATATCAATATAACATCGTTGTGACTCTTACCGTTATGCACAAATTCTAAGCTCACAACTTCATCTTCCTGGAGCTATAAACGTTCTACTGAATACACAATTTTACACTGATCGTTTGCTAGTTTTAACGCTTAAGCATACTAAGGGTAATGAGTGAGCAGCCCTGTTTACTAAACTGATCTGCTTCATTACATGCTTCGCGCACTATACTTAAGTATATTATAATTCTATCGACTAAACTTAGTTATACGATAACCAAGAATACTAAACTAACTATGTGTCGCAATAATTGTTTCATTTGCACAGAAATGTTACTCAAAGTAGTTAGATGTAGATAATTAAGCCTATAAACCCAAAACACGAACTATAGGCTAGATAGAATTACTTAAAAGAAGATAAACGATATTGTTTTGAAACTGAAGACAACAGTCACTTGCTCAAAAAAACAGACCTTCCTCAGGTAACGTTACTCATTGTTGGTCTACTTGAAAGAAATCAACGATGTTATTAATTTTGTAGTGGCATTGGACCATAACCACACAATCCTCAAAGGTGAAGACGAGATTACTCAGAAAACAGATATTCAAGATTTAATGCGGAGAAATACCGAACGATGTAGAAGGAGCGAACAATGGATTGAATGAATTGGAGTTGATCGAATGGCATGGCTCGGTCATGCAGGCGTGGTCCCTTTTGAATATTACCTTATATCTTTTATTCATATCAAATATATGGTTATTTCTCTAGCCTAAGCTTGTTCTTCATCATATATTGGTAGTTGTTACGATACAGTGAGTTGGTGTAGACGATTATGTGAATTCCATTTAAGATCTTATAGATTAAGCGGTTATATCATGACAAATCTACAATTTTAGGATTAGGTCTATTGTTAGAGCAGTACTAATATCATAGTAGATCAAAATTCTACAAACTTACTATGACTTAGGATATTGTTCCAGCATAAAACGCACGTCCGTAGTAACGCAATCGAACGTGGCAATTAAAAATTACAACCAAAGCAAAATTCACAGCATAATCTAGTTCTTTAATAAAAAATACAACATAATACGACAAATTCTATGACTACATGAACGTAAACATGACCATTATTACACTTGGCGATATGATAGGTTTACGTAAAAACGTTGCGTTTTAATCCACCATATCCTATTCAATACATGTCTGAAACTCATTTCGGTCTGACGATAAATATTGGGTCATACTTGATCACATCGAGTTAGCGCATTCGCCTTTTCCACTTTGCTTCGCCTTCCCTCTTCTTATTTTGAATGTCTATCTGTAGTAACGACTGTTTGACATAAATCCATCCGACTCAACACATTTGGCTTCTTGTTACAACTGACACACAAACGGGCTTATTGTAGGTAATATACCGGGTTAAATGGAAGATATGTGCTCATAGAATATTCGTGAGATTAAACAGGAGTCAGATACATGGGCTAGTCAAGAATGTTTAAAAAATGTGACTGAACAAACTCTTATTTACACCCCACTTTTTTCACCTACCTTGTCATTCATTTTGTCAGCAAACCGCAAGGCATGATAAATACTCGGCTGACATCTACGAGAGCGTAGAATCTGTAACAAAATGTGTTGCGCGACCAACAGACCAAAAGTATGAAAACTATCAATAAAGCTTGCGTTGTTAGTGTAACATTGGCCCCTTCAATAAATTTTTTTATGAACAAACTAAGCAATCTTTTTATACGTGTTTACCACTATCTTCCAGTCAAACGGCTGGATAAAAGGAAGAATAAAATGAATTACAGCATTCATCAACTTCTCCTTTACTATGATATACATTGTGATTTTTCAGAACACTCACAATCGTTGGAACGCGGCATACTAACTCCCATGTACTCCACATAAACTAGTCCTTTTACAACCCTTTTTATATTTTCAGTTTTCAATACAACTAAGCAGGCTTCTTCTTTATAACATGATAGACTCAGAAAAAAGCTAGCGTAACCAGAATCATAGTACTTTCTTTCAACCTGTTGAACTCACCAGAATTGTTGTTATCGTCGGTTGACTAGAGTTAATAGAATCTGCTCAGAATTTGGAATGTTTCGATGACATGGAGATGTGGATTTTGGACTATAACTCTACTTGGATGTGTGAGATATGTTGCAGAACATTGTAAAGAGGTATGTATAGACAGATATTTGGCCGAACGTTGTTGTTAAACTGTTAGTCTACTGTTTCTGTTATATTGGGAGTGGAGAAATGATTTGGGACGAGTTAGTGGTTGACGTGTTTTAGTGCATGCTGTAACCATCCCCTATAGTGACCTCAAAGGCATTAGTTCAAATACGCGTTTTATCTACTTTTATAATACAAGTGATGTGATTATTGTTTATAGACTGGAAATAGCATAAAATGGTTTGCCAATCTATTTTATCGAATAACCACTACCATATTAAGAAACCCTCGAGATCTAAACTCAATGCTAAGGAATATACACAACCTAATTTTATGCTACCTGTTTTCGACTATGAGCGACACCAACCCTCATGGAGGAGTGAAATTCCACATTTTTCAGTTAACACCAAAAATGGTTTACAGGGAGAACCACAACTCGGTGTTTTGGAGGAGATCAGCAAAAGTATTTATTTCACTTTGCAATTGTCTAAAATGTTTATTAAACCTTTAGAAGACAAAAGAAAAAGGAAGAAGGATGTGTTTGAGCCCCCTGAAACAAACGTTAAGCGAAAGGCTGGTGAAAGCTTTCGCCTGGGACTTGTAGATTTGATAACGTATGTTTTTGTTTACTTGCCTAATGTAGTTAAATAAGTCGTGGTGAAGATGCAGCTGTTGATACATGTGGTGAGCTAAAAACGATCTTCAGTAAAAATTCGACGTTGTCTACGCCTGATGTCGGCCCAGTTAAAAGTATCGCTGAAAAAGAAAAGAAAATTTTGGCAAGTTATTGATTTAAGTCGTGTCTAAATATTGTAGAGGTTTTATTACTACATCTATAATGGCATTAATACTGACGACGTGGCTCCAATGGATGGTGAATGGATGCAGCGTGTTGTTTCTTCAATTAAAGCGGATTTTAATGTATGCATTTTCGTTTTTTAAATGCATATACGTATGTTAATGTGCTTCCGTACCATTTGAGAATGTTCGAGCAAAATCTCAGGATTTATTGTGGCTTTATTATTAACTGACCGCAGAATGCATTAATTTCCTTATGCTTTAAATTTTTGAAATTTTCGGACTAAGCACTATAGAGACAAGGAGGAAAGCACTTGTGTTATTTATTCCTAGCATTTTAGTTTATAAATCCACTCTTCTCTTGAATGAGTGAACCAAGGGATCAAAACATCATTTCTTTCAGTCGTGAATCACAGGGTTTCATTACATGATAGTGAAAACATTTGAACCATGATTAATACCTAGTTTCTAAATCTCTAGCTTCATCTAAGTTGTTCTAACCTTGTTGGGAATATCTTACACGTCCCTACCTTGATCTGATAGAATATTACTTAAGTAATGATAAACTGAATAAGCTCTTTGAAGTCTTGATGCTACGTCCCCATATCAATTTAAAACCGAACAAACAGGAATGAACTTATGGTCTATACTGTGACAGATTTTAAATCGCAATACTGGGTTATTTCAATTCGTAATCCCTAAAATCCTAGCCTCATGTGAAAATTAAGGGAAGAAATCTATGAATTCTCAACAGTTTTATTCAAACTTCACGCCTAAACATGTCTTCAGGGGTATTTTTAAAAATATATTTATATTGCAAGTTAGCGGACAATATAAGTAAGTAAAAAATCATTAGAGAACAAATGAGATGCTTCTGTTTGGTCATTCAATTCAATACTCCTTGAATTACTAATAAGTTCCCAAAACAAATAGGGACGTTCAAAGTTAAGGCTATTTAAAAGTTGTAAGTGACAATAACAGATGATCCCTCGATGTTTTGTGAAAAAATTACCCTTCAGTCTTTTATAAACGTTAGTATGACGTTTTACATTATCTCAAAGCACTCATAAACCATCCCCATTATTTTGCTTTGGAAACTTTCAGTGATTTTGTACACGGTGCCCTTCAAAAGGTAGACTTGACTTAATCTCTTGTGAGTGGATCCCAGCATTTTATTCGAAGTTGTAGATGGACATGTATACCTTAAGCATTTACTTGGAATTCGCATTTACATAAGAGTGCAAGATTTTATCACATTTGTGTGCCAATTCGTTCTATTCCTGTTTTGTTTGTTCAACCTGCATCCATAATTTTTGTGCGGCAACCTGCAACAACGCCAATGTGTGTAAACTCTTAATGACAATCACGTTTAAAGTTTCTACTGACATAGCTAAGTGGAGTAATGTATACTTGAGTCCTACTTGACATCAAAATAAAATTTTTTAGCCAATAAACCCGAAAAAGCATGTTTTTTACACTTTCCTGACGTAGCTGCCATCCTGTTACTCTTGTTTACTATCATAAAGTTTGCAATCCTAACTTAACAAGATAGTGATTACTACACATTATTATTTTGTAGACTATTGTTTTGATACACATAAGGCCAACAAACATTAATTTGGATACTCCATACAATCGTTTGTTCGAGCCCCACAACTTGGTTTATGCTGAATTACACTGCTTTATAAATGATCACTTGTTCTATCGATCTTACCTACTTCACCTTGGAAACATTAATCCTAAAAGACTTGGCCTGGGCAAAACACGAACATTTTCAGTCCATTTATATTAGAAATTTCTATCTCTTTTAGCCTTATTTTTGCTGTCAGTATGAAACAATCACTGAAAAATGAGAAGAACTAGTTTATAAAATTGAAGAAATTTGTAAAAAGAGAAACTAATAGTTTTCAGTAATTCCATCAATTTTTTTCCAGAAATTTACCAACATGGCCCTACTGGAAGAGCTGGAGGATGAAATACGCAAGGATTATTTACTTAGTGTGAAGAAAGCCATTGTAAACTTTGTTTTCGATGATTCGTCAGATAAAAAACAAGCTTCATATGGGTCAGACATAATTTCGGACAAAAATGCCGAAGAACACAGCGTGTCAGAGTATCGCAAAGAGTTAGATACTGTACCAAAACCATGGCATCCAACGTTCTTGTCAGCGTATAAATACTGTCAAAGAAATTTATTTATAACAAACATCTGTATTCATCAATTATTGAATTTATGGTACACTAAATTTGCGTAAGTCAATTTCTCGTAAATCCTATATATTTGCTCTTATGGTGAAAAATATAGTATACTATATTTCCGGTGTCTCAAAACAGTATAGTTTTGTGTAAACATTGCATGAACTAAACCTTCGAGATCAGTTGCTTAGTTTCCGATTCTCATTTACATCGTACCAAGAATTCAAGATTTTAATCAGTAATGTGTTCAGGTGCTACGATTTTACATATTTGTATCGCCTACAAATTTAGTAAATTATGATTTCTGATCAGCTAGTAAATGTGAGATGTTCATTTTTTAATTTCTGGTATAAACTAGAAGTAGGTTGTCATTACCATACCAATTTTAGGCAAGTTAACTTTTAAACCCACAGTAAACAAATTTGGTTTTCATACCCTAATTAATTTTCTAATAATCACAAAACTTTTTTTATCCTAGCGACTTAAGACTAATCGATATTCAAGAAGTGTACTCGAAACCATCAGCTTTAGAACTATCCGCATTTCAACAAATTTGCGTGAAGCACATTGAAATGACAAAAGAGAAACTGACAAAAAAGTAAGTATAATTAAATGCTTTTCTATTTAAAACGCTAGTATATTTAATCGTGCTAACGTATGCCTTAGGAAGGAGTTTTGTTTAGCTATAAATTCAATGTCAGTGCCTTTTATTAGCATATATTTTTTCATGGATGTCAGGTTTTCGACGTTCGTATTGGTAAGGAATGATTTAAAGAGGGAGAGAGATAAGCCTGTTTATTAGTGAAATTCGTTAACCTTAAACTTATAACAGCATTTGTGGCACACTTTCATTTTCTCAAAAGTCCTCTTAAAATAAACATTAGAGAGGTAGTATGGAAGAGTAAATTAAGATCGTTGGAATACTAGGTATATACGATGAACCTAATTGTGGTAATGGGAGACAAAGACTTAGAATATGATAATTTCCTAATCGACTAAGCGCTCTTACTAGTCAGATATCAGAAGAGTTAGAAACCACTGTTTATTTCGTCATTTGGCTATATAAACAGTTTTTATTACCAAATGTGAGTCAAAAGATATTTATCAATGAAATTCGATTTATCTGGAGTTGGTTTCCAAAACCTTTCCAAATCTCTAACTAACCAACAGTTTAAACATATGAATGCGTCGTATGTTATACACCAAAACGTTTACATGGACTGGTTATGTTGCTTTTGAAAATGATTCTGGTTCAAAGCTAGATTTCATAACTGAGTGATATCAAGAAGAGTAAACAAGCCTACGTTTAACTTTAGGTGATCCGAACGGATTGAACAGTGTATATAAGTAAAAAGAAAAAGAAAGTTGATAATAGATTAAATTGGCTATAGGAAAAAGCATCACTAATGACACTGGATGATTTTCGTTTGATATCAAAGATCAGCTGGTGTTGTGAGTAAAGACCTCAGAATTTCAACACTGATTGGAACTCCATGTGAATTACTACTAAATAATTCAAGATTACTAGAGTAATTAGGTTTTAAACTTTTACCAATAGACCTACGTGTAAGTGATTGAGCTGATGGTCACGAAGATTATTAAGAATTTTGACACAATACATACACATAATTATATCAAGAATAATGACTCGTTTTGGGATCTAGAACGAATATTCCATCACCTGGAATTTTGCACGAAAATCGATATCCTCACTGGGACTTCAACTTATCGTTTGCCTCTACAACTGCCGGAGGTTTGTCTGCTATACTGCTGAGTCATAACAGCCAGATCTTGTTCGACAGATAGGACTTACTATAGATTACAAGGGTTTGGGTTCTCTTGTTATCATTATTCAGGAGTGAAATTATTAGCCACTGATGGTAAGTGGAACTGCATGCATATTCTGAATGTCGTTCATAGCCATTATCTAAAATATAGTTAACGTGCATACAAAAAACACATCATGGGATCTGTTCAGGGAGCTCTATTACCATCAGAAATCAGTCAGAATTCATTGTAATCACTGAAAAATTCTAAACATTGACCCTGATGACATCAGTTGATTGTTAATCGGAGTTTTATTTCCGATTATACTACAAAGATATATCACAAGAGATAGTGCGCACCACAAAATGTAAGTCAGTCACACACTGTTGACCAAAAAACCTGTTATGGATATGTATCGGTACAAATTAAGACATCATATCAACTGAAATAAGTGAAATCATTGAGACGAAAGTCGGAGTAAAAATAATCAAATCAGTGGTTGTGGAGAACGTTAAGTATAGATGATATGATTCAACAAGAATGAGTGAGATCGTAGAACACGACAGTGAAAAATGACTGTATAACATAAAACCAAAGGGGAGATAAAGAGAGGATGGATATGTATCACTGTGATTGATTCTGACACATGTTACCAAATATCTTTAAACATTGTGAACATTGGTTACGATAAAAGCATGGACCCCATTCACGGGGCCTTCACCTATACTAGGAGGGCTCTCACCATAAGTCATTGGCCTCATGAGTAGTTGCTACATCGTTTTTCGGCCGCCCCTAGCTTCATTTCAAACAACTTTTAAACCGAGCAACTTTGAGTGTCCAGATATGTGGTGGGTATATACCGCAGTCAGTAAAGATTCGCTACTTCATCTGACAGTTTGCCCTCTCTGTCCACTACTCTGAGTCAAACCTCAGCGTTACTCATTCGATAGTCCCAATATTTTGAAGGAATTTGAGGTCAAATACTAGCAACCCACGAATATCTTCTAATTTTAAAGTCCATCTTTCATGTTGATAAAGTATGATAGAGAGTACCTTTGGGAAGTATGTTTGTCCTTTTTTGCCAGAGTGGCACAGGTGGCGCAACCCATCAAAAGTCAAACCAGCTTTTTGAATCTGTGCCGAGATATAGTGAGGTGAAATAACGCAAATCGTAATTCGAGGCAATAGATCGAGATCCCTGAACCTAGATTTCTTGCTCTCTAACACACACACCAGCAAAACGTATCTATGACCATGAAGGAAACGATGTTTAACCTAACCACTGATCTGAGTCATTCAGAGACGTTACCACTGAGCCATTATGTCCACAACGGAACCTTTCATGACCGTGGTACGTACAGTTATTATTGATAAGTAACCAATATCGTTCATGTCCAATCCTCGGAGCTGATCAAATTCTTTCGATTGCCTGATATCAAACCCCCTAAAAATTCCATTATCATTAAGTACTGGTAATATATATAACATTAGTTGCTTCATAATGACCAACCAACGTTGATATATTAGTTGTTCAGGTGGTCGGTACTGGGAAGAACAGCTCATTGGTAACACCTCAAGCTACAGAATGGGTTCCAACCTTGCAGTAAGCACCAGTCCTATCGGGATTTCAAATTCTCCATGTACCAACTAGTATAAAACCCAAATCCACGACTTCTTACGGACTACCTATAATATTTAGAAGTATTTGAATTATCTGTACGAATATTCGTCAAGATCAGAACGAGAAGTTCGACAGTAATTGAGCGCCGAGTATAGAGAAGTCATTATATGTGAAAATTATATTTGAAATATTCTTAGCGATTGAAATTTAACTCATTCCAACGTTTCGTCCAGCTAACTTGTCTGGACTTCTTCAGGGTAATAATCAAAATCAAAATTATCAAAGAAATATATAGCTATTTAACAATCATAACTAGACTGTGTTACACCAATCAAATTTGGATGTTGATTTTTGTAAAATAGGATAAAATGAGTCAGTTAACTACAAATCATGTGAAGAATTCAACTACATGGAAATACTTAATTGAGTAACAAATCGTGTGTGAGTGTGTAGGTATGTATGTATGTGTGGGAGATCGATATGAAGGAATAAATAAAGTTCAAGTTCAAGGATGAAAAATTGATAATGAAACATCGATGTACATGTCAAAACATAAATTGTATTGTTTAAAATACTGATTGACTTCTTTCAAAAATAATAACGATGCATGTGATATCGTATGAACTAGGAATCCCAGAATTAACGTAATCGAATCAAGAAGTACTAGACAAGCACGAACGAATGTATTGTATTTAGAATTCGAAACTAAGCAATCAACAAGTACAAAAGAATCATTAGTTAATTCAAACACCACACTACCTCCATTCACCTAACATTAAAAGACAATGTACATAGTGTAAGATATTTAAAACTAGTGGCCATATTGCAACCTGATCTACAGAATTCTACCAGATTAAGGACTAAACAGTAATAACTTTAGTTACTACTCAGTGATCAATTGGTGAGGAAGTAATGGAGTACTTCTTTTAAAAACTGATCTAATCTTTTATGTATATTAGATTTTATTCAGCAAGCCAATGACCTCGCTTGAATGCTATTTATTATTACGGTGGCTGTCCTCTATACTTGAACGATTGGGAATTTAACTTTATTAGTTGTTTTTAATATTTCTTCTTTTAGATGGCTCAATGAAATACAAAGTATTTTCTATCATGGAAATAGACGTAAACTTGTTCCGACTAGTGATGAACCATTGAAACTTGAAGCATTTTATAGATGTGCAGCCACACTGATGACAGAGAATTTACAAAATCTTGGCTTAATTTCAATGTTGGATTACAAAAATCTTATTTGTCAATTACCAGTAGGTGGTAACAATTTGTTTTATGTGTATTTTTAAGTTATTATTATTATTATTATTATTATTATTATTATTAAAAACTGGTGCTTAATAGTGATGAATTATTGTTGCATTAGACAACGAGAGTAAATGAAATTAACTTATAATGTACTTTGAAAAATTGAAACAAATATGAAGATTTTGGAAAAAAAAACTATATCAACTGCTTGAAGTTAAAGGAAGTATGAGATATGAAAAGGGTTAATTAATCAATGTAGCTGCATTTACTCTTCTTAACTAACTCCCGAATTCGGGGCTGATTTCATTAGTTGTTATGATTCTTAACAAAAAATAAACAATTGATTGGATCATTTGGAAAGTTTTATGATAGTGTCTGACTTAGAAAGATGTACTTCATAAGTATGTTAATAAAAAGACGTTACTGGGAATTGTTAATTTATGTGAGAAGTTCTAAGTATATGTCATTAGCATTTTTACCTCCATTCCAAATGCTAAATTGATCAAAGATATCCTTAAAGACATGGTTAAGGCTTTACTATGTTCTGTAAAAATATATTATTAGTAACAACTAGTATTTGATCTTAACACTCCTAGTATAGGTGAAGGCCCTGCGATTGGGGTCCATGCTTTTATCGTAACCAATGTTCACAATGTTTAAAGATATTTGATAACATGTGTCAGAATCAATCACAGTGATACATATCCATCCTCTCTTTATCTCCCCTTTGGTTTTATGTTATACAGTCATTTTTCACTGTCGTGTTCTACGATCTCACTCATTCTTGTTGAATCATATCATCTATACTTAACGTTCTCCACAACCACTGATTTGATTATTTTTACTCCGACTTTCGTCTCAATGATTTCATTTATTTCAGTTGATATGTTGTCTTAACATGTACCGATACACATATACGATGTTCTATGTTGCTAATATCTGACTGAGTGAATAAACGAATAACTGTAACAATATTTGTTTCTATTCCATAAAATTATTAAGTTCATTTTCAAAAAGATACTAATATTTATTGTATTTATTGTTTTAGATCAATCCGAACGGTCAGCAACATCCTCGATTTATTCTACGTCTTGTTCTAGATGAGAATATGATAAAATTTGAGCCATCCATAGAAGAATTCGAAAGTACACTATTGAATATGTTCGATTATATGTATAATGTTATTCAGAGTATACCTAAAATTGAAACTCGTCTTTATTCTGATTGGGTAAGTGTTGCATGTATTATGGAAACAACTGAAAATCGTTTATATCACAAGCAGTACAATGTTCAATAAAGACACTTTCTGTTTTTCAAGATGTATCAAGCAGATTACAGTTGTATCTTTGTAATAAGTTTCAACATATTAATCATACCTTTTAACAGTTAGCTCTAACCACACAAAGCTGTTGTGTTTTTCAATAATTCGTGTACATGCAGACACAAAAGATATTGTCAAGTCACCTATACTGTTTCACTATTTAAATATCTAAGATAATGTACAATCACTTTGTAGATCTTTTCAATAGACTGATTACAATTCGGATGATGTTGAGTAATATGAATAGTGATTTAGTCAACTGATTCTATTATTTAATTCAGCTACACTACATTTCATAAATCAAACAGACAGAAGTCTAAAATTTTGTTTGGCCTACTCTTCAGTGTACATTCATGATTAAAGATCCTAAGTTAGAATGAAACATCTATTTAATTCTCTATGATATTTGGCGTTTCTTCAATCGACTAAGATAAAGGATATGTATAGAGAAAGGTAGCTCAGTACTAAATGAATTTGGATTGATATTTGTTTCTAGTTGTTGACAACCTCAAGACCATTTCTGTATAGAGTTCCTGATAATTCATCAGAAGTTGGTAAAGACTACAATTACTTTATTAAATCAGCCTCCAAAAGAAAGTCGCGAGAAAATCCTAGAAGGATGATGAATTATGTACCATATGCTAAGTGAATAGTTACTGATTTTGAAACTAAATCAAGCACTTTTACAGAAGCTTCTAGAATATCAAAGCCACACATAAAACAATGAATACTTTGGTTTTTGTACCTAAACCAGCCTTAGAAATGAAATTCCACTTCATATTTCCCACCCTTCGTCTTTTGTTAGGCTTTCGAATACCCTAGACATCTGAGGAACTAAGAAGCGGTTAGAAGTCAGTGTTAAGTATCCCATTATTAGGTGTATCGATATTTATTTTAGCTCAAGCTAATCATAAAGGAATTTCCCCAACTCAAGCTTTCTGTGGTATTAAATTTTTAATGGATGTTGTTATCTGATAACTCATTTCCAGTAATCACCAGTCGAACATAATTATGTTAATTAACTAATTAATTATATGGTTAAAAGGATAATGGTTTGGTCACGGGAAAGATTCTCTTTTCCTCATTCAAATTCCAGATGATGATAGCCATATGCTCTAACACTCTCTAGTAACGGGATTTCAACAAACAAGTTTTGTAAATCTATCACTGAACAATAATACTTGACCGTACAATATTTTTAAAGAGTATGAGTTAATTAACAGCAGTAAATGTGATCAACAATTACGTTTACAGAAAAGTGTCGTTTATAACTATTAGTTATATTAAGCAAAGATGGATAGTGGCCGGTAGTGAAATCTAGGATGCACGTTACGTCCCAATGCAGGTACATCTAACTGATGAGTCCCGAATAGGACGAAACGCACGTCCTGGATTCCATGTCTACCCATTATCCATCTTTGCTTAAAAGGCTTGTGACCTAAGGCTTTATCGAGACAATCCGCACAGGATGCACATATGCCAACAAGAGACTGATCAATTGCAGTCCTAAATAACAATGGGAAGATGCAAGTAAAACAACACCAAGTGAAGTTATTAGTTATATTTTATATACAATTACCAACAGTAAACCTTACGTAATGCTTATAAAAAGTGGTTTCATTCAACAGTTATGATACTCAACAATGAGATAAAACGAACAGATTCATATTTTTGCACATTCTTAACTTTTTGATCTTTGATCTACTGAAGAAATACATGAGCAAATCTTTACTCTTTTTGAATGACTATTTTCATAACTAAATAGAGATTACTATTATTAATGTAAGTAAATCACGCAAGGAAGTGTCTTTCATGTAGTGATTGATTATGTTTATGATAATGTAAGTGATACTCAGGTACCTTACATTTTACAGTTTATACATATTTTGCAGTTCATTTTGTTCTTGATGATAATACTGTAACTTTAGTTAAAGCTTATCTTTCAGTTATGAGATTTTATGTATAGCTTAGTTGTTAGGTCTACCTATTTAGATGGATTTAGTGATAAATATAAAAATGCATCCTTTACGTAAGGGAATAAAGAAAATTTGACTATAAATTGTAAAACAATTCATGTTATACCATGAGGAAGTATCAACAAATGAATAAAAGAGAAATTAGATTCTATGAGCGAGTTATTCAAAATAAGCAAAGGTTTCAAACTTAAACAAACAATAAAAAGAAAGTAAAATCACAAATGAGAAAGTGAAATAGTTCATTTTGACAATTAAATATAAGAAGGGGTTTTGTGGAGATTTTAGAAATTTCACTGATTGAAATCATAAGTCAATTGAAGCTAGACCGCACCCCGCAAGATTCGAACCCAGGACCTATCAGTCTCGTGGATGCGCACTGCTGAGGAGTTCCATACTGGGATGAAACGGCCGTCCAGTGCTTGCAGGTTTTCCATAGTGGTCTAGCTTCAATTGACTCATGATTTCAATCAGTGAAATTAAATATAACACCCTATAAACTGTATCAATGTTTGAATTCACTTATTTTACTGATTTATTAAAATGTAATATGAAAAGAGAGGTTAGGGTTAGTAGGAGTAAAACTACATATTTTTTTCTTCAGTATTATAATACGTTATTATTGCTATTGAACTATTTCAATTACATTAATTTTCATATTGTACTACAATTATTTTGTCTTTTCATTAGCAATCTGATAATGTCACATTACATCCAATTATTTTAAGTGACATTATAGAGGAACGTAAATTTGAAGTTAGAAAAACGTTATTATTACAACTTAAAGGACCAGAGTTACATATTCGAGAATATGATAAATATCAATTTCTAGTCAATAGACAAGTAAGTGTTATTTTAAATATATATGTGATTTGTAGGTTATATTTGTTAAGGATTGATTTCATTTGTGATACTGTAATGAATGAGAACACAAATAGGGACAATCGAATGTATTTGAACACAAAATTACAGAATATCTTAGAAAAATCTAAGAATGATACAGTAAATAATTCATTCGCGAAATACCAGTCAATCGTTTCAGACTTCATTGTTCCTTTGTTTTCACAGTAATCATTCTCTGTTCTCGTTCTCTTTTCTTCGATCCTTTTAACCTTCTACTGCTAGGTATTTCACTTTCGATTGATGATACATTCCGCTTACATGTGTCAACATCAGTAGTACACACCACAACACCACTAAGAACCAAGGAGCACTGGACAGATGTTTAATCATAGTGGGAAGCATTTCAGAAATGTCTACCCACATATATGCTGCAAATTAAACTTGGGACCTTCAGATTTTGAAGTGGCTCCTTAATACTTAAAACCACTGAGTTGGCAGGCGATCATTTTTTTCATTTGTGAAAGTTGTTTAACATTTATGATAACTATCAACGTTAGAATGAGGATTTTGTATAGACTATTTAACTTAAAGACAATTTACATTACGAGGTGAGTTTATTTAAACAAACATTGAAAACCAGAATACTGTGGACTTATAATATGAAGTTAAATTTTTCCGGTTTCATATATTCCCTGAGACAGGATGAATACTGTGTGTGGTAAATTATTTTCTGTATCGTGAGTTAACTATTAAATTTTGCCTCGTCGGGTCAAGTTTAAAATATTTGAAGAAGAATTTAATCCTCTACAGTATTTAACCCGTAAAGAACCAAATGAATGTATAGATTAGAGATGATGAATTACAATGCAATAGCTATGGTGTCATGTTCTGAGATCAGTTCGTGATGATATAGATATTACTTTTTCAAACTAGTGACTGATGGGAACACATTCTGAGTATCGTCTTTCCTCCGTAACATATTGTTTGTATATTTGTTTGAAGTAGCACAGTTTGCTCTATGTATATAGTTCATTTTGGCAAATGACTATATTTTATGACAAAATCTCTTCTAATTTCACAGGCTGAACAAAATATTGAATTGTTATTAAATCCACCAGTACAAGAACTAACAGTTCAAGCCGCTGAATCCACTGATGATGACGATTTACAAGATAATCTTGATGATAAAGTGAAATTAGAAGAAGCGTCTGAAAAAGATGTTATTGAAAATAAACCGATTGGACCATCATTTGAAGAATTGACACGTGAACTATTAAAATATGATCGTTTAGTGAAAAGAATCCAGTATGAATCCAGACGTACAATTTGTTTGGGATTATTTGAAGTACATTGTGATGAATTAATTCGTTCTTTAACTAAACGAGCTGAAAATATATCAGATCGTATTTTGGAACGGATTTTAGAAGATCATAGAATAATGAATAAAACGTAAATTTCTAATTTTATCTACATTGTATTCGTCACACTTAACCTATATGTTCTGTATTTCCATTATTTGTATACGTGATCATATGACAAAGTTGACTATTAACGAAATTTAAACTGATTAATCAATGAGAAGTAAACAACATGTTAGATGTTGAGGAATTTCATATTAAGACGAAACACCTATACAATACTTACTGTTTTTTTTAACTGTTATATAACGAAAATCAATCAAGATGTGAAACTTTAAATTCAACAATTTTCAGGAACACCTTATAACAATGATCATCATGTCGTCACAAAAGACTAACTTCGAGAGGTAATTCACGAAGTTTGAATGGGAAGTCGTGCCCAATGGACTTCAACCATGTTGAGCGTGAGAAAAATGTCATTAATGATAATGGGTAATGGTCATGCATTAATATGAACTAACCGCGACCAGGGATGTCGACTACTGGATCTCAACCTATTGGTCCGAAGGTTGAGTGGTCACCACCAGTTCACAAGGTTCACTTTTCGATCCTTTATGGGGTGGTGGATATGCACTTTAAAGCGGTCTCATATTAGGAACATAAAGCCGTCCAATACGTTCTGAGTTTCAAGTAACATAGCATACATGGGCACAAAAAATCACTGAATATTTGCCCATCAGTAACTTCAGCTGAGAATACACATACTTCAAGAGATGTTTATAATCGAGTATTGTCAACCTAGTGTATCTTAAGTTATGCAACGATTTTGAAAAGCGTAACTCCATCAGCTAAAATGAGTACAATCTAGTTTAGTTTTATCAACAGCATCAAATTTAAATGTTCATAGATTGATGATTAATATTGTGAAATAACTACCAAAAATGAATGAGTTAAATGATTCACAAATTTTGTCCGAATTATACAATTTGTAGACATTGCAACAATGAGATTAAGGTAGCAAATACTGGTTAGTGAGGTTATTTTAGTCTTATTTTAGTAATTTTTACTCTTATGTTCTATTAACTTTGTTTGCTTTAGTTGTCTGATTTTAACCATATCCTCAGATTATTTGACAGATAATTCATGATACATCATTCCCACTATGCAACTAACATCATATTTTACTCATTATTTGTATAAATGGAAGCTATATATAATGAAATAATATCTCTGTAGCATAATTCTTTCGTTAAATCTTGATTATGACTTAATTCACTGGATGTAAATACTTTTGACCATAGTCGACATAAATGTTATTACAAATTTCAAGGTATCTGTGATTCATGGAATTTAAGATTTTTTTAAACTACTTAATAAATTTTCACAGATTAAAATCATGAGTCAGTTGAAGCTAGACCACCATTGGAAACCTGGAAGCACTGGACGGCCGTTTCGTCCTGGTATGGGACTCCTCAGCAGTGCGCACCCACGAACCCGCACCACCCGGGGCTCGAACCCAGGACCTACTGGCTTCGCGCGCGAGCACTTAACCATTAGACCACTGAGCCAGCATCCAACGGTGTTAATGTCTAACTTCAACCAATCCACGAAGTTGCGCTACCGTACACCATTGTCTTCAGTGAGTTCCTATCTCACAACAGACCTGGTTGAACTCCACTGGTAACGACTTCTCACTAGAACTCCAGAAGTGTCTCCTGAAGTCAGTCACTAGTGAGCAGGTGATTATTATTATCAGAATGTGTTTTGTGGAGATTTTTAGAAATTTTCACAGATTGAAATCATGAGTCAGTTGAAGCTAGACCACCATTGAAAACCTGGAAGCACTGGACGGCCGTTTCGTCCTGGTATGGGACTCCTCAGCAGTGCGCATCCACGAACCCGCACCACTTAATAAATTATTAAGTAACCATTAATTATAAACGAATATTTTTATTTTATTTAGTTTGATTCAAGAATATGAACTTATCAGTACCAAAGCGTTAACTGTTCCAACTGATATTTCACATATGATACAAATCAATGAATTTGTTAATCATGCAGAAAAAGTTACAATGAACACCTTGGAACGTGAGCTGGATAATTGTAAAGATCGCTTATTATTTCTTATGGATCATGCACAATTAAATCCATCAGATATGCGTATTAATAGTCAGGTATTTGAATGGCATACACGTATGAATGAAGTATTCGCTGAAAGCCGACGTATTGCACAAACGAAACGTGAAGAATTTGAAATTAGTCTGAGATATAAACGTGAAAGATTTATTGAAGAAATTGAATCATATAGAAAACAAGTGGATAAATTCCAAGGATATGGAGATCTGAATGAAATAAATCGATATTTGAAGAAAGCACAAAGTTTAAATTCAAAGTTAGAAATAGCTTTAACTAAAATAGATGGATTCAATGCAGATGAAGAAGCATTGAAATGGGATACAACATCATATCCACTACGTAATGAAATACAAAATATATTGAAACCATTTTTAACTCTATATGAAATGACAGTAGAATTCAATAAGAAACATAAAGAATGGATGGAAGGATCTATGGATAAGGTTGAACCAGAAAAAGTAGAAATGGACGTATCAAACTATTATCGTAGTTTGTTCAAACTAGAGAAGACATTCGATACTTTACCAGCACCACGAAAAATTGCTACACAAGTTCGTGGAAAAGTCGAAGAATTCAAAGAACATTTACCGCTAATACGTGCATTATTTAATCCAGGTTTACGTGAAAGACATTGGGAACAGATTTCAGAAATAGTTGGTTTTACAGTAAGTAATCAAGAAGAAGGAATATGTTTAGCTAAATTGATTGATATGAATCTTGATCCGTATATATCTAAATTTGACTCAATCTCAGAAGCTGCTAGCAAAGAAAATAGTCTTGAAAAAACACTGGATAAAATGCATAAAGAATGGGAATCAGTAAGTGAATTCAACTGATAGTTACATGTTTTCTATAATGTTTATGTACATACAGTTTAATTTTTACATATATACATGGTAAAACATTTGAGCCATCTGTTTTCCAAATCTATATATATTGCAATAAGCTTTCCTATTTTAGGTCTGTTTTAGATGAATACTTTTCAACACAAATTGTGTATGTATTTAACGGTTATTATAGGAAGCGTACAAATTACTGCATTGCTAGATGCGAGGAAACTCAGTCGGAAACATTGCAGTTGTTCGTGTAAATTACTTATTATGTATTATTTAAAGAAGTAGAGGTAAATACAGTTGAATCTGTCCACATCACATAGGACAGAAAGAAAATATAAATATGACCGTTGCACTAGTAGAAAACTTCTCTGGTTGAAGATAAGTGGAAGGTATTGGCTATAGAAAAACATTTGTATAACATGTTTTTGAATGATTACAATCTTAACAGACGTTAAACAGATATTTGTTGGGATATTGCATAACTGATACTGATAATTCTCTACTGAACCAAAATTTCTAGACTTAAATAAATCATTTATTATTACTATTAATGTTTATATAAAAGTAATTTATTCTAAGTGAATGTACAGTGTATCATTGTAGAAGCATGTAGAACTTTTGATGTACAGGTAACTACTAATTAATTATATGTGGGTAATTTCAATTCCATTTTAACTGAGGATTTTTGAAACTTTTCTTCTCTTTCTACTAATAATGATATTTATTGAACAAGACTACATGTACAGTAATCAATAATATAACAGTTGAATTCATGAGTCAATTTGAGCTAGACGACCATGGAGAACCGGAAAGCACTGGATGGTTGTTTCGTCCTAACATCGGACTCCTCAGCAGTGCACAGGAATTCAACTATTAAATTGCTAAAATATCTACAACCCCCCCTTCTGATAATAATCAAGAGAATGTTTTTTCAAACAAGTGAAACAAATATGATCTCATCATACTGATCTAAAATGTGACATCTTAGACCAGTGAAGGGTTTGTGTCAAGTTCTAACTGATGCTTTGAAGTGAAAACTGTAGTATTATTAATCGTTTATTTTAATATGTATATAAAAATTTGTTTTGGTGAATAATTAATGCAGCTATTGTACAATTAAGTATATTTTAAGATTATATAATTTAATCTCTTCTAATAACACGATTCCATTCCATTCTCCCTAGTTTATATTCGATTTCTTAATTGTGTCTTGTTGAAGTTCGAATTCATTTAAAATGAATGGTAAATCGTAAGATTATTTCAAACTTACAACTTATTTCATTTTGATCTTAGTAGTTAGTGTTAAAACTATGTAGAATTGGAATATGACTTACTGACATACGACAAACTGAAACTTTTGTTACTTAAGATTAATTGTACTGAAATTGATATCAAACATTGAACGAAAATAGGAGGCCTAAATTGCTAAATTATTTGAGAAGTGATTAATATACAAGCAGTAATTTTAAAATTCTCAATCGTTTTTTTACATACTTCAACTGATCTTTTTTTCAATGGTTAAGATCATGAGTTAGTTGAAGCTAGACCACCATGGAAAACCTGGAAGCACTGGTGGTCTAGCTCCAATTGACTCATGATCTTAACCATTAAAATTATTATAATATCCACAAAACCCATCCGATATTGATCTTTTTTTGTTTTAATTAATTTTATTAATAGATGGAGCTGAACTTGATACCATATCGTGACAGTGGTACATTTATACTCTCTTCAGTGGATGATATACAAGTATTGTTAGATGATCATATTGTAAAAACTCAAACAATGCGTGGATCACCTTATATTAAACCATTCGAAGCGGAAATCAAGTAAGTTACATACTATATATATATATATATTTATTTATTTGGAAGTGATTCCAGTTGTACAGAATAGACAGTGGCAAGTACCTAAAGGAAGCACATATATTCAATTAAAATTGACCGAAATTCCGTCGAATATATCCACAAGGGGATGACTTAAATCATTGTAAATTAAAATGATTCAGGTTGATTTTTTATTGTATATTGATATCAGCTGAAGAAAGATTGGGCATCCACAATTTATGGAAGACTATTTTCGTTTCGGTATTGCTCTTCTATGATTATTTGATATTTAAACTCACTTATGTATTAGACTTAATGAGAAGCCAACATCATTGAGTAAGAAGTGAATAGTTCAAACATTTTTCCGACTTCAGTAACCGATGATAATAAGTTAAACCCTAGTGATCACAAACAATATGTCAATTCATAGTGAAAACTTACTATAAATTGAACAACCTCAACAAAAATTTCCCCTTGATGATTAGTGATTAACTTTCATTTATTTATTATTGATCGATTTGATGATAAATCCTAAATTTAGCATTGCATATCTTGTTAGACTGATCGTATCATTGGTCCTTACATTTATTTGCAATTTATGTGTAATAAATGATTATTGTTATCTACATTTCATGTCAACCTTAGTTAGCTAGATGGATACAAATGTCCCACTGAAGTTTCAGCCTTAAAGACTCTTAAGTCACACAATTCCCATCGTATGACATTTCAGGTTAAGAGGTTATTTAGTATTTCGGCAAATTATTGGCAACACTTAATCACATAATCATCATTATTGATTACAGTTTCTAAATCGAATTTTACTCTCCTTAAATATATGACATATTCATGCCGAAAGTTTAATCGATCAGGATGATTGTACAAATAAGCTACAAATAATTTTTTTCTACCCAAATGTAATGACATTAGTTTCGGAATCAATAATAAGTGAGGTATACAGTATAGACATTTCCTTGTAATTCGGGACAAATAGACTGTCTTTAGTATTGATTCGATGTAGGCTAACGAACTCAGGGATTTTAGGTTCTTTGATATACTTATTTTATTTAAAGTAAAGGTTCAAAATGACTTGGCCAAAGTGTTGTTATTACATTTGATGGATTCAAGACTCATATTATTATCAATATAGAGTTGTGGAGATTTTTTGAGTTTTATTTGAGATCATGAACTGATTATTGTTAGGTTTTCAATTGTGGCGTAACATTGATCGGTTCATAATCTCAATAAAAACTCATGTTATTACTTAATTGATGTGTGGGCGAGAATGATAATGATTGATTGTTTGCCTAGTTAGACATGTAGATAGTCTGACAGGTGTTAGATGAGTTATATATATTCCCCTATCCTTATTATTAATTGTTATCGATTATTCATTGTTGAATTGTATCGGGTTTTTCGTGTGGGAATATATTTACGTTGTGGCCAGGCTAACCACGTGTGCTTGATATGAGTTGTGTTGATGTCCTGTAGAATAAACACTTGGAGGGAATCGTCTAAGGTAAATTAACGTCCCGTACGTATAAACAAGGAAAACCAACCATTATAATATAAATTTCGTCAATGGGCCTCAATTCCTATTTCCGCTCTGGTTAATCCCACAAGTTGAAGAGTATATCACATGAAATTAAAATGTTAACCCTCCAATAATCTATACACTGAAATGAAATAACTAAACTTTATTTGTGTTAGGTAATTTGTTATCTATTATGATCAAATGCTGAAGTAAAGAGAAAGATCTTAACAATTAGATCATCAATAAATAAAAGATATACTGGGTAAATCAACTCTTTCAGGATAACATTTAATTTTTTGGACAGCTCAGAATCAAGTAGACGATTTGGTCTTCGCAGTTGAATTAGTCCTCCTATCCCATATACACGATCAAATGCAGATGAAGACAACTAGTGTATCGGCAGCCTCTGAATCAGTAGGCCTCAACATACAGAAAGGAAAAATCAAGATCCTCAAATACAACACAGAACAACAACACTGTCACACTTGATGGAGAAACTCTGTAACAGGTTTAAACTTTCACGTACCTGGTCAGCATCACCGATGAACAAGGAGGATTTGATGCACACGTAAAGGCACGGATTGACAAAACAAGGACACCATTCCTACAGTTGAAGAACATATGAAACTCAAAACAATTGTTAACCAATATCAAAGACAGGATCTTTAATACAAACGTCAAGATAGTTGGTTCCGTTCTACGGAGTTGAGATTTCGAGAACTACTACAACCATCATCAAGAAGGTATAAGTATTTGTAAACAGTTGTCTACTGAATATCATCAGCAACACCATTCTGTGGGAGAGGAAAAATCAACTTCCAGTTGAAGAGGAAATTAGGAAAAGACGTTGGAAATGCATAGGAGATACATAGTAGAAATCGTCAAACTACATCATGAGGCAAACCCTAACTTGAAATCCTGAATGGAAACTGAAAAGTGGAAAGCCACAGAACACATTACATCGAAAAATAGAAACAGCTATGAAAAAGATGAATAACAACTGGTAAGAAGCAGAAACGATTTCTCAGAACAGGATTGGATGAGAAGTGCTGATGGATGGCCTATTCTCCTCCACGACAAGTAACAAGCATAAGTAAATAAGTGACATTTCAATTTTTTCAACTGATAAGTAAATAATGTTATATCCGAGCGAAGATTAAATCACGAGTAACTTCTGAGACATATTAATTGACTAATATTATCTATACATTCTTATGGTATAACTATTCAATAATTAGATTATGTATATTTATATTCCTCTTATTATAAGCTTTATTTTAGACCATAATTTATTATTGTACGATTTACTGTTCTTAAGCTGTGTTCAGTTTAATTGAATACTGCCTCCCACGTTCACAGCCACTTTTTGGCTTTATTGTGTATAAATGTTGTTTCCTATTTTATGATGCGTTGCGGTCTGTTTGGTTGATATATAAACCCGGTATATCTGAAATAAATGATTCGATTCGCATAGTGGAAGCTGGTTTTGGTGTTCCAGACTTAAGTGAACGGGCTAGGCGGACATAGGAGCAATAAAGACGCTAGGCTGCCCATACCAGTCGAATGTCATTGGTTTTGGCACAGTGCTAAGATTGTATAAGTCGTATTTTGATTGGTGGATAAATCACGTGATAAAAAAGCCGGATATAAAGTCACAACAACTAAATATCACAATTATCAAAAGAGGTTTTGCGGAGATTTTAATCATTTGAATAGTTGAAATCATGAGTCAATCGAAGCTCACTGGTCTAATGGTTAAGCGCTCGCTCGCGAGACTGATAGATCCTGGGTTCTAATCTCTCAGGGAGGCAGTATCATGAATGCGCACTGCTGGGGAATCCCATACTAGGATGAAACGATTGTCAGATAGTGCCACCATGTTTTTCATGATGGTCTAGCTTCAATCGACTCATGATTTCAACTATTCAAATGATTCAAATCTCCACAAAACCCCTTCTGATAATAATCATCTACTCACTAGTAACTAATTTCAAGAGACATTACTGGAATTTTATTGTGAAATAGTAACTGATTGATAACAATGGTGGATGTATTGCTGAATTTCATGGATTCATTGAAATATCACAAGTAACTTATTATTTATTTTTTTTAAAATCTTTTTTTTTCTTCAAGAGATTGGGAACAAAAATTAATATTAACTCAAGATATACTTGATGAGTGGTTAAAAGTACAAGCTACATGGTTATATTTAGAACCAATATTTAATTCACCAGATATTATATCACAAATGCCAGATGAAAGTAGAAAATTTATTATTATTGATAAAATATGGAAAGAATTAATGAAACAATCAAATCAAAATCATTCTATATTAATTATTATTACTATGGAGAATTTATTAAATAAATTACAAAAATCTAATCAATTACTTGAATTAATCTTAAAAGGATTAAATACTTATTTAGAAAAGAAACGTTTATATTTTCCAAGATTTTTCTTTTTATCTAATGATGAATTATTAGAAATTTTATCAGAAACAAATGATCCATTAAGAGTACAACCACATTTAAAAAAATGTTTTGAAGGTATTGCATCATTATTATTTACTAAAACATTAGATATTACACATATAATAAGTAGTGATAATGAATCAGTTCAATTATCTAATACAATATCAACATTAAATACACATGGTTCTGTGGAAAAATGGTTATTACAATTAGAAACTAATATGATTAATTCAATACAATTAAATATCAATAATGCATTAAATGATTATTTAATTAAATTACGTAAAGATTGGGTTAAATTATGGTGTGGTCAAGCTATATTAGCTGGTTCTATGTATTATTGGACAATGAATGTTGAAGAAGCAATACAAATTAGTCTTGATGCAATGAAAAATTATTTAAAAGTATGTATTCATTTTATTATTTTTATCACTACTAATAATAATGATAGAAAGAATAGTTAATTTTTGATTGATTTACTCACATTATGAATTTGATTCAATATGACTTCTATTTTGATCCCATGGTCATGATTACTCAATGTAGTATTTGATATTCTTTTCTCGTATGATATTTTATTCTTGTAATTAATTGACATGAACTATCCTCAGTATGTGATTGGCTATATCAGCCAGTCACAACGTAGAACTTCGTACGTACGTACATCAGTTCGAGTTGCCAAACCACATTAGTGGTAGAGGTAGTAAGAGTATAAGCAGTAATTGGAAAGATTAGGGTTTGACGATGTTGTTCATGGAGTATAATCCAGTGAAATGAATTTGGAAAGAGAAAAAAGAGACATGGAGGATTCAGGAGATTAGAATTTGAGAGAACATAAAGAGTGGATACACCTGCGCCATTGCAAACGATTTTGAGCCATGTCATCCAAGATCTCTAACCATCGGTTGCTATCATCTTGCGGTCCCCAACCAGATAGTCTACATCTATCAATATGACTCAGTCCATTTTTCAATGACTTCATGGATTTGTGCCATGCTTTGGTCTGGCCACCCATAGCTTTCTTCCAATCTACTCCTATACAACAAAACATCGCACATTGAGGCAGTCTGTGGTTGGCCATACGTAACACGTGTCCCAGCCATCTCAACTGATGAAGTTTCACTACGTCATCAATTAATGTGCCATTCTTTCTTAGTACCCGTTTCCTAAGAACTTCATTAGTTGCTCGATGGTGCCAGACTATAAGAGCAATGTTTCGAAAACACCTATGATCAAATACTAGTAACCTACGAATATCCTCTACTCTTACCGGCCATGTTTCACTGCCATAAAGTAGGACGGAACGAACTGCTGCGCAGTAAACACGTCCTTTGGTTGACAGACGGATATCTCGCCTACTACATAAATGACCCAAGTTCGTAAAAGCTAGTCGAGCCTTCTGTATCCGTGCTGGGATTTTGTCACACACCAGACCACAAGGGCTGATGAGACTTCCAAGATAAGTGAAGCGGTCGACACGCTCAACTACTTCACTTCCTATCATTAGTTCGGGTGTCGATACAACCCAATCCTGAAGCAATATTTTGCATTTCGAGGGGGAGAATCGCATTCCGAACATGCTTGCATTGTTGCTTAGAGTGGTCAGAAGACTCTGCATTTTGTTAACGTCTTCACCACATTGGTTATATATGTGATTTCATCTTAATAATTAATCAAACTGGGTGTACAATCAATATATAAATGAGTGTATTTTTCGAGTAACGTCTCCCTTGTCGTCGTCGTCGTCGTCATGTTTTAGGGTTAATCAATCTTCACTTATACCAATCTTATGTTCTTACTTTTGCATCATGAGAATTGCAGAGGTCCCTCGTTTTAAGTATAAGTGATAAGCGTTTCCGACACAACAATCAGCGACGACCACTTATAAAAAGTAGTATATCATACACTACTTATATTGACATAAGTAGTACATGATATTACTCGTGAACATATCTGGCAGCAGAGAGACAAGGGAATCGAACAGTAAAGAATGGAAACAGGATGCAATTTGTATGAAAATGCAGAACAACGAAGTTTAAGTCATTTTGAGACAATTAATAGACATTTTGTAAATTAAGCATCTACTTTATGATTGTTAGATTTTATTAGCAAGTCCTGTAATTTTGTGTTAAATACATTCGATTGTCCCCACTCGTGTTCTGTTCACTACAGTAGCATTAAAAGTGCCAAGACAATCAAGATCCAATTCACAAATCATAATACATACTGTTTTTTTAAACGTCCGACAACTTTATGGTATTTATAGTAATTAAATTTTGAATAATTTATTTATCATCTTATTTAGTGACAAATTCTTTTGATGAATATAAACTACAAAGTAAACTAATCTTCGTTATGAACCGAATAATGTTAGACTATCATTGAAAATCTAAAAGCACTTGATGACCGTTTTGTCCTATCGTGAGACTCTTCACAAGTGCACATTCACGATCCTGCTCGTGGAATTGAAACCCAAGGATCTAGTGAGCAGCCATAACTAGTGGAGCTAATCTGTGTCGGGTAGAAACAAGTATCTGTTTCCGTACAAAGGAAGATGGTCGCGCAATTTCGTGGATTCATTGAGGTTATACATTAACACCGTTGGATGCCGGCTCAGTGGTCTAGAGGTTAAGAGTTCGCGCGCGAGACTGAAGTCTCTGGGTTCGGATCTCGCAAGCGGGATCGTGGATGCGCACTGCTGAGGAGTTCCATACCAGGACGAAATGATCGTCAAACAGTGCTACCAGGTGTTCAATGATGGTCTATCATTATTCGGTTCATGATCTCAATTAAAAATTAAATAATCTCCACGAATCTATACTGATAATCTTCGTTAACCGTTCCAATTAAACTACAATAATCAGCTTACAAGTGTTCCAGTCGTCCTAGCGAGAAGCTATGACTGGTGGAGTTCAGACATACTAAGAGTAAAATGTTTGTCCACAATAGCATTGAGTGTTTGTTTTCCTGTATCATAAATTGGTCGGTGATATAGTACCAATAGATCTCAACCAAGTGGTCCCTGGGGTTTAAAGTTTACTACAAGACCTGGAGTCTTTCCGTTTAACTCCTCGTAGAGCAATGAATATACATTGTTTAGTAGAAACATCCTGGTTCGAGAAATCTGTGTAGTGCTTTCTGACTTCCAATGTTACTCCAAGAGAGACCGATCTGTGACTAAAACGACCTACGTATTAGCTTGGTCTTCAACTGCGTTAACAATGGAGTAGTTGTATACACTATTTGTCTTCCCTTAAACTGTGAGATTAAAATTACTTTTTACCTTTCTTTCACCCTAGATTTCTCCTTGAACCATATCCTCATAGACAATCATTTTTTTATATATTACTACTTTCAAAATAGATGGTTCCATGAATTTGGTGTTCATCTAGTTGTGATAATTAGGTATGGCAACTTGGACCGATGCATATATGTGCTGGTCCTACATTGTAGATGACTGACCAACGCTAGTAGTCATACAAATACTTAAGATGAATGCTCATCTATATTAGTGACTTCCAAATGATCAGTGACTCAGTATTTCATTTCTATATGTATCATTTTCCTACTGGAAAGACACAGATTTTCAATTTTATTTCTCGTTAAGAAGTTCTCCAACCAATATAGGCTCATAATTAAAACTCATATTAGTTACTCGTAAGCTTGATTTTATTTATTATATTTCTATTCTCTGGCGGAAAAGTTTGAAATAACAGTCGTCTATTTATTACCGCTTTTAAACTTTAACAATTTCTCAAAAACTATTATTAAATTCACGGTCCATTTATTTAGAGGCCACATTCTATTGCAATAAGAGAATACATTGTTATAGTACACAAAGCATATTGTACATGTTGAAAATCATATTGATTGAAAATCACATCACCTATCACTTAAATAAGCCAGACGAGAAATCAGATTTTTCCGTGTACCTTCCGCTCAATAAAATGAAACTTGATGTTTGAGTTTTCAGTTCAATTGTCAAACTATATGACTTGATGAATGAGATAGTAATCAGGAATTCGAACACGTGAATGTACTTTGGTTTGTACTCGGTGACATTTAAAAAAAGAGTTACATCCAGTTCTTCGTGTACATCTTTGTAACAGTCCTTAATGTTTCGTTCTCTTTCAAACTATAAATGTTTGTAGGTAAACAACCAGCAAATAGATGAAATTGTTGCTATGGTTAGAGGACAATTATCTAAACAAAATCGTATAACACTACAAGCATTAATTGTGTTAGATGTTCATGCACGTGATGTACTGGCCGAACTTATATCACTTAAATGTCAATCCAATACAGAATTTTCATGGCTTAGTCAACTACGTTATTATTTGGTTGAACAAAAGCTAGTGACACGTATGATTAATTCACAATTAAAGTAAGCCCTTTTATTGTTGATGTTCATACGAAATATAGTTTTATGAATTATAAAATTTCAACTACTTATTTTAATTAGATAGTATAAAGATTTATAAAAGCTTTATGTTATTAAAAGTATTTATTCGGGTGGGAAATTTAATGATATATGGTGTATGTAAGCACTTTCTTCTAAACTTGATCATCCTTATTACTTATTCATTTCGTATTCAATATTTCGAGAGAATTTCTACCGTACATGAATGAATAGAAAAATAATGACAACTATGAAGTGCTGGAGAGTTGTTTCATGGTCAATTATCATCCACTCATAGAATTTCTCATGTTACACATCATTTATAGATCGGAAATCACTTTTTTAAAAATCTTTCATTAATATAAAAAGATCTTACGCTTACTACTTGTTATAATGCATTTCTTTTTTTTAAGCTATGGTTATGAATATTTGGGTAATACTGGGAGATTAGTTATCACACCATTGACTGATAGGTGTTATCGAACATTATTTGGTGCATTACATTTACATTTGGGTGGTGCGCCTGAGGGTCCAGCTGGTACAGGTAAAACAGAGACAACCAAAGATCTCGCAAAAGCAGTAGCTAAACAATGTGTTGTATTCAATTGTTCCGATGGACTGGATTATATTGCTTTGGGTAAATTTTTCAAGGTATGAATTGAATATTGTTATTATACGAAATAATTATTTTACAGTATTTTGATTTTTGTTAGTAGATAAAGACTATTTTAATACATTTTCCTAGTGCAAAGATAACTGTTTTCGTAAACCATAAAGATCGTTACGTTTTCCCAGATTGTCTGTCTTTAACAATATAAGAACGTCATGTAATTAATTCATATTTATTTTTATTATTTTGTCTCGTAAAATACTATATATACAATGTTTTTCTCTAACTATTTAGCTGTCTTTTCTTCAAACCTTTATGTTATACTACTTAAACTAACCCCTTTGTGGTTATCACAGGATGATTTTGATCCTTTCTTATATATTGGGACAATCAATGATTGCGACCAGTCAGATGGAATTACGTTAGATTCCCAGATTTTATCTTAAATATTAGTCAATCTAATCGCTGAAACTGGACCACTATCCTTAAAGACCTCCGGAGTTAATCCATCTTAACTAGCTTCCATTCTCCAGTTCGGATTAGCTATTGCTTTTTCAACTTCAGTCAGAGTCAGATAGCCTATCCTAATGTTTCATCCAGGCTGTTTGGGAATGGTGGGTAACTGTAGAGCAGCTGCAAGCCTGCTAAAATACTCCTTAAAGTCTTCCGCCTGTCGTTCTAAACATCTGGACTGAGAGCAAATAAAAGTGCTGTCTTTTTCCGAGGTTGTCTCACTTAAACTTCACTTCTTAATTTCGATCGTACGTTGTAGTTGACTGAGTGACTTAACGTTTCATCTCTCTTTTTTTCGTGCAATTATCATTTTTTTGAAGTATTTTTGTTTATAAACTGTTCGGTCTGTTCACTACATCAGATCCTTGTTCATGTTGGCGCAATTTCCCTTTATGTATTCATACTTCAACTCATTTAAAGATATACAAATCATAACACCTTTCGTATAAGAACTATATTGATTACAGTTGTCATGTCTTTTTTTATTAAATAATCCCCTCCTAGCTTAAGCTTTTATTTTAGAGTGAGCTACATAGAGATTAGGAAAAGGTTATTACGTGCAAAAATTCATTCCAAAAGTAATAATCGTACATTTTTAGAGCGATAATCGAGTATTTTCATATTATTGTCATTGCTGGAATTTTCCCAAAACGATTGAATTTACACATGATAAACATTTTTCTAAATTAAATATTTTTTATGGCTTGTAGTTTCCAGCATGATGATGTGACGGAACATCTGAGTAATAAAGTACTGGTATGATTAAGATAATAGAAATGACAATTCATTCATGGAACTAAGAGATAAATCTCAAATGACTTGATTACAGAAGACAGTATCTTTTTTTGAATAATTGAATACGTTGTTAAAGAATGAAAGCCCATACTTATATATAATATATAACAGACAATTAATCAAAGATGAAATTGATGATTTCAAACTATTCACTACTACTTTCCTTCTGTTAGTCATTATATTTGAGTTATATTTAAATGCAGCTTGATACATTAAGATTGATCAACACTAAGGATTATACAACAAGAAATTGATTATGAAAAAAGAATAATAAAAACCTAAAGTATCTCAAAACCATAGAAAATCAATCTCAGTTCAGATAGTTTACTAATAATGTTTCTGTCTCAGAAGCCAAGTAACATAAACTTAAAAATTGTGAACCAATCAGTTCTCTGTAAACCGACTGAGTGTCTTGTTAATGAGAACAAACTATCATGAAATATAGGTTCAACACTTCATAACAATTACGTCCAATTATTTAGATATCTTCTATTTGGTGTCCGTAAATTCGTCAGAAGATACATAAACTGTAATAAGCTTCTTTAGTTTACGAGTAATATTCTCAAATATATTCACATAGATAGTAAATATGTGCTAAAATCTATGTCATTTATTTTATTCTCATTTACTGTAATTTACACAGGGACTTGCATCATGCGGTGCATGGTCATGTTTTGATGAATTTAATCGTATTGATTTAGAAGTACTTTCTGTAGTAGCTCAACAAATTTTAACTATTCAACGTGCAATTCTTGCCAATCAAACAAGTTTAATATTTGAAGGAACTGAAATTAAATTAGATCGAACATGTGCTGTATTCATTACAATGAATCCAGGTTATGCTGGACGTTCAGAACTACCAGATAATTTAAAAGTTAGTCTTATTGTAATTTGAATAATACATTAAATTATATTAACTAATAGAATCCACAACTGAAAAATAATCAATAATTTTCATAAACCCTGTTTAGAATAGGGAAACTTACAGAAATCTCTAACCAATTGTAATTTATTTTTATAAAGGCTTTATTCGAGGAATGTATTTCATTTTAAAGCTTATTACAAAGTATATGTAGTTAAAGAGATGAAGTGTACACTTGAGATATTTGCACTAATCAGTCAGTCAGTCAGTCAGTAACAACATAGAACTTCGTACGTACGTACATCAGTTCGAGTTGCCAAACCACATTAGTGGTAGAGGTAGTAAGAGTATAAGCAGTAATTGGAAAGATTAGGGTTTGACGATGTTATTCATGGAGTATAATCCAGTGAAATAAATTTGGAAAGAGAAAAAAGAGACATGGAGGATTCAGGAGATTAGAATTTGAGAGAACATAAAGAGTGGATGCACCTGCGCCATTGCAAACGATTTTGAGCTATGTCGTTCAGGATCTCCAACCATTGGTCGCTATCATCTCGCAGTCCTCAACCAGATAGTCTACACCGACCAACATGGCTCAGTTCACTTGTAAGTGACTTCATGGATTTTTGCCATATTTTGGTCTGGCCACCCCTACCTTTCTTCCAATCTACTCCTATACCATTAAACATTGCACGTCGAGACAGTCGGTGGTTGACCATACGTAACACGTGTCCCAGCCATGTTAACTTATGAAGTTTTATTATTTCATTAATTGATTTGCACTAATAATGTTAGTTCAAACAGTAATAATCAATTCTATACTAACATTTAACTTATTTATTTTTCCTGCAAAATTATTAGTTCCATATATCTTGGGAAGAACATTTTAATATATTAAAATGACTCCCATTAATGGATTAAAATCATATTGTCTTACTTATTTGTGTCCAATTGAACATTGACATGAGAATAATGAAATAGGATCTTGTTCGGGGAAATTTTTCATTATACCCTAGATAATTTTTCATCTAAGATGAAACATTTTGATTTGTATTTCATTAAGTCTCCAAACATTGACTTTTACTGTCAGTTGTATTCAATAAATAAAAATCTATGGTGACTAACAAGTGCAAACTTTATATTGTTGTGTTTCATTATGGCTTGATAACATATGAACATTTTATGTTTAACTCTTATTCTATCAACAATATTATATGTAAGCATGCAGTGGATAAATACATACAACGCATGGCTTAATACAAGCCTTAAGACCTCATCAATTGATTTCTTCCCTTAATCTTACTCTCTATCGGTAACTTCACTACTGCTTATAAGTGTTCATCTCATATATGAGTGATGACTTGAAAATAAGTTAAATTAAATGCTTCCAACTTGTACTCACTTTTAGAAATGCCAGCTTTGAAGAAATATATTCTATCCGGTTTTTTCAGAAATTCATTTCCTACATACGAAACCTCTCGCTTAAATTCGTAAAAGACACCAGTTTGCTAGTACATTCATCTAAGAAGACGGTTTTATGGTTAATCTAGATACAAAACGGATTTTATAAACGTTAATTTACTTCTTGACATTAATATAAATGTAGAAGATATAAGAGAATTCCATTCTTTATTGTGCGGAGTGAGTCGACGTCTCTATTTCATGTATTTGATTTAGGATAGTTGAAGAAAATCATCAGTATAAACATTAGTTACTATACACTACAATTTATCATTGTACTTGGTCCATTACTACAAGCGATTATTCGCTTTCCTAATAGCTCTATAACATCACTTACTATTGCATATTCCAAAAGTTTGATTTGAAATTCTCAAGAATCAACTGATTCCTTCAGAGTTTTCAGTGTTTTTTTTTAACTAGTAACTTGACTTTAGAAGTCGGTTTAGGTAAGTTCCAAGTATTTATAACAAACTTCAATGCAAACTAATTCGGTCACACTGATGAACATTAACTTTGACCTATCACTATTCATTGAAAGAATGTTTAAAGATTTAATAATTATCAAATTTATGCTATTTTTTGTCTTTTCAAGGCTTTGTTTCGTTCAGTAGCTATGATGGTACCAGATTATGCAATGATTGCAGAGATTTCATTATATTCATGTGGTTTTGTTAATGCTCGTCCACTTGCTATAAAAATTGTTGCTACTTATCGTTTATGTTCAGAACAATTATCTAGTCAATCTCATTATGATTATGGTATGAGAGCTGTGAAATCTGTCCTTACAGCAGCTGGTAATCTTAAAGTAAGTATAAGAACATAAATTATCATGATAATATTTATAATGAACTAATCAATGTCAGGTTGCTCTTTAATGACTAAATCATAATGTAATGGTAATAATAAGAAGTTAAAGATAAACACAAGGGGACAAAGATTAGCATCTGTGATACACAACTAAAGTCAATTCAGTTCTAAATAAATCAAAATAATGGGATATCGTATAAAGTTTAATGAATGTTTATCAATTAATCAAATGATAACAATCAAGTATAACAAAGTGACTTCAGTTGGAAATTTGTTCCTCTGAATTCTTGCTGAATGTTTTATAGATATCGTCAAAATCCTAAAACCGTTGACTCAGTTATTTGCAGAGTCAAAGATATGCACTTTTGAGTAATCGTCTGAAATTAAAACGAAACATTAATTTGGAGGTCTGTCATTTTGAATGGTTCTTCAGGTTATGTCAGTTACAGGTCGTGAAAAGAATTTTTTATCGACAGTGTATTAAATAGATTTTAACAGATTACACATGTTACGAATTCAACTAATATATGCTCACTTAATAAAGAAACACTAATTTGTTGAGCTCACTAGTGGTGGATCCACTTTACAATAATAATGCTAAGAGCCTTCACTTAATCTACAAAATCATCTACCTCGGACAATGATCTGACATCTTAACATTCATATGTTCACTCACATTCTTGTATTTCCATAGCCCTGTCAGAACAAGAAAACATCAAACCAGCATACATTCTTTTAAATATGGCTCAAAAACTCAATAATAATTATCATCATTTACAAGATCTTATTATAACAAAAAAGTCACATTCGGTACGTAACTAAAATTTAAGTAAATATCCAATAAAAATATGTAAAATGAGTTATATGTGAATAGTTCTGAAAGTTTCGTCTATTTGACTTATCCTTATCTAACAACATACAACCAATCTCTTAATAATTCAAATTATGATCATTAAAAGAAGTACGGTGTATATTTTCCCATGACAAGTATCGGATGATTACATTAATTAAATCACTTATTTAACTCGGATATGAATCTTTGTTTTTATTTTACCTTCAATTTTTATTCATGTAACTTTGAAAGGGGATTTGTAGAGATTTTAGTACTTTTATAGTTGAATTCATGAGAAATGAGATTTCTAATTTGGTAGTGTACTAATTTCGACATTATTTTTAGTCTTTGATTGAGATCATGAATCGATCAATTTTAAACCACCATGGAATACCTGGAAGCACTGTTTGACGGCCGTTTCGTCTTAGTAGGGAACTCCTCAACAGTGTTTATCCACGACCCAGCCACGCGAGATTCAAACCTAGGACCTATCAGTCTCGCGCGTGAACGTATAACCTCTAAACCACGAAACCGGAATACAACGGTGTCAATGTCTAACTTCAGCCAATCCACGAAATTGAGCCACCGTCCATCATTGTCTTCAGTGAGTTACTATCTCACAACAGACCCGGTTGAACGCCACTGGTCATTGCTTCTCAATAGAAATCCAGGAAATACCTCTTGAAGCCAGTCACTTGTGAGCATACGATGATTATTATCGGAAGGGGTTTTTTGAAGATTTTGTGGTTGAGATCATGTGTTTATTAAAGCTAGACTACCATAGAAAACCTGGAAACACTGCTGAGAAGTCCCATACTAGGACGAAACGGCCATCCAGTGCATCCAGTTTTTCCATGGTTGTCTAGCTTCAATTGATTCATGATCTCAACTATAAGATATAGTTTAGTTGGTTTAATCACTGAAACTATACTTTCTTCTTTATTTCTACTCTCTTTAAAAATTTAGTTAAAATATCCAAATGAAGATGAAGATGTATTAATGTTACGTTCTATTATTGATGTGAATTTACCGAAATTTCTTAGTGATGATTTACCATTATTTAGTGGAATAGCTTCAGATCTATTTCCTGGTATTGAACGTCCAACACCAGATTATGAAATATTAAATAATGCTATAAAAGATGCTTGTGATCGTATGAATTTACAATATACTAAATTTTTCATAGAGAAAATACAACAAGTTTATGAAATGATGATTGTACGGCATGGTTTTATGATTGTTGGTGAACCATTCGGTGGTAAAACTAGTTCATATCGTGTATTAGCTGCTGCTTTAGGTGAAATATGTGAAAAAGTAAATTAGATTTATATAATTAAAATGTTTGACAATTTTTGGATTATTTTAGTTAATTGATTTATTGATGAGTGAAAATTGTAGCTTATATCATAATGCATTTCATTTTGTTTGGAGGTTCCTTTACTAAGACTCAAATGCTAATTTATTCAGGAACTATGCACAGGGCGTTTAAATCAAGCAGAGTACTTAATAGGGACTGGATTATTAAAGTAAGATTATCCTAATTAACATTAACTAGTTAATTGAACTTAACATACTACTAACAGTTTTCGTCAAAACAAATCTAAAATTGTCCAAGACCAATCGATGTCCGTATGAAATAATAATAATAAATCTACTGTATATTACCCCGTAATGCAACAAGATTAATGGTCATCTTATTTGTAGTATTCTTCTGTAACTATCTGTAATTATTTTATCTAACAAAGATATTCATTTCACGTACAAAAAATACTTTCAGTCATATGCTCACCACCCTCATATTCAACTGATAAATTTAACGCCTCATCAACATATTCAAAAAGATGTTACAAAAAACTAAAGAAGTAGAAAACGTGACGAAGATTATCCACTGACATACGACTGCACTGAAGACAGTGTAATCCCAAAAGAACAAACTCTTAACGAGATAATGATGTAAACAGAAATGTGAACGACCAAGAATGTTATATTTTAACACGTGACAATTGTTCACAAACGGAAAACTTCACCTGTTTATGAGTCAGTGTATGCTTTTATGTATAAAGTTGTAAACCAAAATTATGCAAATGGATAGATGAACACATCCTTAGTTTCCACCTTTGCTCGTCCACAACATAAACCGTTCTAATAATGTTAAAATCAGAAAAATTGTTGATTATGATCGTTATCAGAATGGGGATTTGTGAAGATTGTAATAATTTAAATAGTTAAATTTATGAGTTAATCTAAGATAGACTACCATCAAAAATTTGGTAGCACTAAACGGCCTTTTCATTCTAGTATGAGACTCCTCAACAGTGCTCATGCACGATTATGATTATATCATGATTTTCTAATTATCACAAAATACTAAACCAAGTAGATGGATATTTACTCAATAATCATCTAATCAATTTTGTAAAGCCTTGTTTGTCAACTAATTTTCAACTTATCAACTTATCGTTAAAATTGATTGGTATATATTATAAAGGGTTTATTATCATAAACTCAACTTTTTCATTACACATGATCAATCAGTTATGAGCAACATGTATTCACATATGTGCGTCGGTTCGAGCTGTCATACCACATAAGCACAGCAAAACGAAAACATCAAGACAAATATTAGAGTAGTAAAATTAGTAATCGTATTAAGGACAGTAGAAAACAGTATGCAGAGATAATATAATTTAAGTAGTAAGAAGCTATAAAATGATTTAGAACTCAATATCTAAGGGGAGACAAAGAGCGATTACATCTCCATTATTGTAACTGATTCTGAGTCCTGTCATCTAATATCTCTAACCACTGGTTCAGATAATCAAGTGGATCCCAACAAGGTAGTCTGGATCTCCCTACGCAGCTCATTAAAACAGTCAATAACTTTGTAAACTGATACTACATTTCCACTTAAACTCCTCTGGTTTTATTCCAACTAACTTCGAGTGCCGAGACAGATGGTGGTTGGATGAACGTAATACATGACCTATGTGATTCAATCCATGAAGATTTACTACCTCATAGAATAATGCATCAACAGATACACTTAACAAAACTATCTCTATTGATAAGTGGTTAGATCATGACATTCCTCAAATAGTTCATTCATTATGTTTTTTTTCGAGATTGCCAATCAATCAGACAATTCAATCCAAAGGATAAGGTTATGCATCAGAGTTATAAACTTTCTCCATAGTTTTAAAACTCTTCAACTATCATTAAAAACTGGAAAAAAACCAAACTGACGAGCCTTTTTGTATCACAGAATAGAGCATAACTTTATTCATATAATGTTTGATATATGTTAAGAATAATATTATGCTTATTAAAGCACACTACTACTAGTATTATTACTATTCAGGTTATTGCTTGTTTATATGTTCTGTTTATATCCATAAAAACAGGGTCTTATGGAAGAAAATAAAGTGCAATATACTGTAATCAATCCAAAAGCGATAACAATGGGACAGTTATATGGTCAGTTTGATCCCGTATCACATGAATGGTCAGATGGTATATTAGCTGTTTCATATAGAACATTTGCTACATCAACAACACCAGATCGTAAATGGTTAATATTTGATGGACCAGTTGATGCTGTATGGATAGAGAATATGAATACTGTGTTAGATGATAATAAAAAGTTATGTTTAATGTCAGGTGAAATTATTCAGTTAGCGCCAACAACTAATTTGATATTCGAACCAATGGATTTAGAGGCTGCTTCACCGGCAACTGTATCTCGTTGTGGTATGATCTATTTGGAACCGGCAAGTTTAGGTTGGCGACCATTGCTACGTAGTTGGATGAATAAATTACCTAATTTTATTAAACAGTTACATAAAGATATTTGGATTGATATGTTTGATAGATTTGTCGATGCCGGTATTGCATTAATTCGTAAAGGTGGTATTAAAGTAAGCGGAATGTTTTCTTTTGAAGTTGTATCTCAAACACCGATCTTCATAAAACTATCATAGTACATAAGTAGTTCAGTAATTTAATGTCGCTGATTGGCCTGCACTAGTATTGTCTAAGCTATTTGAATTACACAAATGTTTTCCGCTCGTCAATTTTTGTTATATATTTAAAGTTTACCCTATTTTAAAGATCGTCTTGAAAGGACTTTTTATTTGAAACTAATATCGAGTGAGGAAGTATTCAACATTAAGTCCGGTGCGGTTTGATAAGAACTGCATCTAGTTAATCTATAGATACACGGTTACAGCCAAGTCCTTTATATCTAATGACGAACATGGTACATTCGAAGTAGTGAGTTCGAGTTTATTAGCTTGCACATCTCAGCTTCGATAAACTTTGATTATAGCATAATTTTTAACACAGTTGTTTCTCGATATCCAAAATCTACATCAGTGACTAATGATATAGATTTACTGGTTTTCATTGGTTACTTCTTGTTTAAATACATTTTAGTCATTAGTATGGGTGCTTTGTTAACATTGTTGAGTTGACCCTAGTTAGACAGCCATAGAAAAACAAGAATTACTAGGTGGCTGTTTTTCCTTGAGATGCGACTCCTCAGTAGCCCGCATCTACGAACCCATCTGAGTTCAAATGAGAATCCTTAACCATTAGAATGAAACCACGTAGATAGTATGATGCTTACCGCTCCATGGCATCGAATGATGACCGAGTAATATCATGGAATGTAAACTATTAGTTGCCAACTCATAGGTGTAAAGTTTAAGCACTACCGCCAAGGTATGAAGGTCCTGGGTTTGACCAGAAGTGAAACTATGAATGCACGCTTCGGAATAGTCCCATATCTAAACGGAATAGCCTATTTGTCTTTCGTGGTTCCCAGTGGTTGTAAGCAACAATAAGCTTCTAAATTCTCACATTTGTCGTTGTTTGTGAGAAATGGTTAGGTTTTACTAACATTTTGGTGCTTATTTTACTAATAGAAGTAAGATATACTAAACCGGTTAAACAATTTGTTGTAACATTAGGTTTTAATTACAAATAATAAATTTGGTAAAGGATAAATTGAACGCCAAATTGATTTCCATCGAGTAGCTGAAACATTAGTGACCTTAACTGACATATACACGAATAGATTTCATTGGTTACCGATGTCAAGTGAATAACTTTCACTCCAACTTGTTTTCAAGTCATAATACGTGTGATTAACTCGAAGATCTTGATCAGCCTATCAGTTATGCTGAAGATCGGGATTACGCAATCACTTTCAGAACTTAATAACACAGATCTCTAGGTATCAACTATAAGTTTCAGATGACTTTTTAGCAAAAAAGATAATATAAATGGAAACTAGATTCAGTGAATGATAGTCGACTAAGATGTGTTCATAATTAACTGAGTGGAGACAAACGTGGGAAAACTTAATGCGCAGTAAATCTAAGTTAACTGTCATTCTTGTCTATATAGAAATAATTTATTGGACATATTAAAAAAGGCTGTACACTTTCGATCATAAACAACGAATTACCTACAACATTATGCTTTTAGTTAAGATATAAATTTCGGTCTCTGTAGGATTCAACTTTGAAGTCAATAGGAGGATATGTGAAAAGGTAACCATTCAACGGTTTGTACACTCTGGCAGTTCCGTGCAATATAGTTGCGAATCATAACCTTCATTATCCGATACATACGTCTTCTAGCCTTATTTATTCATCGCTTCAGTAATCCACCTAAAATTTTATTAAAAACTTACATGAGGTATGTGGAATGGTCGGGAGCACATGTTTCAACGAAATGTGTCTTGAACTTTATGAAAACTAAATGTTCATCTGTGATTTGAATTGGATATAGGTGAATAAATTTATAATCCTCTGAAATTTATCCTTACTAAGGTTATTTAGAAAAACAAAATAGTCCCTGAGCCTTTATGATAGTCTCTATGAGTAATGAAGACTTTTCTGAACAACAATCGACTGAATGCAAACCTGTAAGATTTAATTGAATGCAACCTATAAAAACTGAATCACAACACTCTGCTTTTCTCAACAGTTTTATATTTTGGTTGGCTTTTTCTACTATTCAAATAATAAGACTTTCCTTTCTATTCAATTCTACAATTTACTGATTTTTATCACTTTATTTCATGATTTGTTTTCCCTATTTCTATCCAATTTACTTCACAAAAAACACATACTCCCTAAATTAAACAATCAATCAATTAATCAATGAAGGAATTATCACCAACTAGTGATATAAACTTAGTGAAATCATTAATGAATCTAATTGATTGTCAAATAGCAGAATTTAATGCTGACAATAATTTTACACAACTTACTGATCATAATTCAAGTGCAATCGTTGAAGTAAGTTCAATTTGTTTGTGTGTAATACGTACATGAACTTTTATTATTATTATTATTATTATTATTATTATTATTATTATTATTATTATTATTATTAGTAGTAGTAGTAGTAGTAGTAGTAGTAGTAGTAGTAGTATTTATACACATATATAAAGAGAATGTATAATGAAATTTAAGAAAGTAGACTAAACTTCTTTCCAACTTATTGTTACACTTAATCTATTTATAATTTTATTTCTGGGATTCCTAAACATCTTAACACGTCTAAATCAATTTGAATACTTAAGAAAATACTTTTCTGAGTATCACTTTAGCATTAGAATAACTTCCTTTATCCTATTTTATGAAATAAAATTCTGAAATATAAAGTGATTTAGGATCTATCTCTATTGGAACACGTTTTGTACTAATCATATTTGTAATTCATGAAGATTCTTTATTGACAGATAACGTTGTCTAGATGATATATCTTAGAAGATTACTTTAACAAATGATGTGAAATTTTCAATCCATCCTGTTATCGGATAAACCTTCAGACCATTGGGTCCAATTCACATTCCTCCTGAGAAGTAAACCATGAAGATAAACTACTGATAGGTAAAAAAAATGTTAGCGTAAGTCATTGAAATGATGAGCAACTACAAAAGACAATGAAAAGTTGTATTAGATGATAATGAAATATAGCCTCCAAAAGCCCCTATTCTTATTGATCTACGACTAGGTATTATTAATAAAATGTCGAATATTAAATTTCTGGACTATTTAAGAAGTACTGTCTTGTATGATTATTATTATTATTACATAATAGATTTACTTGTTCTATGCTTTTTCTTCCAGTGTATATTCTTTTTTGCTTATGTTTGGTCAATCGGTGCTACTACAGATAAAGATGGTAGACAGAAATTTGATAAATTAATACGTGAATTAATGAATGGTGGTATGATGGAAGAGACAAGACAACGACTGGCATTAATTGAATTAGTTCCACCGCCAATGGAAGATTATAAACGTCCATTTCCGATAAAGAAAACAGTTTACGATTATAAATTAGTAATGAAGGTTAGTTTTGTTGATCATTTAGAATGATAACGATTCGTCTATTGTTGATTTTTTCAGAAAGTTATTCTTTAATCATTTTCCATTAGATAATTCTCTTCGTAAGCAGCTTGGTTGGCAGATGAAAAATTCGCCTACATCTTAGGTGATACAAATTGGCAAAAGCCAACTAACCTATCAGAACTGATAAAACTTTTGAAGACAAGTGAATTGACTAACACACTTAAGTGACCCATCCTCTATGATCAACCCAAGCAGTTATACGAAAAATTAACGTACAGCAAAATGTTCCATTTAGAAAGAACAAAACGTATTTTAATGGTTGTTGAAGGTTATTAAAACCACTGTTTATTCTACTACTGTTTTCAATAAATAGAATTATGGCAACTGCGTATTTTATTTGAACAGATGAATCTCTAGACAGAGTATCAATTCCTGATATTCTTTCAATTATTTTACTATGTATAACGTTTTTGTGAACGTTTTGACGGAAATCCTCATGTAGGACTAACATTCACTGGATGCTATTGGATGTGACTAATCAACAGACTGCAACTGACAACCATTGACTAGTGAATTGGAACTATATATTGGAATAATATCGAAACATAGATCTTTTGGCATTCATTAGGTATTTTACATAAAAAAACTGACATTTATGACATCGTTGGAGGAGATAAGAATATTACTATATCATATTATTAGAATATTACTGTAGCGTTGGTGCGCATTATTCAGGAAGATAAATTAAACTTTCTGTTGGTATCTGATCAATCAAAAGAAACACTAATTTGCTAAATAATATAGACTAATTTACCCTTATCAATTTAAGCATAATTTATGATACATAATCTGACAACTGAATAAAAACATGTAATTACCTATCCAAAATCAAGGCAAAAGTACCTCACTCAATCAGGCGACCAACAATGGGTTCATACGCCTTTTGTTTCCTCAGAATCCTGGAGCTCATGTGCACCACTGGTTTGGAATCAGGGTTTTTCAACTCCCTTAGGTGGAAGCTCGATATCCACCAACCCGGTTAGAACACCGGACATTCATTTTTCATCCTCTTGATTTCGTGAACAACACTCCACCTCAAGAAGGTAGTGAGTGGGTTTTTTCCAGCGGTGGCTGTATACGTATGACCGTGTGAGAGCATTTTGAGAAGGAAAGCAGACTCTCCCCACTCGGCCATTCCAGGGCATTTGGGAGCGATACGAACTTACCTATGTTATATAATATAATAGCTAACTAGTATTTATGTCTTTTACTTCATTTTGATGATTTTAAAAACAAACAAATAAACTGATTATTCAAGATACTAGAAATAGCTACTAAAACACATTCAGGAAATATCACAGTGTCTAAATTAAACTCAATAGCTATACACTAATGTAAAAAGTCAACTATTTACATTCATTGTACCAAGATTTAATGGAATAATATACATCTTTATAATGGAACTGAATTTTTAACAATAATGTTGAAATGTTAAATAAAGTCTGTAAACTGTTTTAATTTTGTATTTTTGATAGGCCAATAATAAAGAAGGAATAGAAGATGAGGTAAGTTGTGCGAATGAACTACTTGATTGTATTTCTTTTAAAAACTGAAACAGCAAATAATAAATACATATTAAATAATGATAATAATTTAGTTCAACACCTTAACACCCAATGATAGTAGAGAAGTTTTTCTGGTATATTTTGATGACTATACACTTGGATATTGTTGATTTATAGCCTAGAAATAGCATTCACTCTCATCGTTTCCACCCCATCCCTCCCAAGGTGAATGCGAACGAAAATACACTGTTTTCAAATCGCAATTAGTTTCACCTAGTTTAAAATTAATTCTCTAACCTCTGGTTGGCTTGAGTTTATTCTAACGATGATGTCGATTAAATCTAAAAGTTATCAAGCACTTGGCTTTAGTTTATTTGGATGATATGAAGTGATTAAAATAGTTCTTAGTGCGGTCTAACATGATCTGGCCAAGGAGTACTGAGAATCGGGTTTGTTTTAGTTCGAGTTTTATAAGCAGCGCCCAATAGTGGCCCACAAATAATTAAACCTAGGTTCGAATGAACACATTACATTTACACTAACGAATCGTAACGCAGCGATCGATGTTTTTAAATGAATTCATAAATGCACACTGTTATGATGTCTGCGAATTGGGACAAAACAACTGTCTAGTGTCTTTTAGCTTTCATTGTTTTTCACATGAAATTTTCATTTTATCAACCAGTCAGTCTGCAGTCAACGTAGAATCTGGAGAACACTGTGGATCGGCTTTGTCATAATACCAGTTTCGCCACTATGAGATGGAATTAACAAAACAAATACCAGTGGAGTTAGAATAATAGTAGTTCTATTAATAAAATGACATAATATGAAGAATATGGCTTGAAAAGTATAAATTTAATAACAAAGACAAAAAATTATAAAGTAGTTTAGAAACTAAAACTCTTTGGGATGACGAAAAATGAATGAATCTACATCATTTTCATCAATTCTTATCCATTTTAAACTAACTTCACAATTTATTGGTCACAGTTATCGACCGGATCACAGTTTAGACAGAGAATCAATGGGTTTATAGACTTGCACTACTTCTTTATTTGCTCATATCTAGCTTTCATTTAATCTAATTCTACACGAACAGACATTGTGTGCCAAAATATGCGGTGGTGGGGCATATTTAACACACATCCCATTCGTTTAAGGTGATGAGGATTGACTGCCTTTTAGACTAATTTACCATCTCTTTTCAATACCATGTATGTAACCTCAGCATTACTTACCTATGCCTGTTACTCCTAATGGAACATAGGACGCCGACCACCATTCTCCAACCCACTCTATCCTGGGCCTTCTTTTCGAGTTCCATCCTATTCTTGTTCATTTTCCTCATGTCTACCTCCATTTCCCGGCGTAATGTGTTCTTTTGTCTTTCTCTTTTCCTTTGGCCTTGAGGATTTCATGTTAGGGGTTGTCTTGTGACACAGTTGGGTGCTTTCCTCAATGTGTGTCCTATCCACTTCCAGCACTTCTTCCTCATTTCTTCCTCCACTGGGATCTGGTTTGTTCTCTCCCACAGTAGGTTATTGCTAATGGTGTCCGGTCAACAGACCCGAATTATTTTGAGTAGACAATTGTTAATAAACACCTGTATCTTCTGGATGATGTCTCTCGTGGTTCTCCAGGTTTCTGCCCCATACAGTAGAACTGTCTTGACATTTGTATTGAAAATCCTGACCATGATGTTGGTTGACAGTTGTTTTGAGTTCCCGATGTTCTCCAGTTGCTGCTCTTGTTTTGCCGATCCGCGCCTTCACATCTGCATCAGATCCACCCTGTTCATCAATGATGCTACCCAAATATGTAGAGGTTTTTACATCTTCCAAATTTTCTCCGTCAATTGTGATTGGATTGGTGCATGCTGTGTTGTATTGGAGAATCTTGCTTTTCCCTTTGTGTATATTGAGACCTACTGTTGCTGAGGCTGCTGCTACACTGGTCGTTTTCTCCTACATTTGTTGTTGTGTTTGCGATAGGAGGGCCAGATCATCTGCGAAGTCTAGATCGTCCAACTACATCCTAGATGTTCACTGTATCCCGTGCTTCCCTTCAGATGTTGACGTCTTCATGATCCAATCGATCACTAAGAGAGAGAGAAAGAGTGAGAGTAAGCAACCTTGTCTGACACCGGTCTTCACTTCGAACGAGTCTGTCAACTGTCCTCCATGCACGATTTTGAAGTTTAACTCATCATAGAAATTCTGAGGCACGCCGTAGTGTCGAAGGAGCTTCCATAGTGTTGTTCTGTCCATGCTACCAAATGCTTTTTCGTAGTCAATGAAGCTGATGCAGAACGATGAATTTTATTCAATTGATTGTTCCACAGTGATCCGTAGTGTTGCGATTTGGTCTGTACATGATCTATCCTTACGGAATCCTGCCTGTTGGTCTCGAGGTTGGCCGTCTACAGAGTCCTTCATCCTGTTTAACAATACCCTGTTGAAGGCTTTACCTGGCATTGAGAGAAGAGTGATGCCCCTGTAGTTATCACACATGATGAGATCGCCTTTCTTCGGTATTTTGATCAGTAGTCCTTCTTTCCAGTCTGTTGGTACTTGTTCCTCATCCCAAATCTTATTGAAGAGAATGTGGAGCATCCGTGCAGTTGCCGCTACGTCTGCTTTTAGTGCCTCTACTGGAATGTTGTCCGGTCCTGCTGCTTTGCCACTCTTGATTTGTCTGATGGCCATGCTGATTTCTTCAATTGTTGGTGGGCCAACATTGATTGGGAGGTCCGTGGGTGCTGCTTCGATGTTGGGTGGGTTCAGTGGAGCTGGTCGATTCAACAGTTCTTTGAAGTGTTCTACCCACCTGTTTTGTTGCTCTTCAATGTTGGTGATTACCTTGCCTTCCTTGCTTTTCACTGGTCGTTCTGGTTTGTGGCGATTTCCAGAGAGTTTCTTTGCCGTGTCATACAATTGTCTCATGTTTCCTTCTCTTGCAGCCTTTTCCGCCGTCATTGCTAAATCTTCCACATATTTACGTTTGTCGGTTCTGATGCTCCTCTTCACTTGTTTGTTTATTTCCGTGTATTCAGCTTGTGCCTTGGCATTTTCTGCTCTTGTTCGGCTAGTATTGATTGCTTCTTTCTTGTTCCTCCTTTCTTGAATCTTATCCAGTGTATCAACAGTGATCCATTCCTTGTGATGGTGCTTCTTGTGGCCCAGGACCTCATGATATGTTGAAGTGACTGTCTCTTTGATCCCCTTCCAGTTGCTTTCCATAGTAGTTCCTTCTCCATAGTGTAGATCATGAAAGGCCTGGAACGTATTGCTGAAAACTATCTTGAATTTGTTGAGTTTGTTAGTATCCTGAAGAAAGGCCTTATTGAACTTTTGTGATGTTGTCCGCCCCATTGTTCAGTACTTCTTCAGTTTCAATTTCATCTTGGCAACCAGCAAGTGATGATCTGATGCTATATCAGCTCCTCTCTTGGTTCTCACGTCCTCTATAGTCCTCCTGAACGTTTTGTTGATGCAAATATGGTCGATTTGGTTTTGTGTAGAGTGATCCGGTGAAGTTCATGTGGTTTTGTAAATGCGTTTATGTGGGAATATTGTGCCACCTATGACCAGTTTATTGAAGGCACATAGGTTTGCAAATCTCTCACCATTTTCGTTTCTTTCTCCCAGTCCGTGTCGTCCCATGATGTCTTCATATCCAGTGTTGTCCGTTCCAACCTTGGCGTTGAAATCTCCCATCAGAATGGTCAGGTCCTTTGTTGGGCACTTCTTGACTATTGACTGCAGCCTATTGTAGAATTGATCTTTAGCGTCTTCATTGTAGTCGTTGGTAGGCGCATAGCATTGGATGATGTTCATTGAAATGTCCTCTTTCTTTGTTTTAAACGAGGCTTTGATGATCCTTGGTCCATGAGATTCCCATCCTATAAGTGCATTTTGCGCTTGTTTGGACAGCATCAATGCAACTCCTTGTGTATGTGGTGCATCTTCTTCTTCATGGCCGAAGTATAACAGAAGCTACCCTGAAGCTATTCGTTGTTGTCCAACTTGTGTCCAATGTGTTTCACTGATCCCAAGCACCTCTAGGTTGCATCTCCCCATTTCTGCATCAATTTGGAAGACTCTCATAGTCTCCTACATTGTACGAGCACTACGTGTACCTAAATAAATGGTTGCTTTGGTTATCAGAAGGGGCATCGGCCTCGTGGCTTCCGAAGAAACTCGGCTTTCACCATGAGGCGTCATATTCTTCTAAATGAAGACCTTCTGACTGCCAGGGTAGGGTTTAAGTGTCGAATAATTTTTTATGGTCAGCGTTTTTTTAACGAGTTAGTTTTCTACGTGATGGGGTCGCTAACCCCATGCTCAACCCTCCTCCTTTATCCGGGCTTGGAACCGACAGTAGCCCCAGAGGGACTCCAGGCGGAGTTAATCCCAGCTTTACTCACTCGGTATTTCTAATAAGCGTGAGAAGTCGTTCGAAGAAATTAATGTTTGATTCTCTGCTTTCAAAATCACCTTTCTTATCCCCATAAATAGAACAGAGCGGACTACTTTTCAGCTTATTGATCCCTTCATATATAGGGAGGGATTTTGATTTCAGCTTATGAGGAAAATTTCTAAGCAACCGAATAGCCGCTGACCTGAGAAATATAACTTTTAATTTACCCATGAGTTTAATACCTTGAGTTACAGAGCACGTAATCAATATTTATATGTAACACCTGAAGGGATTATACTACAATTGAATTTTATTTTTTTTAATTCACTACTCATTTCTAAGAACAAGTAGTTTCTTTGCACATTGAAACTGTTATAAAACTATTTTCTAAATAACTAATTATTTAATCGGATAAAATATTTTAATAATAAATTTTGATAATAGTGTTGATCGTGCCTTGACATTAGTTAGAAAATCATTTGAAATGAACAAAGACTGTCGAACTAATTTATCAAGGTTTCTTATTCACCTGCAATGTTCACTCCTGGTGAAGTTGTTAGTCTTCAGTACAGGAAAATATAAAACCTGGACAAACTAGCAGTACATTACTCTCTTATTTTCAACAATTTTAGTGATAGTGCATAATCAGAATTAATTCCAAATTTTAAGAAAACCTCCAAATCGCTTTTACTTAATCATATTATATTAACTAAAAGATAATGATAACCGTTCTTATTACTTTAAATATTCTTATTTTTGAATAAAGATCCCAATTAACTGGGAGTTGTGGACAGAGACTGTACGTTTAGCGCCACCAATACCTAAAGATGCCAGTTTCAATGAAATAATCATTCCAACAGTAGAAACTGTTCGATGTAATCATTTACTAAATTTATTTATTTTAAATGGTAAACCATCATTATTTATCGGTCCAACTGGTACTGGGAAATCATGTTATATAATGGTAAGTCACTTTTATTTGTCAAATTGTTTCTAAATTGTTTTCACCGGATTTCTAAGGTTATCTACAACATTTTTAATGTTCAATAAATGTGTTGTATCTAGAATCTTCGATCATTTACCCGTTTATTTAGTGGATGAGTACTGCATACTGGAGTGTAGTTTTTGTTAATGACTTTGTTTCAAGCATCTTGTGTTATGCTCAATTGTCTGTTATAAAAATATTCATATAACAAAGTTTAACATGCCTAATGAAAAATACGAGTTAGGGATTGAAATGAAATTCCTTATTAAAATTACAGTCGAACATATATATCACTTACGGACTAAATAAACAGATAAATTGACAAAGGCTCTGGACACAATACATTTACTAGACATTGAAATCACTAGGGATTATCTCAGACGTTATCGCTTGTCATGATTAATAAAAGTAACTACGAATACGTTCATTTTAGCTACAGTTTCAAATTACAATATCTATTTCTGTTATATGCCAACGAGAATAATAAGTGGTAACTGTTGGGCTCTATTTATGTGATAACACTATACATATATTTTTATTGTATAATTGTTAAGCAACTAAACTGTGCATATTCATGTACCTCTTATTATAAGCTTTATTTTGATTTATAGACTATTATTATACGATTTTCCGTTCTTGAGTTATGCCCAGATTATTAATTACCATCTCCCATATACACAGCCACTTTTGGCTAAACCTTGTACAAATGTTATTTTAGATTTTATGGTTTGATGTGGTCTATTTAGTTTGTATATAAACCCAGTATGTTCGAAATACATGATTCATATTGCAGAGGCTGAGATTCGTGTTCTGGACTCAACAGGTAGGGCTAGTTAAGAAGAAGAACCGATAGAGACTCTAGATTGCTCGTACGGTTTTTATGCTCCATTGGTGCAGTCAGTAATTCACTGTTCTCTAATTGGCAGTATCATTACGTTATGTATATTGACAGAGCACAAGGCCACAAGTTCTCACAATTTCATTGACATTTCAAATGTGCTAAAAAGTAACTTGTTTAGAAAATCGATTTCTGATCACATAATATTATTTTTTTATAAATAAATTAATTTATTTGAAGATCAGTTTAGTTTAACTAAAGTAAATAAAAATACAGTTTACGAATTTGGTTAATGAATTTGGTCAGACTATAATTTATGGACGACCTTTGAGCGACATTGAAGTGACCTTGAGAGTGGACACCTACTGATTAGGATTAAATGATGGTTATAAAACAGTTAGAACTCTCATTTACAGTTGATGGTTAAGGTTAAAAATTAAATTTAGAGTTTTCATCGCGGACTGACATTAGCTAGAATGACAAAACTCTATTTAGCCAAATATATGAATGAATTTCGCGCCAAAATTCGTGACTTGTTATATTATATCTGATTGATTCGTCCATAAATTATAGTCTCGCCATTAATTTTTACATAAAATTTTACAAGCTGTTTTAATGTTTATCATTTGACCTCTTCTAATATTATTTTTAAATATAGACTTAATTAATCATCTATGCTTTCCGTAAACTTCTAGACTGTGCAAGAGAACGTTTCATCAACACCAACTACATAATTAAATTATTATCGTTTTCATGTCGAGAAATGATGAATACCACTACGATGAAGCCTATATAGAATCATAAGTTTTAATCTCTCATGTTGATAGAAAGCCTTCTCAGCAAATCATATTTTTCATAGATATTTACTTTCAACCTCTGCTACAAAATTACACCATTTTCCTGTTCTTTGCATGAAAAAATTTTGGTCGGTACTAAGGTTTCTTTTCGCCTAAGGTACAGTTTTCTTATTGCAAGTTAGTGGCTCGAGCTACCCAGGAGGAGACCCTGGATACGGATTTCTTACTCTTTGGGTCTTAACAGCAGGGTACACCTGCAACTTTGAAGAAACTGGTGCTCCTTGGAGGAATGGATGCCTATGAGAATTCATTCGCAGTTCGAATAGCTCAGTAGTAACGTCTATGACACTGAGTCTGGGTGATATGGAATTAAATCCGTTAGGTAGCATCAGTTTCTCCAGTATTACAGGTACACCTTGCTTATAAGTGCCAAAAAGTTCGAAACCCAAATCCACGGTTACTTGTTGAGTGTCTTTAACCACTACTTTATATCTCAACATAATGCACACGGTGTCAAGTAACTTAGACTAGTGGCCACAGCGCAATTCGATTGGCAGAATTCGATCACCATTGAAAAACACTTGGCATACATAACATTGGCCACTACTCAGTTATCAATCAATTGTAAGTTAACTCAATGTAATTAAATTATAGATTACACAGAAATAACTACCGAATATCTCTCTGTTTATCTGAACAATTTTTTGACTAATATTACTTCATAGTTCGGTATTTGTTAACAAAGAATAATTTTTTGTTTATCTTCATCAATCATAGGATTTTCTCATGAATAAGGTGGATAAAGACATCTATAAGCCGCACACGTTGAACTTTTCAGCACAAACTAGTGCAAATCAAACACAGAATATTATTTTATCGAAATTAGATCGTCGACGTAAAGGTGTATTTGGACCACCAATGGGTAAAAAAATTATTGTATTTGTTGATGATTTGAATATGCCAGTAAGAGAAACATATGGTGCACAGCCTCCGATTGAATTATTACGGCAATGGTTGGATCATTGGAATTGGTATGTAGTTCATCATTCATTAAATTTATATCATTCTAATTGTAACCATAATGTAATTACGTTATTTGTGGGTTCAAAAATATCTACTTAATAGTACTGTTCAGTTGAACTTACCTATGGGAATGGACTCTTACTATTGAGCACTAAAATTTCAGAACAGCTGTCTCTAGTTTTCACTGCTTTTCCAGCTGACGTCATTCCTTGAGAAAGTCTGTCTTCAAAATAAACCAACAAATAAAACCATGATGATGTGCTGACTTTAGACTAATCTTGTGATAGGTTCTGAAAGTTCAACTAATAAATGACCACGTTGAGCGTTTAGCTAAGTCAGTAGAAAGACTGAAATCACTAATTACATTGGATGATTGTCTCCTTATGTCACAAACAGACTGAACTTGGAAATATCGATCGCAAATGTCAGACTCAAAATAATAAGAAAAAGAGTTATAAAGGCCTCAGTTCATAAGCGTACACTGCTGAGGAGTTACCAACTGAGACTTAATAGCTATTTAGGGTTCTCTGATTCACAATGATCTTACAACCGATATCAACCGGTAACTCTAATCATTTACAAATTTGAATTATCTTCGCAAATATATAGACTATTTATAACGAATTATTTTATTTAATTGTTAATATTAAGGTATGATTTAAAAACGAATGAAGCAATCCGATTGATTGACTTACTTTTCATTGGTTCTATGGGCCCACCAGGAGGTGGACGAAATGTCATTACTCCAAGATTTTTACGTCATTTAAATATTGTAACTGTTAATGAATTCGATGATCATACAATGAAAACAATATTTACAAGAATTATGGACTGGCATATCACAGTGAAGTAAGCCTCAATGATAATATACATAGAATACAAGATTATTTGTATTCATTCATTTTATATTGACACCAATCCAACTATTTTCATTGTTTACACTAACAAAGCATCATCTAAGATGAAAATTATTTTGCTGTGATTTTTATTTATAAGATTTTAATTGAAATTATTGAAATTAAAATGTGGTAGGATGATGTGATCTATAGAGTCTACCTCAATCACTAGCATATCACTCTTTAATGTTTTTTTAATACCAATCTAAATAGATAAGACAAGAAAGAAAACAAAGTATGAAGCTCAAATTCACTGAATGAATAATCTTAATAGATGATAAGTATTTAATACATGATCGAAATGACTGAAATAGTTTATGTGTCAATGATGAATTATGGTCTAGGTGGATAATCTAATTGATCCTTGAATCGTGTTTACTTGTATCTGACTTATCATATAAACAAAATATGCTGAGTAATTTGTGAAGCCCTCGTCAGTCTGTTTGATTTGTTACAAATTTCATTCCAAACAATCTAAGATATTTTAAACTGGATCTTTCCATCAATTCAGCATTAAACAAGTTGAGTCAAATCACTTTTTTCCCGAAGTCACTGAAAAAATTTACTAATAATCGTAACTTTCTTATGTAGTCAGCTAATAACAAAAATAAATTCACATCATGTTGTTTACTTGAAGTTTCCTGTTTATGTTTAGGACTGCGATTGATTAGTCTTTTACTGGCATATGTGCATACCGTGCGTATTGCCTCGACATAGCCTTAATTCACAAGCATTATAAGCAAAGATGGATAGTGGCCAGCAGTGGAATCCAAGACGCGCGTTTCGTCCTATTGGAAACTCGTCAGCTTGATGTACCTGCATCTTAGATTTGATGTTAACTCTGTGACTCGAACCTAGTACCGCGTCCTGAATTCCGCTGCTAGTCACTACCTATCTTGGTTAATAATAATAATAATAATAATAATAATAATAATAATAATAATAATAATAATAATAAATAGTTGTGCATATCAGTCGGACTTTGACGGCCGATAAAATTGATTTACCTACTTTTCGATGTAAACGTTTTACAGTCTTACTCTGTATATTCTGTCTATGATAAATTAATTGAAATCATGTAAGAGGTTAAGTAGACAGAATTTACAAAATATTGGCCTAGAATATTTCGTTTGGTATATTGTAATGATAAACCAACCGGTTGAGTATTTTAATTTTATACTCCTCTTATAGTGTTATTTGAAATCAGTAGGCCTCAAGAAGTAAGTACAAAACTTATGGAATTCACCATAATATTGAATCTGAAAAATCTCTGTTGTAACCAAAGAGCGAGACTGTTTGAATATTTGAAGTTCATCACAGCGTTCTTTCTTTCTCTACTTCTCAAATCTTTTTACAATATCATATAACTCTTTATCTTTTAAGAGGACATCTATGAAGACTATGAAACTAACTGAAAGAAATAATCAGTTGGTGTTAAAACTTATAAAAAATAGATAAGACTTCAAGTAGGAAGTGTTTACCAATATGATGCACTAAGTTACTTACTCTCACTAATAAAAGACAATTAAATTTACTTCTTGACAAACAGAGTTCACTTCCGTTTTCAAACAATAAAATACAATTATTCATAGAGAACATTATAAAGACTTTCATCGAACAGTTGATATTTCTGTATCACAATAAATCAGTTCTATTAGGGTGTTCAACAGATTCTATAATGCTTATAAATATCAACTTTATCGAGTTATTATTTATTATTGATCTGATGAAATGATGATAAACTATGATAACACTTCTCTTTATCTTTTATTACAGAGGTTTTAGTCCGGATTATAAGAAAATGCCAGAACAAATAGTTAATGCCACACTTGAAGTATATAAAGCTGCATTACAAAACCTGCTACCAACACCCACTAAATCTCATTATCTATTTAATTTACGTGATTTTAGTCGTGTTATACAAGGTATTTTACTATCGGTTCCTGAATCTGCGGAAACACTAGACTCTATGAAACGTTTGTGGGTTCATGAAGTATTTCGTGTTTATTATGATCGTTTAGTCGATGATGCTGATCGTGAATGGTTATTTAATTTTATACGACAATGTGTTAAAACGCATTTGGATGTAGAATTTAATACATTATTTCAACATTTAACAGGTGATAATGAAACTGAGGTAAAGATGCTTGATTATGTGTTATAAATGAAGAAATTTAGTGTATTTGTTTACATTTTTGTTATTTAAGTCTTGAAAATATTTGATTTAACTTGTAGGCAGTATTTGTTATTGGTTGTTCCCATTGAAAATTAAAGTGTGCTGGAAAGCTGTTTCGTCGCCGTATGGGATACCGCCACAGTATACGTCAAAAAACTCCGATTGTTGAGTCTAGGACTTAAATCAACCATTACGTAGCATTTTCATCATTTCTATAATCTCATGGAATTTTTTTCAATTCCATGATTTCTAATCACTATCTCAATTTTCTGGAACTTTCCCTCCCAAACTCTATATATTCGAAACAAAATTTTATGACCTCACTAACTCTAACGAAATGTTTGCTACATTATGTTACATATATTCATCCTTCATCGCCCTCTGTTGTATAAGTATGTCAATATCTATAATAACTTTGAATTTTAAATATTTTAGGTTGTAAGCAGCTGATGAGAACCTAACGAAATAAAATGAATTCATATTATTCTGCACTAACCTTTGTTCTTGCCCTCTTTAAAAGTTTTATAATCGTTTGCTCACCAGTGACTTACTTCGAGATGGGTCCATGAATTTTGAGTGTTGAGTCGTTACTAGTAGAGTTCAGACTTGTTTTGAGTGAAATTTATCATCATTGTCAATGTATAATCTTTATTCCAACATCATGAAATATGTACCGTCGGTCTAATAGTTAAATGCATACCTCAAGACTTGAGGATACTGGGTTCAGTCCCTAGCTAGTCATTGATGCACACCGATGAGCGATTTTATGCGAAGAAAAAACGGATGCTCAGCGATCCCTGGCTTTTAATTGTACCTTAGTTGAGGTTAACTTGTGCCAGAAACCACTGATAAATTAAGTTAGTCCCCACAGAATCTCTTTGTCAATAATATTTGATTTATCTAATTTGTTTGGTGAATACGAAATTTGTCATATTATGATTCAAATTTCATTTAAATCTTGATACCACAGTATTATCAGTAGTCTTCTCTTTTAACTAAAGATTTGGCATCATATTTTATATGTTCAGATGAAAGTGTAGGATTTTCAGTGCCAGAATAACAAATAACTGATTATTAACACTTTATCATTAGTCTGATTCAAACTAAAACCCAGTAAATAAACGCATAATTCCAGAAGTAACAAAGAGGATAAAACTGTAGAGAAAACTGAAAAAAAATAGTTGAGAGTGGAATTTTTTCATACTCTGTTGAAGAACAGATTATCTTGAACCACAGTAATTTACATTTCTTCACAATGTGTGTATACTCCAGAAGATGCAAGAACCAGAAATCCATCACTTCTTAATTTAAGGAAAATAACTGACCTCAAAATTCAATGACCTTTTTTGTCTAACTATCATGTCTCAACTCTTCACATTGCTGTTAATTTGCTCAACACTGTGTAAAGATTGACAGATCTTGCATTTAGTCACAGATTCGTCAACTAATTTACCTTTGAAACGCGAAATTCTTTGATGAACTTTAGTGTTTTCAAATTCATCTATTAGCCTGTTGTATGAAGCCATAATCTAGCGATGTACGCAAACAACAAATTAATAATTTGTTTTTCTAGAGACATGAAACTAGGGATTCAAATGAAGATATTTTTCACAATTTAATTTACTAAACATTTAAAAGCTTCTTGTTGGTTTAAAACAGTTACATTCCATTTAAACACTGTCATATTTAGCTTAGGATATCTTCTGCCCAACAGTTTTACTATAAAATTCTTTTATGACCCTATTATATAGATCACTTGCTAACAAGGAAGGTTTTTAAAAGTATCAATCTTTTCACGATGTACTTTATGCTTCATCTTTACTGTGTTTCTTCTATTTTAAATGACAGACTGCTTTGAATAGTGTTTCTCTTTCTCTCATATAATTCATTTAGGTTACAGAAGATCATCTTCGATCGCTTATGTTCTGTGATTTTGCTGATCCTAAGGGAAAACGTAATTATGCTGAAGTCAATGATGTTGAACAATTACGTAAAGTAACTGAAGCTTACTTAGAAGAATATAATCAGTTAAGCAAGAAACCTATGAATTTAGTTCTATTTCGTTTTGCTATAGAACATGTATGTCGTATTGCACGTATATTAAAACAACCAAGATCGCATGCATTACTTGTTGGTATCGGAGGATCAGGACGTCAATCACTTACTCGATTAGCTGCTCATCTATCAGATTTTGACTTATTCCAAGTACGTTGAATATCGCTTAAGCTTTGTATATGGGCACTCCAAGAAATTTGTACTAACAAAGAATTTCTTTGCAACAATTCTATTTATATGTTAAATTAATTATCAATGAGATGGATAACCCTCTCATCATTGTGTAATAAAATAATTGGATTTTGTACAAAAAGCCGTAAAATGTGTATACCATTGGGACAGTTTCGTAATTATTTAACCATTTATATGGATGCTGCCGCTTACTGTTCAATTTCATAGACTGTATTAATTATTCACTATAATTCTATAGGTAGAAAGATTAATGTTAATCACTCTTGTGAAGATGTAAATATCTCTTAAATAATGTATATTCTCCTAACTTCAGGTTGTATTACATAGCAGTCTAGCTGATACTATTATTCAGCTATTTTGATTGCTACTAGTTGTATAGGAAAGCATTATGAACATGGATTTATGACGGGCTGTTAACGAATGTTATGAAGTTCCGTTTGGTCCTTTGTTATTGATGAAATAATAATAAAATTCCTGGCTTCTTTTGTTTTCCCAGTGGCTGTAGGCTAGATTAAGAGTCGTTTTGGAAGAGAAGGTTATAGTACAAGTTTATTTAAAATTCATTCAGCTAAACTTTAATCAGATTATGATCAAAATCTAAGGTTAAAATATAGGTCATATTAAACCACAATGCTTTACTCCTTAGTTTGGTTGAAGTTGCCAAATGCAGTTCAAACGATGAAGCAAAAACATTCAACTAAGTGATTATTTGTGTGGATGAAAATTAAATCAATTTTTGAAATAGTTCCTTTACTAATGTTTAATTAGATATACAAGCTGATATTGTCTTGCTGATAGAGTCTTCTACAGTATATCACCATTCTTTGAATGTCAGTGTTTCTTTCAAGCTCATTGGTTTTAAATTTAACTCATTTTTCCATACTTTACTCTGGTCCGCAAAGATAAAATTAAGTTTTTTAAAAGTATTCTATATTGATGCCCGCAGAAGTTAAAAAACTATACTGAAATAACTGATAAATCTAACTTGTTTATTTTGACAGATTTATTCGTCATTAAAAAGACTTTATTCAGTAAATAATCTTGTTAGGTGTCTCACATGTACTCTTTTTCTATTTAATAAAAGTATTCTGAAATAGTTTCTCACCTTGAGTTGGAACTACCCAGTTCACGTTCACTTACAAAAAGAAGTAAGCATATTAAAGTGAAGTACAATGATGATCAGTTATTCACTATTTAGCTACTTTGATAATTATTTTTTATAACTGCCTTATCATTGAAACTAATTGCTATATTTGAAAAGATTATGAGATCACTTAAAAATCAGAGAGCGGAACGAAGGATCAGCGATACAACGACAAGACAACTAAACTATTTCAATAAGTCTCATCCTCGTTAACTAGAGGGAGAAATCCAGGTTCGGATGAAGGAAAATATATTTCACAAGCAACCAAAAGCACAAAAAACAACAAGCTCACAGCTCCAGCGTATATAAACAGCATAAAAATGTCCTTGGAAAACATCACAAATCAGCATATGAAAAGAGGCACCCAATTAATCACATTTAGGCTCCTTCCAAGTGCAAAATACAGTCTGAAGGCAAAAATGAGCACCTTTAGCGCGAAAACGTGAAGTTCAAATTTTCATAATAAAATTACAAAAATAAGATGTTTACCAAATGAATTCTAAGGCTCTAGCATCCCCAACATTAATTGATCAAGTTACATCAATTTTTCAGGACACATCTAATAAGTTATTTCTGAAATATGTTGTAATGCAAATTAATTATAATTATTCAATCAATAGTTTTTTTTTGCGAGACTATAGTTTATGGACGAAGCAATCGGATATAAGAAAGTAGGTCTCGAATTATGGTGCGAAATTCCCTCATCCATCTCTTTAAATAGAAGTTTGATATTATAGCTGATGTCAGTTCGTGATGAAAACTCAAGATCTAATTCCTAACCTTAACTATCAACTGTAACTCACAATTCTAATTCCTTAAACTGGTTTATAACCCTCATTTAATCTTAGTTTGTGAATGGACACTATCCAGGTCACTTTAGCGTCGCTCAAATGTCGTTCATTAATTATAGTCTCATCGGGGTTTTTTTTTGTACCTATCGAAAGTTACAATCTATTTCCCCAATTATTTTACAGGTTGAAATCTCTAAAAGTTATGGTGTTAATGAATGGAAAGAAGATTTGAAGCATATCTTAAGAAAATCAAGTGAAACTGATAATCATGCTATTTTCTTATTTACTGATACACAAATTAAACAAGAAAGTTTTCTAGAAGATATAAATAATTTATTAAATGCTGGTGAAGTACCTAATCTTTATGCAATTGATGAAAAAATGGAATTATGTGAAAAAATACGTCAAATTGATAGAGCAAGAGATAGAAATAAACAAACAGATGGTTCACCAGTAGCATTATTCAATTATTTTATACAACGTGTTCGTGAACAATTACATATTGTATTAGCATTAAGTCCAATTGGTGATTCATTTAGAAATCGTTTAAGAAAATTTCCTTCATTAGTTAATTGTTGTACAATTGATTGGTTTCAGGTAAATTATAATTATAGTTATTATTGTTATTATTATTGCTATAATTAAGTGTATACACTCTATGTCTTCCCTTAAACTATGAGATTAAAATCACTTCATATCTTTCTTTCTATGAAATAATTCTTTCTTCCTGTACTATATCCTTATATGCAATCTTTCTTTTATATATTACCACCATTGAAGTAACTACTTCTATGAATTTGGTGTTCATCTTGTTGTGCTAATGAGATATGGCAACATGGACCGATGCATATATGTGCCTAGTCCTTTCTTGTATCTGACTGACTGATTGCTGTAATTATTACTATAATTACTATATTCATGATACTGGTTGCCTTATGATAGTTAAACTGATAATTAACTCAACCAATCAACCTACAATAAATAGTTAATTGCATAGATCTTAATGCGATTATGAAGTTATTGCTAGCCGAATGAATAAATATATTTCTTTAGAGAATTACAGTTGTCATTTTCTATACAAGATGCATTACCAATTATTAATATCCACTTTTAAGATAACAAATCATTGAATAAGGTTAAAAACAAAGATCGTGAAGTAACAAACAGTTCATTAATCCTATTGATTGATGAACAAAGTTTTTCTGTTCAATCGTTTGTATATATGATATAAAAGTTAGTTGACAGAAACCTTTCGATCTAGGTTTCACATTCGTTGTTAAGCATCAGTAAAGTGTATGTAAAGACTGTCGGGCTGAATGAATATTTAGAAAGATAACATCAGTGAATTGATCACAATTTTCACTGTCATTCAAACTACTAATTATCCTTTTTGCTACTTAATGATGAGTGCAAGTTTTATGCGAATTGTACTATACAATAATTAGGTACTGACTGATTAGGAAAAAATTAAATTAAGCCACTAATCTACGCGACATGAATAGAATGATAATGAAAGCTACAAGAGAAATAATACTCAATTCAACCTCTATTCATCAGTTAAATTGTGTGATTGACTTACTTGTTATTTAATTTGAGTTTATGTGACTATATATGATTATGTACCAAAAACAATCATTCATTACGTTGATCATTGTAAAGGTTTTTAATTAGAATCAAATAGTTCGTAAAATGAATAGTACTATTAGAACATGTTAGAACAATTAACCTTAATCTTATTTCAATTAGTTTAGTGAAGGGAAACTACTTTACAAGTGACGAGTTTCAAACAACTTGAAACTTGCATCCTAGATGTCACTAGAAACCACAATCCATCTATTCTACAGAAAGTTTTATTATTAATCAATAATATTTATATGACTATTGAAAATGAGAAAGCATTAAAGATATTTTGTCCTAATTTCGGACTCTTAAGGAATAAATTTCATCAATCCATTCTCGGATGATATTCAGCTGGTTTAAAACTTATTGTTGAACGTGTGTTAACGGTAAACTACTGACTAAGAAAAACTAGTAATCTAACATTTTCTGATTCCAATTAATTGATGATATGTTTCAGTCACCATCCATTTCAGTTGGATCAGTTCCCTTGGCTACTTTCAGTCAAGATTCTGGGACACATAATCTCTTCATCTAGTTAGAAATGTATGCAAAATTGTTTTATCGATTTTGACTAATTACATAACTAGTTCCATTCAAAAATAAATATCATGATGGAGAAATTATGTCAAAGATCAAAAAGACCAAATAGTCGTTTCTTAATCGTTGATCCAGTCGGTTGAGAATAATTTTAGTTTCGTTTAGCAGTTTGATTTTTGTACCATATTCGGTAATCAACCATGATGTTTTTTGTTAATAAATATGTTTTAGTTTACTTTAATCAGAATCAGTGGGGGGAAACCATTGATTCCCCGCTAGTGACTAACTTCTAGAGGTAACTCTCAGAGTAATAATGGTAAGCTATGACCACGGGTCATTCATGTCAAGCATGAATCAATTGGCCACACGATACAATGAGCCATCTGAAGTTAGATATACAAAACATTGATTGTCAACTCGGTAGTTTGAAGGTTAAGCTATCTTTGTTAGGCTTTAAGGTCCTGGTTTCGCTACCCGGTCGTGGATACACGCTTTTGAGGGGTTCCATAATAAGACGAAACATGTTCTGTGCTCCCATGTTCTCAACGGCTGTTTAACTAAAGAGTTAATCAAAACTATTTATGTAGCCAAACGATGTTACAAAGATAATTAAAGTATTGAAATGACTGTATTTAAGTTTTATTTCAACTTAATCCTACCATACTTTTATTCAGCAATTTACCAAGTATTCTAAGCCAAGATTTAGATTTACTAGAAATATTTGGATGGAAATTGATATTAATATAAATAGATTTGTATGCTGAGATAAAGTTGTTAGATGATTGCTTATTCAACTTGTATTAGAGAATGGTCATTATTTTCCAAACTAAGTTATTCATTATATCATTGTTAGTTAGGGTTTGAGTAATCTTTATTGTTTTTTGTGGATCCTGTGTAGATTCCCTCAATATACCCAATGTCACAAAATATTTAGAATAGATTATTTGTGGTTAACAGTAAGAACGAAAACTAACCATGATATAAACTTCAAACCCACCGAGATTAGTGGATAAGGCAGTGGCGTTTGAAGAGGAAGGTACTGGGTTCGAGTCTGGATATGAATATCAACACTGTTCTGCGACTTCATTCAACTAATGTATCCCAAGTAGGCGGAAACGTACGTCCTGAGTTCTATTACTAACCATGATCCATCTACTCTAAATAAAAAATGATTATTTGAAATAGTCAACACTTTCCTTTCGTTAATATTCTGAATTAAATTGGTTAGATTCCTTTTTGGTATACACACTCTTTCACTGAATGCGTCTATATTAGATGCACTTATGAGTCGGTTCAACTTCACATATTAACAAAAGGTAGAATCCTAGGTACATTTTTTATCCTTTGTGAAACAATTGCAATAGATGTAATTTCATCTTAATGTTTCTCATTTCACTGAAATTCTACCTAGTACCCATCACCTCAAATGACGAATTAGTTATTCAATAGATTATTCACTGCCTATTTATTATTTTATTTAAAGCATATCAGATATCATAAACTTCAAGTAATACTCCAATTCCAATAACTTCTTTATTCCATTAAGATGTATGCATGAAACCATTTTACTTCCATGTTAGGAATCAATTTTAATGTAGAAATAACAAACCCGTACTTAATGTTGATCATTGAATACATAAACAAATCATAAATTAATATTTTTCTTTAAACTTTATTCATTATTATTATGAATTTGTTTCTTTACAATAACTTAAAAGGCATGGCCAGAAGATGCTTTAACAGCTGTTGCTACACGTTCATTAAAAGATATTGATATGACAGATGAAATTCGTAATGGATGTATTGATTTATGTAAATATTTTCATACTAGTACATGTAATCTATCAACTCGATTTCTATTAGAATTAGATCGACACAATTATGTAACACCTACATCATATCTTGAATTAATTACAACTTTTATAACATTATTATCAAAAAAACGAACGTAAGTTATGTAGTTTTGTTGTTTTTTTCTTGTTGAAATGTAAAATTATGTAACTTGAAGTTTGTAGTTCAAGTTATCAATTTACAGGTTCAGTTTATAGTGTTCAAATTCATCGTAATTTACTTGCTTTATTCATTTATAAGTGCATTCAAATTGTTGAGTGTATACCTTCTAATAATCAACTTTATTTACTTACTTACTTACGCCTGTTACTCATAATGGAGCATAGGACGCCGACCAGCATTCTCCAACCCACTCTATCCTGGGCCTTCTTTTCGAGTTCCATCCAATTCTTGTTCATTTTCCTCATGTCTACCTCCATTTCCCGGCGTAATGTGTTATTTTGTCTTTCTCTTTTCCTTTGACCTTCAGGATTCCATGTTAGGGCTTGTCTTGTGACACAGTTGGGTGCTTTTCTCAATGTGTGTCCTATCCACTTCCAGCGTTTCTTCCTGATTTCTTCCTCTACTCGGATCTGGTTTGTTCTCTCCCACAGTAGGTTATTGCTAATAGTGTCCGGTCGACGGGTCCGAAGTATTTTGAGTGAACAACAGTTAATAAACACCTGTATTTTCTGGATGATGGCTTTTGTAGTTCTCCAGGTTTCTGCCCCATACAGTAGAACTGTCTTGACATTTGTATTGAAAATCCTGACCATGATGTTGGTTGACAGTTGTTTTGAGTTCCCGATGTTCTTCAGTTGCTGCTCTTGTTTCACCGATCCGCGCCTTCACATCTGCATTAGACCCACCGTGTTCACCAATGATGCTGCCCAAATATGTAAAAGTTTTTGCATCTTTCAAATCTCCGTTAATTGTGACTGGATTGGTGCATGCTGTGTTGTATCGGAGAATCTTGCTTTTCCCTTTGTGTATATTGAGACCTACTGTTGCTGAGGCTGCTGCTACACTGGTCGTTTTCTCCTACATTTGTTGTTGCGTTTGCGATAGAAGAGCCATATCATCTGTGAAGTCTAGGTCGTCTAGCTGCATTCTAGGTGTCCACTGTATCCCATGCTTCCACCCGAATGTTGATGTCTTCATAATCCAGTCGATCACCAGGGGAAAGTGAAAGGGTGAGAGTATGCAACCTTGCCTGACACCGGTCTTTACCTCGAACCAGTTTGTCAACTGTCCTCCATGCACAACTTTGCAGTTTAATCCATCATAGAAATTCTGTATGATATTTATTTATAAAAGCATTTAGATATTTCATTGTTTTTTCTTTTTTTTTCTTGTTTTGCATAAAGTATAAGTATTATATTTGATGAAATTAATTGATTTGATGTAACAGGGTAGTTTGATTGATAATAGCATTCTTGAATACATGAATTATCTTTGTAAACCACTCTAGTTGATAGATAATGTCACATTTAAAAATTGACCGTTTATTATTTTACTTACGTTAATTTTTTCTATGAATCACATTTTGTGTAAGTATGGTCAAATCAAGATGTGTCATAGGTCCATGAATATATTGACTGTTAGACTAAATCATATTTGTAAGTGAAGATTATCTATCTAAAGTCTTAGCCAATGCCTAAAGACTTTGGACAACACGCTCCATATTTTCTAGTTAAAAGAAGCAGATGTATCCACTCTTTGTCTTCTCTTGAATCTTTAATTTCAAATTTATCTTATACGTTTAAATTCCACGAATTCATATTTTCCTCTTGAATTATATTGTCTAACCCTAATGTTTTCTAACATTACTGATACTTTCACTACTTCTACTACTCTGGTATCTCACTGTGCTGATATGATGTGGTAATTTGAACTAATATACATATAAGTCCATTTTTAGCTTGAATATGATTGACCTACTTTGAAACGGGAAAGCTTATCTTCATTCAAGTTTTTTGGTTTTTGTTGACTGAAACATTTAGATTACTTACTTACTTACTTACTTACGCCTGTTACTCCCAATGGAGCATAGGCCACTGACCAGCATTCTCCAACCCACTCTGTCCTGGGCCTTCTTTTCGAGTTCCATCCAATTCTTGTTCATTTTCCTCATGTCTACCTCCATTTCCCGGCGTAATGTGTTATTTTGTCTTTCTCTTTTCCTTTGACCTTCAGGATTCCATGTTAGGGCTTGTCTTGTGACACAGTTGGGTGCTTTCCTCAATGTGCGTCCTATCCACTTCCAGCGTTTCTTCCTGATTTCTTCCTCCACTGGGATCTGGTTTGTTCTCTCCCACAGTAGGTTGTTGCTAATAGTGTCCGGCCAATGGATCTGAAGTATTTTGCGTAGACAATTGTTAATAAACACCTGTATCTTCTGGATGATGGCTCTCGTAGTTCTCCAGGTTTCTGCCCCATACAGTAGAACTGTCTTGACATTTGTATTGAAAATCCTGACCTTGGTGTTGGTTGACAGTTGCTTTGACTTCCAGATGTTTCTCAGTTGTAAATATGCTGCTCTTGCTTTGCCGATCCGCGCCTTCACATCTGCATCAGATCCACCCTGTTCATCAATGATGCTACCCAAATATGTAGAGGTTTTTACATCTTCCAAATCTTCTCCGTCAATTTTGATTGGATTGGTGCATTCTGTGTTGTATCGGAGAATCCTGCTTTTCCCTTTGTGTATATTGAGACCTATTGCTGCTGAGGCTGCTGCTACACTGTTCGTCTTCTCCTGCATCTGTTGTTGCGTTTGGGATAGGAGGGCCAGATCGTCTGCGAAGTCTAGATCATCCAACTGCATCTTAGATGTCCATTGTATCCCGCGCTTTCCTTCAGACGTTGACGTTTTCATGATCCAGTCGATCACCAGGAGAAAGAGAAAGGGTGAGAGTAAGCAGCCTTGCCTAACACCGGTCTTCACTTTGAACGACTTTGTCAACTGTCCTCCATGCACGATTTTGCAGTTTAATCCATCATATGAGTTCTGTATGATATTGACTATCTTCTGAGGCACGCCGTAATGTCGAAGAAGTTTCCATAGTGTTGTTCTGTCCACGCTATCAAATGCCTTTTCGTAGTCAATGAAGTTGATGTAGAGTGATGAATTCCATTCAATTGATTGTTCCACAATGATCCGTAGAGTTGCGATTTGGTCTGTACACGATCTATCCTTACGGAATCCTGCCTGTTGGTTTCGAGGTTGGCCGTCTACAGAGTCCTTCATCCTGTTTAACAATACCCTGTTGAAGGCTTTACCTGGCATTGAGAGAAAAGTGATGCCTCTGTAATTATCACACATGATGAGATCGCCTTTCTTCGGTATTTTGATCAGTAGTCCTTCTTTCCAGTCTGTTGGTACTTGTTCCTCATCCCAAATCTTATTGAAGAGAATGTGGAGCATCCGTGCAGTTGCCACTACGTCTGTTTTTAGTGCCTCTGTTGGGATGTTGTCCGGTCCTGCTGCTTTGCCTCTCTTGATTTGTCTGATGGCCATGCTGATTTCTTCAATTGTTGGTGGGCCAACATTGATTGGGAGGTCCGTGGTTGCTGCTTCGATGTTGGGTGGGTTCAGTGGAGCTGGTCGATTCAACAGTTCTTTGAAGTGTTCTACCCACCTGTTTTGTTGCTCTTCAATGTTGGTGATTATCTTGCCTTCCTTGCTTTACACTGGTCGTTCTGGTTTGTGGCGATTTCCAGAGAGTTTCTTTGTCGTGTCATACAATTGTCTCATGTTTCCTTCTCTTGCAGCCTTTTCCGCCGTCGTTGCTAAATCTTCCACATATTTACGTCTTTCAGTTCTGATGTTCCTCTTCACTTGTTTGTTTATTTCCGTGTATTCAGCTTGTGCCTTGGCATTTTCTGCTCTTGTTCGCCTGGTATTGATTGCTTCTTTCTTGTTCCTCCTTTCTTGAATCTTATCCAGTGTACCAACAGTGATCCATTCCTTGTGGTGGTGCTTCTTGTGACCCAGGACCTCATGACATGTTGAAGTGATTGCCTCTTTGATCCCCTTCCAGTTGCTCTCCACAGTAGTTCCTTCTCCATTGAGTAGATCATGAAAGGCCTGGAACGTATTGCTGAAAACTATCTTGAATTTGTTGAGTTTGTTAGTATCCTGGAGAAAGGCCGTATTGAACTTTTGTGATACTGTCTGCCCCGTTGTCCAGTGCTTCTTGAGTTTCAATTTCATCTTGGCGACCAGTAAGTGATGATCTGATGCTATATCAGCTCCTCTCTTGGTTCTCACGTCCTCTATAGTCCTCCTGAACGTTTTGTTGATGCAAATATGGTCGATTTGGTTTTGTGTAGAGTGATCCGGTGAAGTCCATGTGGTTTTGTGTATGCGTTTATGTGGGAATATTGTGCCACCTATGATCAGTTTATTGAAGGCACATAGGTTTGCAAATCTCTCACCATTTTCGTTTCTTTCTCCCAGTCCGTGTCGTCCCATGATGTCTTCATATCCAGTGTTGTCCGTTCCAACCTTGGCGTTGAAATCTCCCATCAGAATGGTCAGGTCCTTTGTTGGGCACTTCTCGACTATTGACTACAGTCTATTGTAGAATTGATCTTTAGCGTCTTCATTGTAGTCGTTGGTAGGCGCATAGCATTGGATGATGTTCATTGAAATGTCCTCTTTCTTTGTTTTAAACGAGGCTTTGATGATCCTTGGTCCATGAGATTCCCATCCTATAAGTGCATTTTGCGCTTGTTTGGACAGCATCAATGCAACTCCTTGTGTATGTGGTGCATCTTCTTCTTCATGGCCGGAGTATAACAGAAGCTACCCTGAAGCTATTCGTTGTTGTCCAACTTGTGTCCAATGTGTTTCACTGATCCCAAGTACCTCTAGGTTGTATCTTCTCATTTCTGCAGGAATCTGGAAGGCTCTTCCGGTGTCCCACATTGTACGAACATTCCATGTACCTAAATAAATGGTCGCTCTGGTTGTCAGAAGGGGCATCGGCCTCGTAACTTCCGAAGGAATTCGGCTTTCATCATTAGGCGTCATAATTCTCCTAAATGAAGATCTTCTGACTCCCAGGGCAGAGTTTAAAAGGTTTGAATAGTTTTTTCTGGTTAGCGTTTTTTTAGCGAGTTAGTTTTCTACGGGATGGGGACGCTAACCCCATGCCCAACCCTCCTCCTTTATCCGGGCTTGGGACCGGCAGTAGCCCCCGGAGGGACTCCAGGCGGAGATTAGAATAGATTTAAAGGTTAATTTGTCTACTGTGATCACGAATTTCAATCATCTTCCAATTCATCTAAATAAATCAAGTTTATATTGCAACAATTAATACAAAATCATGATCACTCAATCACTAAATGTAATGCAATAACTTTACCAGAGATAATAGTTTTAAACTTATCCGAACGTTTGATTGAAATGAATATGAAGTTAAAAAGTATGTTTTATCAACTTCAAAATTAGTTGGTACATACAGATTTAAATAAATTAATGTAAGTATGGTACCAAGAATTGCATTATAATGATGGTTCAAAGTTCACGTTAAAATTTCTGTAGAATTCAATAAACAATATATATGTTGGCTTTTACAACAGTAGAAATTAAGATGTCGAAATCGATCCCATACTTTGTTTATTCTGATGACTACTTCTTACATAAGCAAATATTCTTTTTATTAAGTCATTACTGAAAGTAATTATCAGTATGGGGTTGTGGAGATTATGGAGTTTTTGATTGAGATTATAGATCATTCAATGTTAGACCACCATTGAGAACCTGAAAGCACTGGATGACCGTTTCGTCCTAGTAGTATTCGCGCGCAAGATCGCATGTCCCAATACCACGTACAGGATCGTGGATAAGCTCTGCTGTGGAGTCCCACACTTAGACGAAATGGTTGTCTAGTGCTTCCAAGTTTTCAATGGTGGTCTAACATTGAACGATCTATGATCTCAATCAAAAACTCCATAATCTCCATAACCCCATACTGATAATTACTTTCAGTAGTAACTTAATAAAAAGAATATTTGCTTATGTAAATAATGTCAAAATTAGTGCACTATCAAATTAGAAATCTCATTTCTAATGTTAACCATTTATCAAGATTGATATTATTATAGAAAACAGTCTAAAACAAATATTAACATTGAATAACGTTATAATACTCCGGATTCAATAACTAGGTTACACCTATTGCGTGACGTTCAATTATCATAGTCTAGTAAAACCAAATAGGTGTAATGGGTTACGAACTAGACACCTATCAGGTGATCATTGATTATTCATATAAATGTCATACATCTCTATATCATAATTATTTTTTTGAGATGTAAATCTTTGGATTATTTCAGACATTTACTATTTCGTTTTGTTATTTCTTTCGTCAAGGGAAGTATTAACTCAAAAATGTCGTTATGAAGTTGGTCTGGAAAAATTAAGTAGTGCAGCTAATGAGATTAGTTTGATGTCGGTGGAATTACAATCACTTCAACCAAAACTTGTACAAGCTAGTAAAGAAGTTGATGAAGTTATGATTGTTGTGGAACAGCAAAGTGCTGAAGCAGCTAAACAGGAAAAACTTGTACGTGTTGATGAAGCGGTTGCTGGTGAACAAGCAAAAGCTGCTGAAACAATGAAAGAAGAATGTGATAATGATTTAGCTGAAGCAATACCGATATTAGAATCGGCATTAAAAGCTCTGGAAACACTGACACCGGCTGTAAGTCAAATAATATCAAAAATATTTACTAAATGATGAACCTTGTTGTTTTTCATCATGGAGCTGGTATCAGCCAATAAATTAGCAAAAAAAGTACTGAATCATTAGATGATTTTTTCGCCTCAGCTTGAAATCATGAATAAGAATTGTACACTCATGAAGAACATTTTAGAAAATCTCCAAAGTAGCCGTCATCTTTGTCTACGACTGCATGAACGCCAGTCAGCTGTTAAATTACAATACATAACCTCCTTTTCTTATTAGTGCACGTGAATAACCGTGAACATGAGTTCGATTGTGAAAACCTCTAAATATTAGATAGATGAAACACAAAGAAAAACGGAGGACGGTTAGAAACCTGTAAACCAAATCAAGCATCAACCACTAAACACAACAAAATCAACTAAATCTATCAACCGGTTAGATAAAGGATTAACAGTTGGAAACTCACAGTTCAGATCATGAGAGAAGAAAACTGAAACAAATATACAAACGATCACCGTAGAGTTATGGATAAGAGCCCACCAAACTTTATTTCAACACAACAAGCTGTTAATGATTAATAGAGAAATAAGTACAGTTTACTTCTCTTTGATGCACTTGGCGATTATTTTACCTAGAATAATGATGAAAGCTTGATAACCAAACTATTTAACTTAGAGACCAAAAATATTCCAACAGAATTTCCTTCAGTTTAAACTAATTCCTTTTATTCTTTTAAATATATTACTTTATTACTTTATTACGTAGATATTTAAAGATGAACACAAATTACTCCTAGTTTCTTTTTAGAAATATACATCAAATCCAAAACGATAAGGTTCCTAGACTACTTAATTTGTAAGATGTATGATTAAAATTAGTTTAGCTATTTGTTGACCTCAACCAACGATGAAGTGTACATAATTTGTGTAGTTACTGAAATAAAATCTAAATGATGAGAAATCAGCGGATTAATCTAGCATGAAAGTGTGTTATTTTATTCAAAATTAGTACTTTGATGTTTAGTATAAGAAGGGGTTTTGTGGAGATTGTAGTAATTTCAATAGCTGAGATCATGAGACCGATAGGTCTTGGGTTCATATCCTGCGAGGCGAGGTTGTGGATGCTCACTTCTTAGGAGTCCCATAATAGGACGAAACGGCCGTCTAGTGCTTCCAGGTTTTCTATGGTGGTTGAGTTTCAATGGATTCATGATCTTAACTATTGAAACTTTTATGTTTGTTGTGGATTTATCCATTACTTTTTAATAAATGTTAACTTCATTATTTGAAGATGGTAAAATGACCCACTGTTATATACAGTATGCTTTTAGGTACGTGTGACATTCAGATCACAATGTACTCATTGGTATTCATAAGCAAATTCCACTTATACACTCAGATTCATATCAATAGAAGACTAATAGTTCTTATTGTAACATGATCAGTGTTATATCCGAACGAAGATTAAATCACGAGTAACTTCTGAGACATATTAATTGACTAATATTATCTATACATTCTTATGGTATAACTATTCAATAATTAGATTATATATACATTTATATTCCTCTTATTAAACGCTTTATTTTGACCTACATATTATTATTGTACGATTTACTGTTCTTAAGCTATGTTCAGTTTATTGACTACTACCCCCCCACGTTCACAGCCACTTTTTGGCTTTATTGTGTACAAATGTTATATCCTATTTTATGGTGCGTTGCGGTCTGTTTGGTTGATATATAAACCCAGTATGTCTGAAATAAATGATTCGATTCGATTGGCGTCGCATAGTGGAAGCTGGTATTGTTGTTCTGAATTCAAGTGGACGGGCTAGGCGGACATAGGACCAATATGGATGCTAGACTGCCTATACCGGTCGAACGTCATTGGTTTCGGCACAGTGCAAAGATTGTTTAATTCGTATTTTGATTGGTGGATAAATCACGTGATAAAAAGCCGGACTTAAAGTCATAACAATCAGAACTATTTGATGGAATTATAACGACTATCTACGGCAGTCTACTAGTTATACTAATTTTCACTTACAAATTTATCATACTATTATTATATAAAGTTATTAATTGAAGTTTCTAATTACATTTATTCAATCTATTTTAATTTATTTAACAGGATATTACTATTGTTAAAACAATGAAATCCCCACCAGCTGGTGTACGTTTAGTTATGGAAGCTGTTTGTGTTTTAAAAGGTATTAAACCTGATCGTATAAATGATCCTAGTGGATCAGGTAAAAAAATTGAAGATTTTTGGGGTCCATCAAAAAAATTACTTGGTGATATGAAATTTTTAGAAAATTTAAAAAATTTCGATAAAGATAATATACCATTAACAATAATGAAAACAATACGTGAACGTTATATACCAAATCCTGATTTTAAACCAGAACGTGTTGCAGTTGCTTCAACAGCATGTGAAGGTTTATGTAAATGGGTTATAGCTATAGAACGTTATGATATAGTAGCAAAAATTGTAGCACCTAAAAAAGAAGCATTAGCTAAAGCTATGTCTGAATATAATACAGCAATGAATGCATTAAATATAAAACGTGCAGCACTTAAAGAAGTACAAGATCGTTTAAAATTATTAACAGATGATTTAGAAATGAATAAACGTAAAAAAATTGATTTAGAAAATAAAGTTGATTTATGTACAAAAAAATTAGAACGTGCTGAACAATTAATTGGTGGTTTAGGTGGTGAAAAATCACGTTGGACAGAAGCAGCTAAATCACTTGGTAAACAATATATAAATCTTACTGGTGATATACTTATTTCTAGTGGATTAGTTGCTTATTTAGGTGCATTTACATCAACATTTCGTCAAATACAAGTGAAAATTTGGTTAAATGAAATTATGAAATATTCAATTCCATGTTCAGAATCATTTAGTTTAGTACATACATTAGGTAATCCAGTTGATATTAGAGCATGGAATATTGCTGGTTTACCAACAGATGATTTTTCAATTGAAAATGGAATCATTATGGCGTAAGTTATATTGTGTTTCTTTTTCTTTTGTTTTTTCTTCCATACTCCTTTTTTCTTAAGTTTATTCTTAATTCTGGTGGAGTTTTGTTCTCTGAGCTGGATGGTTTGGTCATGGAGCTTTCATCATTCTTCTGAACGACATCATCAGCACAAACTTCAGGTAGAAGTGAAGTGTTCGACTTTCTCCATATGTGTTTCACAGTTTGTTCAGAAGAACCTCGATGTTGATTGGTTCTTAGAAGTAAACAATGACAAGTTTAAGGTCAATAAGAACCAATCAACATCGAGGTGCACAGAACAAGCTGTGAAACACATATGGAGAAATTCGAACACTTCACTTCTACCTGAAGTTTGTGCTGATGATGTCGTTCAGAAGAATGATGAAAGCTCCACGACCAAACCATCCAGCTCAGAGAACAAAACTCCACCAAAACCATCCACCTGAGCTACAAATCTTCTCCACCATCTTTATTCTTAATTCGAATACTAGAATGTATTGTTAATTATTATAATTGTCATTAATTGAAGTTGTGTTTTTTTATTCGAGCTTTGATTATTGGAGTCTTATTGTTGAACTACACGTTATGATCATGAATAGTTTAACGCGTATCTTTTAAAAGTCTGATTTCATTTCACATATTAAACAAGTTAAACACGTTATATAATGTCTTACTTCGGTAGATATGTGGATTATTTACTCAATACAAAAATCTACCCTTTTACCTAATAAATACACGAGAGTTATGAGAATATTTACTTTGTACAATTTCTCACCTAATCAAATAGGACTAACTAAGTCTAAAAAGTGATCACAGTAGCTGAACTCAATAGTTTTTCTGAATGAAGTTTTGAGAAAAAAAACACTAAGTTTATATTGATTATCGAAAATGCATTTAGAAAATGATGAGGAAATTTGCAGTTTCTCTGGTACCTTTAAATCCTGTTAAACTAATTAAATTGTAGTGGCTTTGCTTCGTTAATCCGTCATATTGATAAACATTATTATATCAATCTCAACGGTGTTTGAAATCAGAAGGAAACGAGAAGTGTCAACAGCTTATTGGCGGATAGCGCAGGTCACAAATCTATAAGCACATCGAACAAATCTGAAGCAGAGAGGCGAATAAGTATATACGAGCAATTGCATAGACAAATTTCTAGTCAAATTGAATAAGGGCGCAGGAAGGCAAGACAAAATCTAATATTGTGATTCGAGTACATATATACATGAGGAGGTGAATGAATCATCGAGTGATATTTAAACAATCAACATTTGAGCTAGAGTCTTTCATGTGAACTAGTGATCATAACGGTACAAAAAAAGCGAATTGTTACTATTCGAATTCTGTTAAGTTAACAAAAGGTCTTAACCAAAATTAACCCTAATCGAAATCGGTTGCAGGATAGTTGCTATATTATATATGGGTTAAATATAATATTTCATCCAAACACACAGTATTATAAATCAAATTATCATAGTATTTTTATTCTTAATGTTAATTAAAATTCAACGAAAATTAAATGAATTTTAAACGGTGGCTTTTGAGAATCGATTACTTACTTAGTTTCAATTTCATAAATACTTCATAACATTGGAGTAAAGCCAAAAAATTTAAAGAAAGCTACATAGAGGCTTGCGTAAACTAAATTTGTAATCACAACAATAAACTGGTGACTATATTCATACGTTTGTCTTTCAGAAATTAGCTAACTGTATATAATATTGTTCTGATTGACGTTGTCCGAAAATATGATACTGATACATGGTATGATATGTTCAGACTCCCTAACTGAGCGAGAAGTGTAATAGACTACCGAACAAAATGCACAAATTACGAAGGTTTGATTTGATAATTTCGAATAAATTGAGCATTGGGTTGATTGTTATAAATAAAAATAATATATTTGTAATATCCCAATGAGTAGAAAATTGGATTTTCTGACGTTTCGTGACTTAGTGTAAATCACTTCTTCAGAGAATAAATAACCAAATTAAAATTAATTCAAGTTTAAATAGTACAACGGAACAATGCAAGAATAATATTGGATCAATCAAAAATCAGGTCTGAACAAGTTGATGTCTTGTCATTTCTGTCAACTTACTTACTTACTTACACCTGTTACTCCTCATGAAGGAGCATAGGTCGCTCACCAGCATTCTCCATCCAACCCTGTCCTGGGCAATCCTTTCCAGCTCCTTCCAGTTGTAATTCATCCTTTTCATATCTGCTTCTATTATCCGACGTAATGTGTTCTTTGGCCTTCCTCTTTTCCGCTTCCCTTCAGGATTCCAAGTTAGAGCTTGCCTCGTGATGCAGTTTGACGATTTGCGTAATGTATGTCCTATCCATTTCCATCGTCTTTTCCTAATTTCCTCTTCAGCTGGAAGTTGGTTTGTTCTCTCCCACAGAAGGCTATTGCTGATGGTATCCGGCCAATGGATGTTGAGTATCTTGCGTAGACAGCTATTTATAAATACTTGTACTTTCTTGATTGTGGTTGTTGTAGTTCTCCAAGTTTCAGCTCCATACAGTAGATTTGCCTTGACGTTCGTATTGAAGATTCTCACTTTGATATTGGTTGAAAGTTGTTTTGAGTTCCATATGTTCTTCAATTGTAGGAATGCGGCCCTTGCTTTGCCAATCCTCGCCTTTACGTCTGCATCTGGACCTCCTTGTCTATCGACGATGCTTCCCAGATATGTGAAGGATTCTACATCTTCCAGAGTTTCGCCATCAAGGGTGATTGGATTGCTGTTCTCCGCTTTGAATTTAAGGACCTTGGTTTTCCCTTTGTGTATACTGAGGCCTACTGATGCAGAGACTGCTGCTACATTGGCTGTCTTTATCTGAATCTGTTCACGTGTACGTGATAGGAGGGCTAGGTCATCTGCGAAGTCCAGATCGTCTAATTGGTTCTGAGCTGTCCATTGTATTCCGTGTTTTCCTTCAGATGTCGAGGTCTTCATAATCCAGTCGACCACCAGAAGAAAGAGGAAGGGAGAGAGTAAACAGCCTTGTCTGACTCCGGTCCTTACTTGGAATGCATCTGTCAGCTGTCCTCCATGCACTACTTTGCACTGTAGTCCGTCGTATGAGTTCCGGATAATATTGACAATCTTCTCAGGAACTCCGTAGTGTCGAAGAAGTTTCCATAATGTCCTCCTATCTACACTGTCGAATGCCTTTTCATAATCAATGAAGTTGATGTATAGTGACGAGTTCCACTCAATTGATTGTTCGACGATGATCCGTAGTGTCTCAATTTGGTCTGTGCACGAGCGATCCTTTCGGAATCCAGCTTGTTGATCTCGAAGTTGGGCATCTACTGCATCCTTCATCCGGTTCAGCAACACTCTGTTGAAGACTTTCCCTGGTATTGACAGTAGTGTAATGCCTCTGTAGTTTTCACATTTGCTCAGATCTCCTTTCTTTGGAATCTTGATGAGGTGTCCTTCTTTCCAGTCCATTGGCACTTGTTCCTCCTCCCAAATCTTTTTAAATAGAGGGTAAAGCATGCTTGTGGTTACTTCGACGTGTGATTTCAGTGCTTCAGCTGGTATGTTGTCGGGTCCTGCTGCTTTCCCGTTCTTGATTTGTCTGACGGCCATTCTAATTTCTTCCGTCGTTGGTGGGTTGACATCTATAGGAAGATCTGTGTGTGCTGCCTCGATGTTCGGTGGATTCATTGGAGCCGGCCTATTCAGGAGTTCCTCGAAGTATTCTACCCATCTGTTTCGCTGTTGTTGAATTTCAGTGATTGGCTTGCCTTCTTTGTCTTTGACCGGCCTCTCTGGTTTACTGTATTTCCCTGATAGTTTCTTCGTTGTATCGTAAAGCTGTTTCATATTTCCTTCTCTAGCAGCTTTTTCTGCCGTCGTTGCTAATTCTTCCACGTATTTCTTCCTGTCGGCTCTAATGCTCCTCTTCACTTGCTTGTTTGCTTCTATGTATTCAGCTTGTGCTTGGACTTTCTCTGCTCGTGTTCGGCTGTTGTTAATTGCTGTCTTCTTGTTCTTCCTTTCTTTGATCTTGTCCAGTGTTTCTATAGAGATCCATTCCTTATGATGGTGTTTCTTTAGGCCCAGAACCTCTTGACACGTTGAAGTCAATGTTTCTTTGATGCCTTTCCAGTTGTCCTCCATGGTAGTTTCTTCTTCCTTCAGTAGATCTTGAAAGGCTTGGAACCTGTTGTTGAGAGCTATCTTGAATTCATTGAGTTTGTCAGTATCTCGAAGGAAGGCTGTATTGAACCTTTGTATTGTTGTTTGTCCAGTTGTCTAGTTCTTTTTTAGCTTCAGTTTCAAATTGGCTACAACTAGGTGGTGATCTGAAGCTACGTCAGCACCTCTCCTGGTTCTCACATCTTCCATTGTCCTTCGGAATTTTTTGTTGATGCAAATATGGTCTATCTGGTTCTCTGTAGTGTGGTCCGGTGAGATCCATGTAGCCTTGTGTATACGTTTGTGTGGAAATATTGTGCCTCCTATGACTAATTTGTTGAATGCACACAAATTTGCAAATCTTTCTCCATTTTCGTTCCTCTCTCCCAGTCCATGTCGTCCCATAATATCTTCATATCCAGTGTTTTCTATTCCGACCTTGGCATTTAGATCTCCCATCAGAATGGTGAGGTCCTTTCTTGAGCATTTCTCTATGATTGACTGAAGCCGCTCGTAGAATTGATCATTAATGTCATCGTTGCTATCATTGGTGGGTGCATAACATTGGATAATATTCATTAAGATCCCCTCCTTCTTTGTTTTGAATGATGCTTTGATGATTTTGGATCCGTGGGATTCCCATCCTACAAGTGCATTTCGTGCTACTTTGGACAGCATTAGAGCAACTACCTGAGTGTGTGGAGCATTTTCCTCTTCGTGACCGGAGTATAGCAGCATCTCTCCCGTAGCTAGCCTTTTCTGTCCAGCTTGGGTCCAGTGGGTTTCGCTGATTCCCAGTACTGCCAAGTTGTATCTCCTCATTTCCGTTGCTATTTGGCTGGTCTTCCCGGTTTCCCACATTGTTCGAACGTTCCATGTACCTATAAAAAGTTTTGCTCTGGTTGTTAGAAGGGGCATCGGCCTCGTGGCTTCCGAAGGAACTCGGCTTTCACCATGAAGCGTCATAATTCTTCTAAATGAAGACCTTCTAACTCTCAGGGCAGAGTTAAAATGGTTTGAATTATTTTTTCTGGTAAGCGTTTTTTTAGCGAGTTAGTTTTCTACGGGATGGGGACGCTAACCCCAACCCTCCTCCTTTACCCGGGCTTGGGACCGGCAGTAACTCTAGAAGAGCTACAGGCGGAGTTCATTTCTGTCAAGGTGATTCATAATTGATATGTATGTAAATTTGTGTGTGTATGTATATGTGCATTGTTTAAGAATGAAAACTTGTGTGACCTTTATGATAAGAAAGGATAGAGTTTAAATTTGTAATATGATAGTGTGAAATTGTAAATACGATCAGACTGAATGGCTAGGATAGATGGTGTATTGATTGTGATGCCTATTATATTGGAGAGTCATCCAGCGAAATCGTGACTAGAGCCAAAGAACATATTAGGTACACAAAGAAACCTCCTAACAATCCTGTAGAATTGAACCAACTTCAAATTAAATCGGCAATAGCAGTTCATGTCATTTTCAACAACCACCAAATCGATTTTAAAAATATCAAAATATTGCAAAAAGGCTTTTCCAACTACAAAGAAAGGAGGGTAGCTGAGGCGTTTCATATAATGCTTAATCCTACTTCTCTCAATAGAAAGGAAGGTCTTACTATACATCCTACTTGGACCATCTATCCTAGCCATTCAGTCTGATCGTATTTACAATTTCACACTATCATATTACAAATTTAAACTCTATCCTTTCTTACCATAAAGGTCACACAAGTTTTCATTCTTAAACAATGCACATATACATACACACACAAATTTACATACATATCAATTATGAATCACCATGACAGAAATGACAAGACATCAACTTGTTCAGACCTGATTTTTGATTGATCCAATATTATTCTTGCATTGTTCCGTTGTACTATTTAAACTTGAATTAATTTTAATTTCAGAAGGGGTTTGTGGAGATTTTAGAAATTTTCACAGATTTAAATCATGAGTCAGTTGAAGCTAGACTTGAATTAGACATTAACACCGTTGGATGCCGGCTCAGTGGTCTAATGGTTAAGTGCTCGCGCGCGAAGCCAGTAGGTCCTGGGTTCGAGCCCCGCGTGGTGCGGGATCGTGGATGCGCACTGCTGAGGAGTCCCATACTAGGCCGAAACGGCCGTCCAGTGCTTCCAGGTTTTCAATGGTGGTCTAGCTTCAACTGACTCATGATTTAAATCTGTGATAATTTTAATTTGGTTATTTATTCTCTGAAGAAGTGATTTACACTAAGTCACGAAACGTCAGAAAATCCAATTTTCTACTCATTGGGATATTACAAATATATTATTTTTATTTATAAAAATGCACAAATACTCATTCATATATATACCACTCTGTCCTTAGGAAATTGACTCATTGACCCCAATGAAATGCACTTGACCTTTAGGTGACTTCTGGTTGCCATATATATATATATATATATATATATATATATATATATATATATATATATATATATATATATATATATATATATATATATTCCGCTAAACACTATAAAACCTTCTCTTCTTAATTATGCACCACCAATCAGTCATATACAGATATAAACTTACTACGGACAGAACGAAAGACCGACTGGTTTCGTAGTGAACAGAATAAATTTCGAACATTGAGTCTGTCATATTCCATCCCATATCAGAAAAGAATGGCTGTGTTCTAGCTTTTAGAATGATGTGAGTGAGTAGGTGGTGGAAGCTAACTTCAACTGGAATAGTCTCTATCATTCTCTTGTTTTATTTAATCATTATGTTATTTAGTTGTAATTATTGTTTCTTATTGTTTACATCATATTACTTATTAGTAATGCAAGACGTTGGCCACTAATGATTGACCCGACTAGTCAAGCTAATAAATGGATAAAAAATATGGAGAAAAAGAATAATTTACAAATTATCAAATTAACTGATAGTGATTTTGTTCGTACATTAGAAAATTGTATACAATTTGGTACACCAGTATTATTAGAAAATATTGGTGAAGAATTAGATCCAATGTTAGAATCATTATTATTAAAACAAACATTTAAACAAGGCGGTGCATTATGTATTAAAATTGGTGATTCAGTTGTTGAATATTCACCGGAATTTCGTTTTTATATGACAACTAAAGTGAGAATTTAGTTTAAATGTGAAATACTTTTTTAATATTAAAGAGTTGAACACTGAATTTTTTGTAGTAAATATCCGCCTTGACTGTTTTTCATATTGTTAACGATTGAGAATTCAAATGATTAGTTTCGCTTTTCGTATGTGTGTCCCCTAAACAATCGTCTCGTCACCTAAACTTATAATTTGACTATATTCAGTATAGCGCATACCACTTTAATTAGTTACATGCTTTGTGTTCCATTTTTGACTCGTTTTCTGAAATACGTACATCCTAGTACTGATGTTGAAACTTAAATTCAATACATATTGATTCATATATAAAAACAGTATTCACTAGACTGTTGTAGTTATAACGACCACAACTTGTTCATTGAGTATGATACAAGCTTATAGCAAAACTATTTATATCTTTCTGATTATATTCAGAATACCACTGTGAATAACACAGTGGTATTTGAAGCGATGGTCCTGGGTTGAAGATTCATCAGGATGTAAGTACATGAATTTCAACAATCCCAAATAATGAGGGGATAAATCCTAAATTTCAACGCCAACCATTATCCAAAATATAAATCAAAATTTAATTTTCCATGGACGAAACATATGTTATTTGTACATTATGAAAATTTTTATTCCAACAAAGTTATAATATCCCTTTGGATACATATGCGCAAAAACTTTCACGTAGCATTTTAGAAGATTTAATATAGAGAGATATAAATCATACGGAACTGTAAAGTTATTCACAATAATCCTTAAAAATCCCTAAGAGATATAAAAAGTAGTGACCAGTGTAGTTCAACCAGGTCTATTGTGAGATAGTAACTCACTGAAGACAATAATGAATATGTCGCTCAATTTCGTAGATTAGTTGAAGTTAGACATTAACATCGTTGGATGCCGGCTCAGTGGTCTAGTGGTTAAGTGCTCGCGCGCGAAACCAGTAGGTCCTGGGTTCGAATCTCGCAGGGAGTGAGGTCGTGGACGAGCACTGCTGAGGAGTCCCACAGTAGGACGAAACGGCTGTCCAATGCTTCCAGGTTTTCCATGGTGGTCTAGCTTCAACTGACTCATGATCTTAACCATTGAAATTAGATATAAAAAGCCTTAAAGTATTGATGAGTGAATATCATTATTTATTGAACACAATATCAGTAAGCAATTAAACCCTATATTGACTTACGACTGACTTACAATTGACTTTTTTAACCTACTGTATTTCAAAATTCTTCATAGTATTGAATTATTTTTTTCCTAAATTCTATTTCTTTCTCACTCGATGTGTTTCAGTTTAGAAATCCTCATTATTTACCAGAAACTTCAGTTAAAGTAACTTTAGTGAATTTTATGATTACTGAAGAAGGTTTACAAGATCAATTATTGGGTATTGTAGTTGCACGTGAAAGACCAGAATTAGAAGAAGAAAAAAATAAATTAATATTACAAGGTGCTGCAAATAAAAAGAAATTAAAAGAATTAGAAGATCAAATTCTTGGTGTATTATCATCATCTGAAGGCAATATTTTAGAAGATGAAAGTGCTATTAAAGTATTGAATTCATCTAAAGAATTATCTAATGAAATAGCAGAGAAACAAGCATATTTTGAAGAAACTGAACAAAAAATTGATATGGCACGTTTAGGTTATGTACCAATTGCTGTACATACAGCTATTTTATTCTTTTCAATATCTGATTTAGCTAATATTGATCCAATGTATCAATATTCATTAACATGGTTTATTAATCTATTTATAATGGGTATTGATAATTCTGAGAAATCTGATGATCTGGAACAACGTTTAACTAATCTACGAAATTATTTAACATATTCATTATATTGTAATGTATGTCGATCATTATTTGAAAAAGACAAGCTACTATTTTCATTCTTACTTTCTATCAATATGCTTCGTCATGAGGGATTGTTAAATGAACAAGAATGGAGATTTTTATTAACCGGTGGTGTCGGTTTAGATAATCCACATGTAAATCCATCCAATTGGTTACAAACTAAATCATGGGATGAATTATGTCGGCTAGATCAAATCAATGTTTTTACTGGTATACGTGAACATTTTGAATGTAATCTTAATGCATGGAAACGTATATATGATAGTGTTGAACCACATAATGAAAAATTACCAGATGATTTAACACACATTAAAACACAATTGCAATTTCTTTGTCTACTACGTGTTTTAAGACCAGACAAAATTGTACCAGCTATACAGAATTTTGTTTTAACAAATTTAGGCAAGAAATACATTGAACCGCCACCATTTGATTTACCAGGTGCATTTTCTGATTCTTCATGTACAGTACCTTTATTATTTGTTTTATCACCTGGTGCTGATCCTATGGTAGCATTATTAAAATTTGCTGAAGATATGGGATTTGGTGGTACAAAATTTGAATCACTATCACTTGGTCAAGGTCAAGGTCCGATAGCTTTAAAAATGATAGAACATGGTATAAAAGATGGTACATGGGTGTTATTACAAAATTGTCATCTAGCACCAAGTTGGATGGGTATTTTAGAGAAAAGAGTGGAAGAATTTAATCCTGACACAACACATCCAGATTTTCGTTTATGGTTGACAAGTTATCCGAGTAAAGATTTCCCTGTATCAATTTTACAAAATGGTGTTAAAATGACTAATGAACCACCGAAAGGTTTACGTTTTAATCTATGGAGATCATATTTAAGCGATCCAATTTCAGATCAAGAATTCTTTCAGTCATGTTCAAATAAACATGCTTGGAAAAAATTATTATTCGGATTAGTATTCTTTCATGCTATTGTACAAGAAAGACGTAAATTTGGACCACTCGGTTGGAATACACCGTATGAGTTCAATGAAACAGATTTACGTATATCAGTTCAACAGTTACACATGTTTCTTGGACAGTACAGTGTTAGTTTCTAGCCGTTTTTTTATACAAATCTTATTGCTTATATAAAATTTTAGATACGCCTATTTCAGTAATATATACTGTGAACGAACGAGCCTAATAGGATTGCTTAGTTGATATTGATTTATAATGAATACATGTCCAAAATTACGCATGTCATACATAAAACTCTTCAGTTTGATTTATTTAGTGATGAAACAATTATTTTGTATTTTTATTGTTACGCTTACATCAATTCATACATACAGATCTTAGCAATGTTAACGTTAATTATTGACTTGATCACCAATGTTGAGCAATGGATCAATGATTAGGGACTTCAAATTTTTCTCCTCACAGTCCCAAGTTTGAAATCCCCTTCATCTAATTCTCTTAGAGAGACCAGGTAGTATCACTAGCCCTCACATTTACAATGTAGCTCAAAATCAAGCACACGGATTTAGACCACTTATATGACTTCATAAAATCAAAATAATCGACTCATCTTATTGAATCACTAAACTGACTAAATCATTGACTTAATTTTCTGACGTAAACGTTTTATCAAATAGGCTTGTTCTAAAGCATTGATGGTTTTATATGATCAGCTAGTATAAAGGTTAAAATGAGATTTCCATTTTTCAAAAATATAGTAAAATTAAAGTTTGCTTTTACCAACATCTACAATTAAGTGTAATTATCGATGTCAGAAAATACATTCGGCTCCATATACATATATAGGCCCCAAATGCCCTGGTGTCGTCGAGAGTGGGGTGGGCCCGCCCTCCCTCTCGAAATGCTCTCACACGGCCACGCGTATACAGCCTCTGCCAGGGAAGTCCTATTCACTGCCTTCTCGTGGTGGGGGTGCTGTTTACAAAATTCAGAGGACGAAAAGCGAATGTCCGGCGCTTTAACTGGATTCCAAACCAATGGTGCACATGAGCTCCAGTATCCTAAACGAACAAATGGCGTATGAACCAATCGTTGATCACCGGCTACCATGGGACTGCATCTCCTCACGATGCTCTACTGCTTTGTGGATCAGACCTTAAGGTCAAAGGCTCGGAGTGTGGCCCCCTAAGAAAACCACCTGCTTCGGTCTGGGCACCCGGGCAGTATCACAGCCCTCACACAGATCGAATGATTTATGTGGCGCATATCTATTTGGTGCCTCCTTGTACCAATGTTTATGTATTTAAATAAATAATAAAATAAATATACATATATTTAGAAAGTGTTGCATAATAAATAAACAAAACTCTTGAATGAAAAATTCTTTCAGTCATGTAAAAGTAGAATGAATATACTAGTGATGAGACACAATTTTATGTTGGTTAGTCAAACTTTAAATATTCCATCGTGCTCTATATACACTATGTATTCTAGATGAGGTATTGGAAAGCTTTTATATTTCTCTTTACATCAATGAATTCTAAAAAAGTGTAAAGTTGTCTGTGGTGTTGGAGGGCGAATAATTCGTATAAAATCACACATATTAGTTATTTAAAAGAATTCAAATATCTATCCACAACTCTGTATCCATAACCAATTCAAATGGTTCATTAGTAAGTTTACTAATAAGTTTTTAAAGCCTTACCCTAAAACAGTAACTTAATTGGTTCCCTTTTTTTAAAAATATTATTCATTCATTATCTCAATAATCTATATGAATTAATTATATTGTAAACTATTCAATATTAATTATACTCTTAATTTTCAAATGTAAGTCTATTATGGTAGTAGTAGTAGTCATTAACATATTCTAAGTCAACAAGTGAATCACGCGATTCAACTCCTGGAAATTTAGATGAGGAAAGTGTTATCCGTAAAAGTACGTCAATGACAAAGTTAAACAAGAGTGGAGAGAGTGAATAGCCCTGACGAACATCACTTGAAGTAATCAATTCTGATGATAGTTCGTCATAAGCTCTCACTCGCCCAATTATGTTCGAGTAGAGAGCCTGTATAAGGTTAATGTACTTCTTTGGTACTTCTTTCAATGACAAACACTGCCATAGAACCTCACGATCAACAGAGTCAAATGCCGCCTTAAGGTCGAAAAATACTACTATTTTTGGACATCTGAATGTGCTTATACTTTTAATACCTTAACCACTATAGGATTTGAATCGACAATTTTATCTCTCTGCTAGTGCGGTATGGCAACTTGAACAGATATACGTACGTACGAAGTTCTATGTTGTTGCTGACTGATGGGTATTAGCATTGATTGCTTTCTTCAGTCTATTGTTTTTATATAACTAGTCTAAAATAAATTATACTATTATAATACCTATTGTTAACTGCTGTTCAAAGTTTTACTCATATTTCATTTATGTAGGACGTTCAATATGAAGCTTTACGTTATTTAACTGGAGAATGTAATTATGGTGGTCGCGTTACTGATGAATGGGATAGGCGCACTTTAAAAACAGTTTTAATGCGCTTCTATTGTCCAGAAGTAGTTAATGAAATTAAACATCCGTTCGATTCAAGTGGAATCTATTATGCACCTGAAGATACTGAAGTAAGTTTTATTTTATTCCACAGAGTTTGAGTTTTTAACTGCATACGCAGTCAGTCAGCTACAACGTAGAACCAGGCACATATATGCATCGGTCCAAGTTGCCATACCTCATTAGCACAGCAAGATGAACACCGGATTTATAGAAGTAGTTAATTCAATGGTGGCAATATATAAAATAAAGATTGCGTATAAGGATATAGTACAGGAAGAAAGAATTATTTCGTAGAAAGGAAGATATGAAGTGATTTTAATCTCTTAGTTTAAGGGAAGACAGAGAGTGTATACACTTACGCCATTGTGATTGATTCTGAGCCATGTCACCAAGAGTCTCCAACCATGAGTTACGACAGTCACGCAGACCCTAATCAAGTAGTCTGCATCTACCAACATGGCTCAGACTAGAAGTTAGTGACTTCAAGCACTGATGCCACGTTTTGGTTTGGCCTCCCCTAACTTTTTTCTAACCATCACTAGGACTAATCAGCATTGAGCGTCGTGGTAATCGGTGTTCAAACATACGTAACACATGGTCCAACCATCTCAGTCGATGAAGATTTACAACCTCATTGACTGATTTACCCTCATTCCCTAATACTTTGCGTCTAACCTCACTATTACTTACCCGGTTATCCCAGCAGATGCGAGCAATATTTCTAAAATATCTGTGATCGAATACGAGTAACGAGTAACTTCATACTGATGAAAAAAATTTATTTAAAGAGTGTAAGAGTTTATAAGGGATTAGTAAGGTAGACGGAAAGATTGTTTAAATTTGGTTTCTTGTCAATTAACGTAAACTATCTAACACTTAGTGCATTATAAAAACTGAACATATATTTTTGGAAAAAAATAACAGAAAGTATGATTATACTAAGAATAGTATTAATTTATTTTGTTTTAATAAATGATCTAACCCACTTACGGCATAAATATTAGGATGATTTGCCGTATTTCATCAAATTACCTTGTACGATAATTACTCCTTGATACTAGGTGGTTGGAGGTGTGGATGAGAAGTTATAGATAAAGATTCAACATTAGTTGGGACTCATCAAAAAGGCATGCCTTCAGTGTTAAAGAAACTAGCACTTCATGTGCTATTAGAACTCACAATAGTTACTCCCCAAACTGTCTATTAGTCGATCATGAAAAAGTAAAAATAGGTATAGTTTAATTGTATTGAATCATAAGTGTCCTAATTCATTGCTAGTGTATGATGTGGTCACACAGTGAAGAATAGCAATGTTAAGCTCAAGTTATATGTAGCTAGCTAGTAACATGAAAATGTAATCTCCATAGACTGAGAGGGTTAAAACACTTACCATACTACCCCAACTACCACTTGTTATGAAGTGCAATGTTGTAGGTTGGGAAATCGCTAGATGTGACCAGCTAGAGATATAGCATAAGCCGATGATTTAATTTTCTGTTGCACAAAGTTATGTCGGAAGATGCAGTCTTCCTGGTTGTGGTTATGATGCAAACTCTGTCACAGTAAAGATTCATTTATTTACCTTTTTCCTCTTTATTTTAGTTTTAAACATTTTGTCACTTTTTTTCTGATTTCGTTCATTTATTTCGCTCTGTATTTTCTAATCTTTATTTCCTCGATACTCCTAGTGTTGTTGTTTGGATTCTTTTTTCTCTAACTTGCAACCAAATTGTTAAGATACAATGATACAACTTCGGATAATTCACCTCAATGTCGTACATTGTATAAAAATAACAGTTTTATTTACCCGGTTAAAATACTCATTCAGTTGGCCAGTGGTTCTATTTTCTAAAAAGTATCTACCTTCACTCTGATCACTTCGGATAATTCATTTATATCATTTATCTACTCTTATTGTTGTATTCCACTTTTTTTAGTATGAAGGTTATATTGATTATATAAAAACACTTCCATTGAATCCTGATCCAGAAATTTTCGGTATGCACCAGAATGCTGATATTACTAAAGATCAACAAGAAACCAATTTAATATTTACAAGCACACTTTTAACTCAAGTAAGCTGCCAGAATATACATTTTGGTCAAATTTAAAATATGGAATTATTTCAAAATTCAATTAATAATATTTAAAAGGTTTTGGTATTGTTTATTCATCTCGCAGAAAACTAATTCGCTAAAAAACGCTAACCAGAAAAATAATTACTGAATACTTAAATGTTCTTAAATAGCTAGTTTCCCGACCGTTGCTGCTATCTTGATGCGGTGGTCGAGCTTGCCTATCACGATGAACCAATCGAGTTATACTGGTTGGAACAATCGTTTCTCAAGGTCCTACCATGCCAGACAGGTCAGTTGAAAAACGGCAAAACTAAAAGCAGCAAATCCAAGGTCCGAAGGCGAAGTCGTACTGCTGACTGTACAGTAAGGTGTTTCCTTCAGACAACCAGCATAACAGCGATATTGCCCTCCCACAAGAAGAGGTGTGTTTAGAAAAGATCGACCCTAAAAATAAACACATCGCCTTATCCCACGGATATCAGTCTCCGGAGGTAAGCTCTTAAAAAGTATGGAGCAAACACGAAAATTACTCACAAAAAGGTTGTGTGTGACCGACTTCAAAAGTTGTCCCTTGGGCATGGCGGTCACGCTCTCAGGTCACTATGATCACCTCTAATCCAATTTCCTTTTCAGGCACCTCCAGAAGAACCCTTTTACAGTGTGGGCAACTTGGAAGTGATAACTGCCATCATACCTCTAACAGCACTCAAGACTGACTGAATTAGTTTATTTCATTCATTAATCTATCTTCTGAACAATGAAATTCCTGGCAAACTAATAAAAAGGTGGAAATCGCTTTGTATGTGGAATAGTTAACTAACTCAGATGAATGTCCTATAATCGAAATTACAGATTCTGAGATTAAAATGAGGAAATTTGCAGGAAATTTTAATCACAGTGCTATGGCTGAATTTGAATCAACAGTGACTTTAAGAAAGTCCATTGACTTAGTTGTATCATTACTTGAAATCATTGAATTGCTTCATGAACTGAGATTTTTCCTGTGATGTGTTCTTTCTGGGCTGAATTAAATTCTAAACTAATGATATGTGGGTGAAGTTGAGGATTTTACTCATTTAGAAGCATTTCAATAAGTTTTATTTGCGATTGTTTTAACTGAATGAATAGTGAATTCCACTCATCTATTAAAAATCGATGTTCTGAAAATTGATTTTTATCCCCGTCGTCACTTTTATAGAGTGCGTTTTCTGTGTGGCGTGAGATCTTAAAACCGATGGATAAAATGCTAGTCGATAAATGAACGCAATGATGCAATGTGACCGATCGATGGATACCCATTAGACCATATAATTGGCTTAGGACTCTGAATGACTAAAAATTATAGACGAAACCACTACTCCGATGAATAGTTTTTTTCGTATAATAAAATAATATGATTGAACTCAACATCTGAACACAAAATAGACATAATAAATTGTCATAGGCGATTGGAGGATATTGGTTTAAGACCTGACTGTTAGGTCTAACCTTTGGACATGATATCAGCTTGGTACTGAAACTTTAAATCCGACGACGCGTAGTGAAGAAACGAAGACTGTTGAAATCAATTTATTTGACCCTTCGAAATAAATCAAAATGATTTATGAACACATTACTTTTTATATGAATTACTTATAGTGAGATTTATATAAATTGGACTGAATAGTATTTAACATCAGTTAATAACTTACTGCGCAAACGCATTTACAATATCATTAAATTAAATTTTCCTCCTGAAACTTTTCTTGCTTCCATTCTGATTACATGGCAGAGATGACTGGAAAAAAACGGTTTCAGATGTAGTCTGTACTCTATTCAATTTAATCCCTATATCAAAAATCCGTTTAGAAGACACTTTGAATTAGTTGATTATGATCCAATTCAACCTATTTCAATGCTCGTTTGTGCATTTCTGTTGAATCTGCTACTTTTTACAGTGCCTAATATTGTTTGTTCTTGCCCACTTTTGATTTCTCTTATTTTGAGTTTATATTGGTCTGATAAACATCAAATTTTGGTCAGTTTTGATCAATTTCTAAACTATACTTCATTCGTTGAATTCGAACAAACAATGAAGGTTATATAAAAGCTTTGTAAATTAAACCACAGCAAACTTAGTCACTGATCCAAAAAACTTTAAATAAGACTGTAATGAACAGTATTTAATGAGCTAGTTCACATATAGGGTACTGACTGAATCCGAGTAATCACCTTTCTAAAGATTCATATCTCATTTTTCAATAGGGTAGAGTTTTTTGACAATCAAAAGCTTTATTTTACACAATACGGACTTATTCGCTCCAAAACTTATTATTGATACTCATTGACACCAAGTGCCCTTTTAGTGATTACGAATTCTTTCAACAGAACTTTCATAGTCACATTTGTAATCAATCAATCATTGGAAAATTGTTCACTTTACAATTTGTTGGGTCACTCATTCATTGTTTGAAGCTTTAAACTAGATTGTCCTAAAACGCTTCATTGTTTCGCTGATTACTTATTACTGACTAGTTCATATGGAGTATGATTTGCTAACATTAACCATTTATCTTCATTTGAAAGGATGTTCTGGTGAGAGTGGTTGAATTTCATCATTAAGATAATTTCGGTTGAGAATATCTACATTTGGCTTATTGTATTCCTTTATTTAAGTAAGCTGGATAAGAATGACATAATCTAACAAATTATGGCCTAACATTTAATTGAAATAAGTTAAATTATTTATTTATGTGCTGGTTACTAGTAACTTTTCATGGTTTCCTTCGTTCGATTAGCTAATATATTTAGGACCAGAGTAAAGAAACAAGTTAGTCATTTATAAATCAATAAGTAGGACCTGACACAAACGAGCATTATTTGGCAATGTCAGATTTCATATCAACACAGTAGGATTAACTGAACAATATGAAAGTTAAATGAGCCGAAGCAATAATGTTAATTACATCAAAAGATCAAACAGCCTTCATATTTAGAAAGGAAATGTCGAAGCAGAGGAATGAAAATGATTTATACCAAAATAAACTCAAGATTTAAAGCGAGATTCAGACTCGGCTGCATGGCTGAGAAATTATTTAGATCCATCTCACACAGGATTTCTAATTTGCATTTGACACCTCACGGTATGACTCAGTCCAATATTTAATCAATGTTTAGACCGATGCTACATCTTCTGTCCTTCTTTAAATGTTCTTCAGTTTCACCATTGATAACCAGGAATGGATAGGAAAAAGGAGAACTTGTCTCAACCGATCTAGTCTATAAGGATTCACAGCTTGTCAGTCGAATTTCTACTTCTACTTAAAACCCTAAGTTTAGCCTGGTCAACTCGTGGTTTCTTTATAAGTGAGCATTACCACTGATCATACATTACTAACCTTCTCCAAATTTGAACTCCATTTCCCATATGAACTAAATCGCTGTACAGGATACCCATTCTCTTACAAACAGATGCGCGTCTTTCCTGAGTTACGAAACATGAACGTTGGTAAAAATCATAGGAGCAGTATCTCTCCTTTTTAAGATTTCATCAGTCATCAACCTATCAGAACAGACGAAACAAACAACGTAGATGAATTCATCAGTGTGCTTCTGTTTCAAAACCTGATAAAGGATAAAGATTTGAACAATCCATTTACATTTAAGTTGAAGAAACCTCTTGTTTCTTCTTCATTCACGGAGAGTTGATCATCTTTAGTTATTTCTTTTAGATAAATTGAATGTACAAAATGGATTTCTCATTATATGTCTGAGTTGTGATTAGTAATTTCATCGAATTATTAATCAACTGATCATACAATGAAATGTAATGATTATTGATAATTTAAAAGATTTCGAAAATACCAAAATGTCTATTTAATTATTTTTTAACAGGCAAAAGGAACATCATCATCTGGAAAATCACTCGATGAAATAGTTGATGGAGTTGCTTCTGATATCTTAACTCGTCTACCATTAAATTTTGATACAGAATTAGTATTACGAAAGTATCCAACATGCTATGAACAAAGTATGAATACAGTATTAGTACAAGAAATGGTTCGTTTCAATGTACTCTTAAGTATAATACGTTCAAGTCTTAAAAATATTCGATTAGCTATTAAAGGTTTAGTGGTCATGTCATCTGATTTAGAAGATGTAGTGGCTGCAATACTTGCTTCAAAAATTCCAAAATTATGGATGAAAAAATCATATCCATCATTAAAACCACTTGGATCATATGTAAATGATTTTCTGGCACGTTTAAAATTCCTTCAGGTAAAATTATTTATCAAAAGTATCTATATTCTATTATAATCATATTATTCATGAAATGATCGACTTGATTACTACACACTACTGTTGAATATAAGTAGTTTTAGATCACTTGTATTAAAGTTAAGTATTGATTCTGTTGTGTAATAGAAACCCAATTAAAGTTTCTGGATTAATAAAAATCTTATCAATGAAAATGAAAACACAAACAATTATTTTAGTAAAATTCACTTGGTGTTGTTTTACTTGTATCTTCGCATTTGTTATTTAGGATTGCAATTGATCAGTCTCATGTTGGGATATGTAAATCCTGTGCGGATTGCCTCGATATAGCCTTAAGTCACAAGCTTTATTGGAGTATACTTATTAAATCTTATGTATAACTTAAGTAAAATAGGAAAAACAAATTGAGTTAAATGATATAACTATTAATTAGATTTCGATTAGATATTAATAAATTGACTGTTAATTTTTTTCATTTCAATGATCAAAACTACAAATGTAAACACGCATTGGCATGTTGTAGTAAATATGACATGAATCTAAATCGAGTTAAGGATATTGGATAAAATGTTACAATTTAATAGTTTATTTCAAGAAATGCTTTGAAATATCAATTCAAATAGTAATGGAAGATCATAAATTTTGAAATAAGCTGTTACATGATTTCAATGGTTGAGATCATGAATCAATTGAAGCTAGACCACCATGAAAAACCTGGAAGCACTGGATGGCCGTTACATGATTAAATAAATGAACAAAAGTTAATAGTAGTTAAATGATAATAAAATATCATAAGTTGATCCCAAATGGTTTAGAATACTATTGTGAATAGTCAGTAAAAAACGCATCTTTATTCATTTTAACTTTAAAAGTGATAGCTCTATAAGAGCAATCAATAAAACGTAAACACTAAACTAAGTGAACTTATCTTACGGTCAAATTAATATTGTATATAATAACCATAAACCTATTATGCTTACTCAGTGATCATATTCGAAAGACCTATAATTCTCCTTTTATATTAGAACGACTGTGTAAATGGGTATCATACATATTTTGATTTGTCACTTTTAATACTCATCCCTATTTTCTCTCATCATTTACAAGTACATCGGGTTTTTCTAATGTATTACTATCAAAGAGGATATCTTATATGTAGTTTTTATAACAAAATTAAATGGTAAAAGTGATTATTACCACCATTTTCCTTTTATTACAGATATAAGATATTTCTTTTATTCATAATATTATTCCATGTTTTAGGTATGGTATGAACAAGGACCTCCACCGGAATTTTGGATATCTGGTTTCTTTTTCACACAAGCTTTTCTTACTGGTGTACAACAAAATTATGCACGAAAGCATACAATACCTATTGATTTGTTATCTTTTGAATTTGAAGTATTAGATGACATCAAATACACAGATGCTCCATCAGAAGGTAAACAATTCTAATTCATAAAATTTCTAGAAAGTATACATGTTTTTATATATTGTCAGTGAATATAGAAATGTCTAATTCATAATACAAGGGGCTAAACAAGCTTATATTAAATAGAAGAAACGAAATAACTATCCGTAAAAATATACAAATTTTGTCTTCAATTTATTATAACCAAATTTCCTAATCGATATATCAGTGAAACATCCTATAGTTACGATATAAAGTGTACCTGCATTTCTAGAGAGAATTCAGAGAAATTCCTCAGTAAATCATAAGTACAAAAAAGGTTTTTTCTATCCATCGGTTATTGACTCAACTTTCCTTCAGCCATCCGCTTGTTTCATAAAGTAAATGATTTCCAGAGTAACAAATGCGCAATTCAAGGAAATGTAGCTCTTCGGGCTACTGTCGGTCCAAAGCCTGGGTAAAGGAGGAGGGTTGAGTATGAAGTCAGCATTCCCATTCCGTAGAAAACAATACTGCTAAAAAACGTAAACCAGAATAAACAAATTAAACGTTTTTCAATGTGTATTGGGAGTTAAAGGATATTCATTCAGAAGAAATATGACGCCTCATAGTGCAAGCCGAGATTCTTCGGAAATCACGAGGCCGATGCTCTTTCTAACCACTGGAGCAACAACTAATATAGGTACATGGAATGTTCGAACAGTGTGGGAGACCGGGAGGACCAATCAAATAGCTACGGAAATGAGGACATACAACTTGCCGTTCTCGGAATCAGTGAAACCCATTGAACACAAGCTGGACAGAAAAGGATAGAGTCGGTAGAGATATCACTGTACTCTGATCACGAAGAGGAAAATGCTCCTCACACACAGGAAGTTGCTCTGATGCTATCCAAAGAAGCACAAAATACACCTAGTATGGGAATCTCATGGACCCAGAATTATCAAAGCATCTTTCAAAACAATGAAGGAAGGAATTACAACGAATGTTATCTAATGTTATAGAGAAGTGCTCAGGAAAGGACCTGACCATCCTAATGGAAGACCTAGACGCCAAAGTTGGAATGGACAACACCGGATATGAGGATATCATGAGACGACATGGACTGAGTGGGAGAAAGAAACGAGAATGGTGACATTTGCAAATTTATGTGCATTCAGCAAAATGGTTATAAGTGGCAGAATATTCCCACACAAATTACATGGGTCTCATCGGAATACACTGCACAGAACCAGATCGTTAATATTTGCATCACTAAAACATTTACAATGCCGATGGAAGACGTGAGAACCAAGAGAGGAGTTGACACAGCTTCAGATCACCACTTGTGTTATATCCTAGTGAAGATTACATTACGAGTAACGTCTGAGACCTATTAATAGACTAATATTATCTATACATTCTTATGGTATAATTATTCAATAATTTTATTATGTATATTTATATTCCTCTTATTAAACGCTTTATTTTGACCTACATATTATTATTGTACGATTTACTGTTCTTAAGCTATGTTCAGTTTATTGACTACTGCCTCCCACGTTCACAACCACTTTTTGGCTTTATTGTGTACAAATGTTATTCCCTATTTTATGGTGCGTTGCGGTCTGTTTGTTTGGTATATAAACCCAGTATGTCTGAAATAAATGCTTCGATTCGCATAGTGGAGGCTGTTATTGGCATTCTGGACTCAGCCGGACAGGCTAGGCGAGCAACGGACCAATAGGATGCTGGGCTGATGAAACCGGTCGAACGTCATTGGTTTAGTACAGTATAAGAGCGAATGTTATTTTAATTGGCGAGTAGATTACTTGATAACAAGCGGCTGATAAATTCACAACAACTTGGTTGTAGCCAACATGAAACAAAAGCTAAAGAAGCACTGGACAACTGGGGAAACAGCATTACAAAAGTTCAATAAAGCCCACATTCAAGATACTGGTGAGCGGCCTATGATCCTCCACGAGGTGCAACAGGCTGAAGTAAGTAACCTAACTCATCTAAATCCCTATGGTCATCATAACCAACCTAGTATTGTAATTGCAATTAATGTGTCAATAATCCAATGAAATTCCAATGTCATTTACCTTCATGTCAATTAAGATCTGATGGAAAATATTCATTCCTTATGATTTTTTTTACCTCAAAAATATTTTCGATGAAATAACAGTACACTCTACCAGAGAAAAAGATCATCTGAATGGTATCCCATTTAAATAATTATGGTATGTTTTCAGCAATATTTTGCTTCATTTAAATAATTTCCAATAAGGCATTCATCAAAACAATCCAGTATCTCGTCAATCTTCTGGTGAGTCCTGAATACGACGAAATGCTTGTCCTGGATTTCACTGCTAGCCACATTCCATCTAATCTACATAATTATTTGTACTTATCACTAATTCATTTTATTTGTATTTTTATTAATAATTCTTTTTAAAATCATTAACTATTTTCTTTCCATGTAATAGGAGCTTATGTATCCGGTCTGTTTGTGGATGGTGCAAGATGGGATAGGAGTACAAAAAAATTAGCAGAAGCTTTACCAAAAGTTTTACAAGATCCTATGCCACCTGTAAGTGTTGTACACAATAAAATTATATGTTTATTTACATAGGAAATGATTGAGACAAAAATAAAATTATTCATTTAAACGTTAATACAAATAGGTTGTGTCCATGAGTTTGTAACTCATCCGGTCCTCAATGTTCACTATATATATTCAATATCTAGCTTTTTTTCGTTCATTTAGTGGATGAATAATGCTTAGAGGGGGATTCTTTTCACTGAGGGTTTCATCTCAAGCTTTAACGTTTACTTTTAAGCTTTTTTTTCATCCAGAAAGTTGTGATGTTTTACATTAGCATATTCACTGAATATACCTTTAGATGATCAAAAACGAAGTCCTCAGTAAAAATTAAACTTTTAAATGCATCATTAACTCACTAACTGAACAACAACAAAAAGATATTCAAAAAAATGTAGAACGTCACACTTTTATTTAAAATTGGATAATGATGAATATCATCACGCATTATTATTAGTTCAACTTCTTTCACATCCATTGAATATCCCAACATCAATGAATGATCAGATAATAGAGCTAACTAATAGGAAGTTCTCTGAAAACTAATAAGACCTATGACCGCCCAAACAATAACACGAATAACTACCAACGGCGATTGGATATACTAATTGTTATTAGTACATCCATCTTGGTAAAAAATAAAATCCAGAACTTTCATATAGTTTAAATTCACTGAAAAATGTCTTGTACGTAAACTTAAAAGATAAAGAATACTAGGTGCTAAAAATATTCTTAATAATCCACCGCTCAAAATTGCCATATTGACTGTATGTGGTAGTAAATCATTTTGGTGTGAGAAAACTAATGAGCCAAAATGAATGTTAGTTAAATGCAACCCCACTGAAGTATTAATCTCACACTGAAATTGTTTTGTTTTTTTAAAATATTTTTCACAGATTTGGTTAATACCAATAAAACGGAGTGATATTAAATCAAGGCCTAGTTATACAGCACCAGTTTACAAGACAAGTGAACGTCGTGGTGTATTATCAACAACTGGACATTCTACAAATTTTGTATTACCAATTCTGTTGACATCAGATAAACCGGAAAGTCATTGGATTATGAGAGGTGTCGCTTTATTATGTCAATTGGATGATTAAACGGAGTGATAAAATAAGAAATTTAAGTTCGGGATACCTGATACATAATCACCAATTCATAAAACCAACCATACTTTTATTATATATACATATTTTTAAAACGAACTTCAAATATGTATACTTATTCACTATTTTATTTACATCAATTGATATTATCACGATATACACTCGAAATATGTTGTAAAAGTTAACTTAACTTTAGAATCATATAAGAAATTAATAAAAACTTTTTAAGAAAATGTTTATATTATTAAAGTTGGATAACGGCCAGTAGTGAAATGCAGGAAAAACTTTTCGTACTATTTGGAACTCGAAAGCTAGATGTACCAACATCCTAGTGGTGATGAAGTAATTCGCATTCTGTTACTGAGGTCAATGGAGAGAATGTCAGCTACCTTCCTACTGAAACAACTTGACCTTTAATTGTTCAGGGGTGTGATTTGTTGGTGTTTATTCCACCTAAATGTCTCAGCATTTTATAAATAAGTTTATGGAGAGTTTTCCTTAACTTCGGATTGTTTGTAGTAATATTCTTGATGTTTGTGATTTATTTTTTGGAACAAAGCCATTGAGTTTTTTTTTCTAAAAATAGACCCACGAATAATCTAAGTGATAGAATGAAAACTAAGCGTGCTGGAGCTATTTAAAGTTACGAAATATCGATGCAACTATCTGTTTTTCCATAGATAGATGATGTTGAACGTATACAACACTAGCAAACTACGAAGCCCATCAGTGAAAGGAATTAAGTGTTGATTAACTAGTGAGGTATTTTCTGAGACTGGTGTCTCAAACTTACTTGCTTACATCTGTTAAACCTCGTGGAGGAGGATATGCCGCTCACCAGCATTCTCCAACCAACCTCATTCTGAGCAATCCTTCCCACTTGCCTCCAGTTGCTACTCATTCTTTCCATGTCTCCTCCCAATTCTCGCTGCAGTGTGTTCTTTGGTCTTCCACATTCCCGTTTCCATTCAGAATCCAAATTTAGCGCTTCACTCGTGATTCAGTTTGGTGATTTCCTCAATCTATGTCCTATCCACTTCCAACATCTGTTCCTAATTTCATCCTCAGTTGGGAGTTGGCTTGTTCTCTCCCACAGTAGGCTGTTGCTGATAGTATCCGATCGATGGATATTGAGTATCTCACGTAGACAATTGTTTATAAATACCTATAATTTCTTGTTGATGGTTGTAGTAGTTTTCGAAATGTCAGCTCCGTACAATGGAACCAACTGTCTTGATGTTCGTATTGAAGAACCTGTCTTTCGTATTGGTTGAGTTTCATTTGTTCTTCAACTGTAGAGATGCTGTCCTTGCTTTGCCAATCCTCGCCTTTACGTGTGCACCAGATCCTCCTCGTTCATCGATCATGCTGACCGAATACGTGGGAGTTTCCACCTGTTACAGTTTCTCCATCAAATGTGATTGGGTTGGTGTTCTCTGTGTTGTATTTGTAGTGTCTAACTGTTATAACGTGAACAATGAATGCTGCTGATTAAGGGATAGCGAATTATTGATCGGACCAAAGACGCGCAAACACGTAGAACGACCTAGGGTTCTGATTGGTCTCGCTTCCCTGTTTAACCCAGCCAATTGAGTCCAGAACGAAAGTCTCAGCCTCGGATATATGGATCATTTTATTTCAAACATACTGAGTTTATATACCAGTCAAGCAGTCCACAACGTACCATAAAATAGAAAATAACATTGTACAATAATGGCCAACAGGAAAATAACACGTTAAATAAATATTAACCAATAAGATGATACTATTTCATGTCCAAGGATAGCATTAGGCTTAACAGGATAATTTTTGGGATATTTTCCTGAATATCCCAACACCTCCCTTTTTTTTTGGAGATCCGGAGTTGATGTCCGGATTTTAAATTTTTTTCCGCGTCTATCCTCCCCCGCGAAATAATGTTGGGTCGTCATAAACCCAAGGAACAGTTAGTGTGACTCTAATTGAAGCATATTTCCCGCGTTGAGTAGAGAGTCTACTAGAACTGACTAGATGGTGAGGTTCAGCGACAGTAGATCTGAGGTCATTAGGGTTTAAATCTTTAGTAAGTAGTGGATCATTATGATAATCGGTGTCCAACAAAACTGTACCAGGATCTTGGTTATTATTCGATGCGTGAAACACATTTTCTGGCAAAACAATGAGATCTTCTCGTGAGCTGGATATGTTACTATCTGCACATGCTGTTTCGGGGTTGATGGAGTTTGACTCCATTACCGGGCATGTTTCTGAAAGAAAAAGTACTGGACCACTGGGCGCATGATGGATGACTGTTTCGTTTGAAGTACAGTTCACCGAGGATTCATGGAGGCTGCTGCCATTTTCCAGCTCACTGTGTATTTCAGATATCAATCCATCCACTTCTGTCGCGTCTTCATAGCATGAGTGATTTAGCAGCTGCGTGCGGAATTTGACTAATAACTCCAAATGTCGTTCAAAGAGCAGCTGTAATCGATCGGAGGGGAGAGTCATTTTTCGAATCAGCACCTGTGATGAAAATTACTGTATGACTAATGACCAATGTGGTTCAAGGACACTGATGACAATCTGGATACTGATTGGTTGGATAATTAGACTGGATTTCGTCCAATTAGAGAATGACTTTGGATTGTATCTTTTCTTCACCCCGTCGCCAATTGTTATAACTGTGAAAAATAAATGCTGCTGATTGAGGGTAGCGAATTATTGATCGGACCAAAGACGCGCAAACACGTAGAACGACCTAGGGTTCTGATTGGCCTCGCTTCCCTGTTTAACCCAGCCAATTGAGTCCAGAACGAAAGTCTCAGCCTCGGATATATGGATCATTTTATTTCAAACATACTGAGTTTATATACCAGTCAAGCAGTCCACAACGTACCATAAAATAGAAAATAACATTGTACAATAATGGCCAACAGGAAAATAACACGTTAAATAAATATTAACCAATAAGATGATACTATTTCATGTCCAAGGATAGCATTAGGCTTAACAGGATAATTTTTGGGATATTTTCCTGAATATCCCAACACCTCCCTTTTTTTTTGGAGATCCGGAGTTGATGTCCGGATTTTAAATTTTTTTCCGCGTCTATCCTCCCCCGCGAAATAATGTTGGGTCGTCATAAACCCAAGGAACAGTTAGTGTGACTCTAATTGAAGCATATTTCCCGCGTTGAGTAGAGAGTCTACTAGAACTGACTAGATGGTGAGGTTCAGCGACAGTAGATCTGAGGTCATTAGGGTTTAAATCTTTAGTAAGTAGTGGATCATTATGATAATCGGTGTCCAACAAAACTGTACCAGGATCTTGGTTATTATTCGATGCGTGAAACACATTTTCTGGCAAAACAATGAGATCTTCTCGTGAGCTGGATATGTTACTATCTGCACATGCTGTTTCGGGGTTGATGGAGTTTGACTCCATTACCGGGCATGTTTCTGAAAGAAAAAGTACTGGACCACTGGGCGCATGATGGATGACTGTTTCGTTTGAAGTACAGTTCACCGAGGATTCATGGAGGCTGCTGCCATTTTCCAGCTCACTGTGTATTTCAGATATCAATCCATCCACTTCTGTCGCGTCTTCATAGCATGAGTGATTTAGCAGCTGCGTGCGGAATTTGACTAATAACTCCAAATGTCGTTCAAAGAGCAGCTGTAATCGATCGGAGGGGAGAGTCATTTTTCGAATCAGCACCTGTGATGAAAATTACTGTATGACTAATGACCAATGTGGTTCAAGGACACTGATGACAATCTGGATACTGATTGGTTGGATAATTAGACTGGATTTCGTCCAATTAGAGAATGACTTTGGATTGTATCTTTTCTTCACCCCGTCGCCAATTGTTATAACTGTGAAAAATAAATGCTGCTGATTGAGGGTAGCGAATTATTGATCGGACCAAAGACGCGCAAACACGTAGAACGACCTAGGGTTCTGATTGGCCTCGCTTCCCTGTTTAACCCAGCCAATTGAGTCCAGAACGAAAGTCTCAGCCTCGGATATATGGATCATTTTATTTCAAACATACTGAGTTTATATACCAGTCAAGCAGTCCACAACGTACCATAAAATAGAAAATAACATTGTACAATAACGGCCAACAGGAAAATAACACGTTAAATAAATATTAACCAATAAGATGATACTATTTCATGTCCAAGGATAGCATTAGGCTTAACAGGATAATTTTTGGGATATTTTCCTGAATATCCCAACACTAACTGACAGGAATTAAGACTTCTTTATGAACTAAGTATCTGCCTCGCATTTAAAAATCTATATCAGCTAGGCATCTACCTGCGTGTCGTATTGCTCATATTTCATCAGATGCATTAGTTATATTTTAAACTGCTTCTCTCACTATTAATAATTCACTCCCCTACACTAAGTTTTGTTTATTGCTGCTGTTCTTTTTATTGTACTTACTACTTTATCTCTTAATAACCTCATTATTAATGTGTAACACATATGTATTTGGTGACCCCTTATACCGGTGTGTGTCCAACTAAATAAAAAAATGACCAGCTACATGACATTCTATAGTATTCTAATTATAGTATGAATTAGGAATTCCAGGATTAACACAATTGAATTAAGAAGACACAGGCACAACGAATGTACTGTATTTAGAATTCGAAATCGAGCATTCAACCAGTACAAAAGAATCATTAGTTAATTCAAACACCACATCCGCCACAGCTTAAATAGAAGTATAAGTGTTTGTAATCGGTTGTACGTCTTCTTGTTAAGTTCATCCTGAGTCTGTCCGACATTGTATAAGATAAAAACTTTGTAGTATCTAGAAAGTGCTCATTAGTATTGAAATTAACAAACGAAATCGGAACAGACTCACCAGGAATTGTATACAACCAGCATGTCGGTTTTGTAATGAAATCATTAATATCTAGAATTCGAACCATAGATTTTTCAACACTATCCCCCCCCCACGAAATAATGTTGGATCTTTATACTCCCAAGTTATGAATAATGTGGCTTCATTTAAAACATATATCTCACATTGTTTAGAGTAAACATTAGAACTGTTTTTGTGATAAGAGTAAACAGCAGTTGATATGAAATCATCCGAAATATAATAAAACTCGAGGTCACTTAGTACTCGTGCTTCGCATTGGACAGGTTTTTCACGAAGATCAAATACATTATGAGGATAGGTAATATATGATATGACATCAGGATTTGATTCTTCTGAAATATTCTCATGAAATTCATCAGGACTGTCGTTGCAGAGCGTAGGATCGTTAGAAAAATCAGCATCTATCCAAACCACATCAGGTTTTCGATCATGATTAGGTTCATTTAACATATTTTCCTCAGAATTGCAAGTAATTTCATTAGAAATATGTGAATCATTAGGAAAAGTCATACTTGGTACAATAGCATGAGAATTCTGATAAATCGGTTGATTAGGAAATGTTGTCTCACAAGAATTCTGGATTTCATTTAACTCTGAACTGCCATATGACTCTGCACTGTCTTTTGAAATCGTTGATAAAGATAAATGATCATCATGAATACTCGACTCAGTAGAATCAGAATTACAAGACTTAAAATTAATTGCAGTAAGATGAACATTAGCATTACAAACTGACTGAACTTGTCCAATATCACGACATTTGAAGCATTTAGAATTATGAAATTTACATGAATTAGAAGAGTGGAACTTGCAACAGGACAAACACTGACCAAGCTTGTCCCCATCCTCGTGAACTGCATCCAAATTCAATGAATTGTCTGCATAACCTTGAGTATGCACTAGGTTGAGATGACGTAGTAATGTAGTGGACTTTTTTATATCCTCATGAATCATTTTACGAAATCTTCCTCCTTTACGACATTTGAAATTTGTATACTGAGCATAGTCTAGCAGTAGATCCTTGAGAGCTGTATAAGAAAGCGAAATGGGTTTTTCCGGCATAGCCAGAGTTCTTAATAAGCTGTATGCTTCTTTTCCAATGAATGTGAGGAAGTGTGCCACAATATTAACATCCTCATCATCTTCCTTGGTCATAGCCCAGATTTCGAACCTTTCAAAGTAATCTTCAAAAGCTTCTGAAGTTGAATAAATATCTAACTTTTCCATTGCAGGCTCCATCGCGACGCCAATATAGTATTCTAATTATAGTATGAATTAGGAATTCCAGGATTAACACAATTGGATTAAGAAGACACAGGCACAACGAATGTACTGTATTTAGAATTCGAAATCGAGCATTCAACCAGTACAAAAGAATCATTAGTTAATTCAAACACCACACATTCAGAAAAACCACAAAGACAGTAAGAGACAGAACTGCGAGATGTAAGTTCGATAGTCTGTTGTTGAACCTGCCATGAGTAACACAACTACCACAGGGTATGGAAGCAATAAAAGTGGACATAACTCAATAAATAAATGTACCATAAATATTAACCGAAAACAAAGTACCCAAATAATTTATAAAATATTGGCTACAAAATGTTATGAAACGTAACAGGTCTCCCATATGGATAGATATATGATCACAGGACGACTTAAATATTGCGTAGCATAAGTGTGAGATTCGTTTTGTTTTAACTGTACTTTTTGTGATTAACAAGTGTTGTATTCAATAGTTTATTTTTTCGCATTTCATTGTCTAATCGTGAACTAACCGTTATCTTATTGGTTGATACACACTTAATCCACCCCGGCTTATTGGAATCGCCTCTTAGTACCTATCAGCCGACTGTTGCCAAGTTTATCGCATTGACTGGGAATTTTTTTAATCAAAGATAATTATTATTTCTTATAGTCACTTAATATTTATATATACTCACATATATTCTGGGAAACCAATACGGTCTTTCGACTTTAATTGACCCCGGGTGCGTTATTCCAGTGAATATAACAACAGAAACAGATTTAGTGATACCAGGTATTCAACTGGCATTAAGTATAAATGTCGAAAAATGTCTAATATCATATTGATCTCCATTTATATCCCAGATAAAAAACTACATCCAGATACTGATGAAAAATATATGTAATAATTCAGCTTTTAAAACAATAGAAACTAGGCGTTTGTGGGGTGGTTTTAAAATGATTACTAACCACTTTGCTACAATATGATAAGAGGAATGAAAACTGTATGTTAATCAAATATACATACATAAGATCAGAGTGTATACAAAAGAGCATTTTTTTATTGTCATTTTGATTTACATAGACAAAAATGATGAGTTAAATTGTTTACCTATTAACTCGTTGCAATAAATCGTCTTGGCATTTATCAAGCAAAAAATCAACTATCAATTCAGTTTCCTCAATGTTTATTACCAAAAAAAAACAGAATTCAGCTGTACTTGCATCCGCAAAGTTGGGAATATTTTAATAAAACCAAAAACAGGTCTAAGAATTGGTCAAAAACAACAGCAAATATCATAAATACAAATAAATGGGTAGAAGACAGCTGTACAAAGTAGGTTGGATAAATTAACGATTCTTAAATACAGGAAAACACAAACAGGGTAGTTTACATAGAACCAAATTGATACAGTTAATTTTTTACATTTATCTTTTTGCTACCTCCATCTATACCATTGTAAATTTGGGCTGGTGTTGGTTGATCAGGCTGAGATGATGAAAGAGTATTGGTGGTGCTAGTGCTGGATGAATGAAAAAGTTCTGCAATCATTTTACGTTTATCTTCGGGGATTTTAAAGTTTTCAGGAAACTGAACATCGATTGTAATGTAAAGAGAACCACGACGCTTATTATTTTCAAAATTAGGCATTCCTTCATTTGGTTTATAAATAATTGTCCCTGGAGAGGTTACATGATCACTTGAGATAACAACCTATGATTAAAAAAGACAAAATTTTAAACAAAAGCGGCGATTGGGACTTTAAGAAAATAGTGGTTTCTGTGACACTATCATGGTTAGTTTCAAAACTCCAGATTTGGATTATTTCAAAATTTTCATGTTGAATACTGCCACCATAGAGATTGACCCAAACAATTTCTCATACTTACCTACAGTTTACTTTTGAGTATTACAATTATTCGTACATTCTTTTTAATGTTTCAGTCAATATTATTCGGCAAACACTGCTACACGATTCGTTAAAGGTTGACTTTTCCGTCACAACGATCACTGGATACTTATTTGTCTAGCTTAATGTCAGTGTAGTAAAATAAAGTCTTTGTGTCCTCTTCACTTCTAATTTATTGTTTTAGAAGGCTCTTCACTTTAGCTATAGATAATGAATTCAACAAAAAAGTACAGTATTTCAACTATTATAGTTAAGTGACTATCAGTGTCAATATTGATAGCCATAAACTTGAGCACTTAGAAATAACATATCACTTGCTTTACCATTTTACTCCTTAAATTTCATTAATTTTATTCACTGCTTGGAGTTTTACAAATTCTATGCTGAAGGATGCAGGGGGACAAAATATTAAAGCATTTAATGAAAACGGATGAATACAAAAGAAGAAAACTACCTACTTGATGGCCATCCAAATGTGGAAATGAAACATGATATCCATTCAACGACTGGACCAGAGTTAGAGTGATGTTAGTGTATAGGTCATCACCTCGTCGATGAAATATATTGTGTCTATAAGATAAATAAATAGTGTTTAGACAAGAACTAAAGATCTTTGGTGTATACTAAGTATATACTGAAAATAGGTTACCACAGATTAGATTCTGGATTTGTGGTTCAAGAGTTAGAGGGCCCTATATTCAACCATTTGATTACAAGTCAAAACTTCTTTCAACGTGCTTCGATCTGACTACATTAAGTGTGGCTCAAATCCAACTGCACAGATATAAGTTTTATTAGTGAATCACATTAATTAGCTAACAAGGCTTTATTGATAAAACACTACGACTAATTTTACCATCCGCTTTCAAGATTCATTACAATGGAGGTGAATGACAATAACGATGAAGGTTTAATTAAGACGTTCCGATTGAAATAAGCTTCTCAAATAATGTTTAATGAAAATCTATCAAAAGGATTCACTAACTGGGTCCTTACAAGCCAATTTAATGAAATGATTACATTTTTAAATGGCGAGGTTCCGTTTTACTTCATAGATGTTATAAAGTTCATTATAGAGTTGTTTATTCTTAATGGACGTCAGTTTTGTGAAAAACTTTCCTGTAATTGTAATTCAATGGAATGTCTTTATAGTTATTTTTGGTCGAACGAAACGGAGAAATTTACGGAATACACTAATGACATTATTGGATTATTTGGATATAAATGCAGAATTACTGGTTAAGTGACTAAAAAATGCTATATTATCAAAATCCGATGTTCATTTTTCACTTTAACAACGACTTAGAATTAGTATTTGGTAAAAAGCCAAACACTTTAATATGTACGACAGCATTTTGCTACTCATAACCCCATCATCTGATCAGTTTATAAACATTCAGTAGTAAGGTAACGCGAAAAATTTTGTAAACTACTGTTTCTCTAAGGAAATTGAACATAAGTTATCTATTATACGCAATGTTGTAAAATGTAATTTAAAAAGTAACTAAGAGAAAAAGGGAAACGTTTTACATACTTTTTTTGTTTAATACGAAATTTCAGATCACCTGATTCACCATCAGAATGAGGTTCCCCTTCGCCATCAAATGGATAAAAATACCCATCTCTCATTCCTGGCTCAATTTCCACATAGAGGTTTCTTTCCTTAGGTACAAACCTTATGGAGTTGGTTTATTTATTTAGTTTGAGCATAAAAGAGTGACAACAAAAACATGAAACACGAAATGAAAATCATATTAAGAAATGGAAAAAGCAAATAATAATAATAATCACTATGAAACTAATACAGAAAACAGTTTATATACAGTTCGATGTAAATATCCTTTGCTTCACGGTTATTTTATTTTATTTCAACACATAAACATTGGTACAAAGGGGTACCAAATATATCCGACACACAAGCCATTCGATTTGTTTGGAAGCTGGGATACTTCCCGGGTGCCCAAACCAAAGAATGTGGTTTCCTCAGGGGGCCACACCCCGAGCCCTTGACCTAGAAGTCCGATCCACAAGGCAGCGGAGCAATGTTAGGAGATGCAGTCCCACGGTAGCCGGTGGCCAACCGTAGGTTCACAAGTCATTTGTCCTCTCTGGATCCTGGAGCCCATGTACAACATTTGGTTTGGAATCATGGTTCTCCAACTCCCTTGGCTGGATACTCCGTACCCGCCAATCCGGTTAAAGCGTCGGACATTCGCTTTTCGTCCTTTCTATTTCGTAAACAACACCCCCGCCGCGAGAAGACAGAGTAGGACTTTTCAGGTTGTGTCTGTATATGCGTGACCATGTGAGAGCATTTCGAGGAAAAGCTGGCTTTCCGCACTCCCGGACGTAGCAGGGCATTTGGGGGCCTCACGGTAGTTAATCACTAACTGACTAGGCCTGTATGTAAGCGGCTTACACATCATATACAGAATTACAAAAGCCGGTGTTCCAGGATGGCTTAATTTAACTGAAAACCATCTTGATCATGGCCAATTACATGCTACATTATTTAATCATTCAAATCAGTTATCAGATATACACTAGTGTGATTGCATTCATTCCAAGGGTTACCGAAACTACCCGATTCTCCAAAATGAAGTAGGTAGAGCTGGGCCCGAATGTCTTGATTATTGAGCCACAGCTACTAAGCCTTATAATTATCTTGATGGTGTTGTCATCAAGTGAATATCAAACACTGAAAGTCATTTATCTCAGAACGTCGCATCTAGCTAGGATAGTGAACTATGCATGTAGTGCAGCTGGGTTTTTACGAAATATAGGAAAGTAGAGCTTCTCTGGAACACTTCTATCAGGATATATATGCATAAACCTTCTGGTTACTTACCTCACCACCAAGGCTCAGTGTATGTATAGGATCCTCCTAATATTGTGAAGTAACTGTGAATCTAGTGTTAGTTATGAACATAACTAACCCATCAAATCATTGCCTAAACGCCCACCACGTCAGCCTGGTCTGATGTAACTGTAGACCATCCCTGTTGCATGTGACCTGCCGATTGGAGGACATTATTATCCCATCATGTTAGTGTGACTACAACTCATAATTTTTATTATTTATTTCAATAAGACACGTAATACTGGTTGGTATGTTTGTGCGTTTCACTTAATGGCTACGATTCGACTAATTATTGTACTAATCGAATTGTTTTTTACGTTTAGAACCAGATAAAGTTTAAAGCCAAGTTGTCCTTGTTCTGACTATAGCTTTCACACACACTCTGGATTATCAGTATCGCGTTTACAGCTCCGATAGAATGTGTATGACAAATTTAATCCTGTACATAGTTTAAGTACATAATACACACATGAATCGGGGTCATTAGATGATCAAACAAAATTTAAGTAGTTTTTATTTTATTCCATACCAATAATATATTGTATGCATACTCTTTGACTAACAGCTCTGTGTCACTACAAACTTTCGGGATATCATCAGTGATGGGTTTAAATGGTCGTATCGAACCCCACTGTTGATAGTCAAGATATTTTTGTGCCCTTCCCTTACATATATGACAGATACTTTAAGGACGTAATCATGTCGATCAAATTGAAGGTAATTATTTAAAACTAACATTGCTTAGTGTGAATTACCTATGGGATTGCTCAAGCATCTTGTAGCCATAAAGAAGTTATCCAACCACAGACTAAATAAACACTTGACCAGTCATATCTTTTCATTTTTTCTATGGAGCATTTTAAAATCTATTGGCAGTCAAATACACTGAAGCATCATTTATTAAATTTTACTGCTAGCCAAGAAACAACATTTTAACACACGAAGTATATAAATAAGGGATTTAAAGATAAAAATTCTTGATGGACACACAGTTTTGCCGCTCTTACTAATGTATTTCATCAGTGAGTTTTTTGTGGAGCATTTATATGCTCCATTCTACAGAATAAATTTAGATTCGATGTCATACTATTGTGATTACAATTTTTTCCGTCTGACGAGACCTAATTAGTAGTCAGTTAATGTATATTAAATTATTATATCACAGGCTGGTTACTAAGTCTTCCTAGAGTAATATATATGATCAATGTATCATATACTCATTAAACAGCTGGCACAGAAGTAATAGCTGTGTAAGCAGTCAAAATCTAATATAAATATGATGATACGACAACACAATAATAGCTGGAGTGCCTTACAGTTGATTGTTTCTTCTAAGAGTGAATAAGTGTGACAACATAAGACAGAATACTTAGTTCTTATTTTGGGTTAGCCACGCATTTTTCTGCTACAAAAGAAAATAAACAATGAGTCTTAATGTCTGAAGTACACTAAGTAGTATGGTCGTTATAACTGATTTTATTTCTTGACAAAACTGCAAAAATGAACCTACTGGATGTTTGGGCAGTCGCTACAGACTTGTTCTTGGTGCATCTGGAAACGACCAGGGCCTAGGACTGTTGTATGTAACTCCATACGACAGTTGCACTTCCGAGTTCCACGTGCAGGCATTTTGACCAGTTTACGCCTAGTCACTTCTACAGAGTTCCCCACATAGAGTTCTTCCAGAGTAACCCACAGGTCCATAACAATATCACCTCCACGTGGTGCTTCTTCCGGAGATCGGGCAAAACCAAATGGATTAAAATCATGTTCTCCATGACTTTTCAGACCCTCTTCACCGTACTGATCGTAAAGTTTACGCTTGTCATCTTTGCTGAGAACCTAAGTACAGGATGTTTAGTTAATAAACTCACGTTTATGAAGAAATTACAGAAGATTGTTTCTGAAGAGTATATGTGTGATCAACATAGACATTTCAAATTCAAATAAATTTATACCCATTTTGGACTACAAGATCTGACTAAGCAGGTGACTATCAGGTGTATTAATTTGATTCCATGTATCTTATCCCCAGTCGCGTGATTAATTATAAACCCAGATCTACATATATTTTATGATGGTTTTGGTTATTAATCCGTCTGCTAATTTTATTTTAGAATTTACCTGACCTATCAATATTTGAGATAACACACTGAATACATTTCACTTCACTATACTTCGGTCAGATTTGATTGAGGTGAAATTTTTGCGAAACAAGGCTATGTTTTTGTAATTCTAATATGATTTCAAATTAAACCAGTACCAGTGTAATTCCAGTAACGATATATCCGCTGTACCAGAGGGATTGAAGTTTTGATATAATTACTGGCGTTACTGGTACCAGTCTGATTCCCAACACAATATGAATACAGAAAGGTCTAGTGCTGGATGTAATTTAATATTACACCTTCAATTCAATTGTGTCCATTCAATTATTATTAATGTATACGTCGATTAGATTAATTGTTCAAACATAAATTCAGTATTAATGATATTCCAATCCCCATTCAATCCATTTGTTACCAACAATCGGTAAGAATGATACAAACATAATGGTACGTTGACCCATTTTCGTGAAAAAGGCTATAAGTCAAAAGTTTTATACATTGCCAAACAGTTGAAATCTAATTATGGATAAGACTATTGATACGAAACTGTCTGTACCCTTCAATCAGCACAAAACTCTTAGTTACCTCGTGCGGTTATAACGCATTGATTTGTTAATCAATTCAGTTACTCAACAGATCGGAGTAAAGTTTAACCTCATGTTTATTATTTATAAACCCATACACACGATACGAGTTATTAAAGACATGAAAGCGGTTTCGCCACTCCAGGAGATCCAATGAATTCTTACACCAAACAAAAGGAGAACAAAATCAAGCAAGATACTTTCAGAGCACAAACTTCACACGTAGTAGCAATAGATAAACAAAAAATAAAGACAGGTTGACGTGTACGACAAAGTATGAGATACCCAGAAAACATCTATATCCGGCGAATGCCAAACTCTGAAAAAAATGAAAGTAGGGATACCACAAGTCAGACCTCATGAATATCAGAGTCTAACAAACCACAGTAACTGAATAAACTTACAATATATATGTCAAAAATGACTAGTTACAAAAAGACGTTCACTGTTACGAAAACACTAAGTCCACCAGACACTTTTCTAAAACTTACTTCGTAAGCTTCATTTACATCTTGGAGTTTTTGGTCAGCTTCTGGATCTTCACGATTTTTATCGGGATGAATCTTGCTAGCAAGTGATCTGTATGCTCTTTTGATTTCACTTTTATTTGCATCACGAGGTACATTTAGGATGGCATAAAAATCCCTACTATATTAAAATGGTAAAACGTCTGTAGAAATACCAAAACTAACCCACAGTAAACTACAATAGAACTAAAAAACAACGACAACGTCAAGGCGTGTAACCCCAGGTTCATACCGACCTCGTTGATATGTGACAATGCTATTGGTCAGAATGAGTACCTAGTTGAAAAAACAAATTGTCAACATTAAATGAAAAACTTTTTTATTGAACTTAGCTAATGAGTAGTTTTGATGACTCTTACTGAATCGAGCCTGACATTTTAAGTCTAACATATCTCAGAAGTAAGATTGTAGCGAAGAATTGATGCTAGTAACAATTTCATTCATCCTTTTAGTACTAACGTATCGAATCGTCATATGAAATACAGATTCAGATTTGTGTAGTAAGGACAGAAGGCCTACGACCTATGTTATTCCTTTTCTAGTATGCTTCTGTGAGTGTCCAGTCTTCTCTTGAAAGAGTCAATTGAAGGTGCGAACTCCACTGCTTCGGGCAGCAGGTTCCAAGTACTGATGACTCGGCTGCAATTAAACGCAACTCAATTTCGTAAATGTGCCCTTCAGCTTAGCAACCAATCAGAATGATGCGGTAATTATTACATTCGCCATCTTTGTAAGCAATGGCGGTCGGCTTTCTTCGTTCTGTGCTTCTTTCAGCTATTTTTTTTGTGTAGCTATGTAATTTAATGTCTCAGTGTGCTAAAATGCCGCAGTTAGTGTAATGTCCTATATGTTGGTGTGAAGTTCATTTCGAATCAGCGATGTTTTCTGGGTTTTTGCTGCTTCTACTCAAGTCAATGTATTTCATCGGGCAATCTGGCTAGTCTTGTGTTATAAAATGTCGGCCGGCTTTCTTCGTTCTGTGTTTTTTCCGCTATTTCTTTTGTGTAGCTACAGAATTTGATGTTTCAGTGTGCTAAAATCCAAAAGTTAGTGCAATACTCTAAACGTTGGAGCAAAATTTTTTCCTGATTTTGCTTTGTTTTCTGGGTTTTACCTGCTGCTAATGAAGTCACTGTATTTATTCAGCTAAGCTGGCTAGTACTAACATAAGACCTTACGGTTTTAAACGACAATCGGTTATGTTTTACCTTGTTTTCTAGATGTCCGAAGTCGAAGTTCGTTTTTATTTAGCTAAAATAATTGTTGCTGCCGCCTGTGACTAACTGTTCGCATGTTCGTTCCTAACTGTCCTTTACGACGTTATCGGAAAAATAAAAGGAAACAATCTGCGTTTTTTAATTTTCTTCAGTAGTATCGACAACACTATCCCACCAACGAGTCAAACTAATACAGAGCGCCCAGCAGTAGGGTATATCGGTACTGATTTCGAAAGGACCCAGACTTCCGACAACTATAGATGAAGTCACAGATGCTACCAATCTATTGCAGAGGGTTTGTTATGAAAAATATGCCATATAGCAGTAATAGAGGGGTTGTACTGATTACTCAGTGCGTTAAAGCAAGCTTAACATTGAAAAGCCGGAAATCTGCTACCAGTGTCTAGTGTATGTTTGCTGTTTTGGCCATAAAAGGAAGCCGAAGGGTCATGATCAGGGAGTTTAAAGGTAATTAACTGTTGTTAAGATCACTTTCTTATAGATCATATTTCACTGCCCGCAAATCTGTGTTTTTTTAAGATATGACGTCAACCGGAACCTAATATGTTCACCCTTACGATGAAAAGTACCTGCGAAATTTCACCTTCATATTCGAACTATTTTTGGAGAACTGTCTTCTAGTTTGAGTGCTTCGTACGCCCTAGGGGACTAGATTCCTACATTATTCGTAGTTCCAGTATACATTTTTCACGCAGTAAGTTCAAAGTAGACACTAGTCTTTCTAAATAAGCCTGTTAAGCTAATATCCGTATTCTCTATTTCAGTTAATCGATGAAGACATGTACCATGTGCATCTGCTGTATACTGCCATTTTACTCCAATTCTAACTGTTATATCTTATTTTTGAATAATAAAATTGCTATATGCTGCAAATGCAGACTTATTTGTTTTGATGGAGGTAGGCGGGGTCATGGGATTTTCACTAAAGAGCTAAGCGAGTGCGTAAACCAGTGTAAGGTACCATACGGGGTGCATTTGAGTTACTAGTGTTCCATTAGTGCGGGTAGGGGCATTGCTTGCTTGTCATATGGCATTTGAATTAGAAGCTATAAGATAAAAAGCATGTACGGTTAGGATGTGTAACGCGTGTCCATCCATCAGCTGGCGTGACAACCCATGGTGGTTAGAATAAGCTATGAGAGGACCCGAGTCTGTAGGTCTCCCAAGGAAATGACGAGGATATGCACCAAATCACCTTATGAAGAGCGCCTCCAATCACTTAACCTCTACTCATTACAGTATAGACGTCTTAGAGGTGACCTAATGGCTTACAATAACCTTAACACTTCTGGACATCCCCTAAAACACCTAATTAAGCTTAGTTCCAACACTAACCTAAGAGGTAACACCCAGAAACTAGAAACACAACATAGCAGAACGGACTGTAGGCACAACTTCTCCTCCTTAAGAGTTGTCAAATGCTGGAATTTTCTACCGGCCGAGCTAGTCCAAGCGACTTCCCAGGAGTCCTTTAAGAGGCAACTGGATTTATTCTTAAGGACTAAGTATAGTATCATACTATGATTTACCAATTTCTTTTATTGTTAACATACCTAGTTTTCTGCCTTGAGGTATTGGTGATTCCCTGCTACTAGACACGAAAGCCTGTTAAGCGAAAGCTTCTTCTATTCAGTCCACAACCATTTGAACTCATGAACTAGTTGCTAAGGGGCTCGCTTATCACAAGTTTCTTGCAACGATTAAGTAAATAAAACAAAGTAGCATTAGATTCGAAAATTTATTGAGGAACTTTCATTAAGAATCGAATATCGAACAAAGGTTTAAACCAAGTTCCCGTTTAAAAGTTGTATTGGTAATGTTAAGCTGCAGTTTTTCTTGTTTTTTTCCAAACGAAAGAGCAAAAAAAGTCAAAAAATACTGGAAGTGGTTGTGAGACTAAAATGGACGTCCAGCATCCTTTTTATAATCTGCTGTTCGTTGGATCTCCCGTAAACAGTTCCATAGGGCCATAGTTCTAAGGGCGAAACAGTTTTTATGATTTGTGAAGACTCACTCCTGTTGCATTCTAATTGAAAGCAATAGTGATGAATTTAGTCAAAAATGTGGAATAGATAAATAACCAAATTACATGTTTTTTAGCAAAGAATTTATGCAGTTGTGATTTACCTTGAGTTCATGAATATTAGATAAGGTCAGCTACTATTACTTGTGCAAAGCATAACATTTAAGTATTCGCATGCATCTGAGTCTAGTTTAACAGGAAAACATACAAGCAGAGTAAGTGTATGATAAAATAAAAGTCATAGTTGTCAAAAAGATTCTTAACATTTGTCCACAGCCAGTTGCATTTAATTGAGACACAGAACACTCATCTTCTAAGACTGTATACTGCTGTTTTGCGGACAACTAAAAGCTCAGACACCTAGCTATATTGCTACCGATGTTATTGCTGGGGAAATTGTTTAATGACAGTGATCATGAAATATGGTATGTGATAGATGTACAGTTTAGAAATAAACACCAGACATATTTATCGCTATCTTATAATGTATGACAGCAACAGCATCAAAGGCACGTTTTTTCTTATTTTTAATCAGACTGATCTGAATCCGTATACACATTAGAAACAAGCAACTCTACTTACTAAACTGATCTGTTTCGTTACAGGCTTCAAGCACTATACTTAAGTATATCATAATTCTTTCAACTGAACTAAATTATACGACAACCAAGAACACTAAACTAAGCAAGTGTCATAGTTATTGTTTCACTTGCAAAGACATGTTGCTCAAAGTAGTTAAATGGACATAATTAAGCCGATAAAGCCAAAACACGAAATATAGGCCAGTTGAACTTACTCAAGAAAAAAAGATACATATATACTGCTTTCATACTGAAGACAACAGGCAATTGTTCATAGAAACATAGTTTGCAGTACAAAAAACCTTTCTTCAGTAAAATCATGTACTAACAGTCTATCTAGAAACAATCAACTATGTGAATAAACTCACTATGACTTGAGATATCATCCCAGCGTGCAATGGACGTACGGTGTAACGTAGTCGGACGTGGCGAATAAAAATTAAAAACAGAGCAAAATTAACTACATAATCTAGTTGTTTAATTAAAAATACATTATGAAATGACAAAATCTGTGGTTACTTGAACGCACAAATGACAGTGTGCGATACATTAAGTTTACATGGTTGCGTTGCGGATAAGATCACCCGATGACTCGATGTGAAATCCTGTATGCCGCAGGTATTTTGTTCGTTCTTGGTTTTTCTACTCGCCTACTATGTCCTCTGAGATGTCCCGATCTAATGGGGAGAAAAAGAGAGAATAACCATGTTGTTCCATGTTTAGCAAGTTATTGGTTTCCAAAAATACCATTATGGTCCGTTTGACTATTCTTTCTATTATTTTACCCACAATACTGGTGAGGCTCACAGATTTGTAATTCGATGGAACTTGTCGTGGACCTGTTTTGTGTATGGGAGTGACTATCGCGTCCTTCCAGTTCATAGGTAGTACTCCTTGATCAAATGACATGTTGAATATCACAGTCAGTGTGGGCGCGATATATTGTGCAATATGTCCCAATATTTTGGGATGTAGTTCATCTGGCTCTGTTGACTTTTCCATGTTTAAAGTGCCAAGAGCCTTAAGTACATCGTCTTGATCGAAGTCCACGGTGAGCAGGTGGTTTGTTGACTGTTTATTTTGGCGTGGTTCTTCCTTTAGAGGAGGTTCCTGAGTGAAAACTGTCCCAAAATAGTCAGCCATAGCCTATACTTTTTCCTGATCTTCCTCTGTCATTTCAGATTCGCTTCCTTCTTTAATTAGGTTGGGAATCCAATGATGGATCCTTGTTCTGTAGTTTATGTACGAGAATATTCTCTTGGGCTGCTTGAGTGCAGATTGTGCCAACTGCATTTCATATTTTCTTTGACCTTCCCGAATTTTCGCTATACATTTGTTTTTTACCGATCTGTAGCGTTCCATCGTACATGCTGTGCCAAGGCGGATAGCAACATCCCAACATTTCTCCTTTTGTCTTAGTAAACGCCGAATATCCCGGCCTATCCAGGGATGGTCATGCTTCTTCGTCTTTGGGACTGTCCTGGGTATGTATGATTGAGTTACCCGATTGTATAACTGCCTGAAAAGAGTCCATGCCTCTTGTACTGATGCGTTAGAGTCAATTTCACAGTTTTCAGCCGATGATGCAGAGTTGATTGCCTCCATGTCTGCCTTCCATATGTTAGGACGGGCCGGCGCGACTGTTTAACAGGCAATTTCAGCCATGAATTCGAATAAGATGACTGCATGGTCACTGCTCCCCATTGGTGGGAGGAAAGTCATATGACCAACGTCATCACTGTGTGTGAAGACTAAATCTAAAAGAGAAGAGGAGTTTCTTAAGTCAGATGATGTAGGATTTCTAATGTGTTAGAATAAAGCTAATCCAATCGAGGTTTCTAACAGTTTGTAATCGAAGGAGGTTATCGATGACCATTTTTCTAAGTTAACCCAGGTTACATATGGTGCACTGAAGTCGCCTGCTACAAGGCTTTTACCCTTGTTACACCAGGACTTAAGATAACTTAGAAGAAAATCATCTGCTACACATTCTGGACTACGATATACTACAACTAATTAAATATCTTGCCGTCGACATTTCAACTTACATCGCACCAGTTCACATGTCCCTGAAACATGTGCTACTGTCTCAGCTAGTCTTATGGTTAGGGTACTTTTCGTGTACAGAATAACCCCGCCTCCCCTACGGTTTAATCTATCAGCCCTGCTGGTTAGAAAACTAGTCAACTGGATTTCACTATCTAATATTTCTGACGTTAACCAATTTTCCGAGACAGCAATAACGTCCTTTTTTCTTCATCCACCAATGACTTGAGCTCCGCCATTTTATTTAGTAGCCTGCGAACATTTGTGTAGCATACTTTTAAGTCTGTGGAGAACTTTCCCTTAACACCCAGTGTGGCTTGGGGATCGTTTCGCTCTGAACTTTTACAATTTGGAAACCCTTAAAAACGAGGTTTCTTTCTCCGTTTTGGCGACGCTCATTTATTTCCGCTTCTGTAACTTGCCTCTTAATACGATCAGCTAGGCTGAGATCCTCACGGACGTATGTTCGGGCTCCAGTCACTTTACGTGAATTATCTAGAATCAGGTTCCTTTCTTCAACAGTGGTGAATGTAACCTTCAAGAGGCGGCTTTTCTGAGGACTTTCGGAATCCATCTTTTCTCATATTCTATAAAGCTTACAAATACTAACTCCTGAAACTGTATCTAAGAGTAGTTTACTTATTAAGGACTTAATATGGTTGAGATCGTGTTCAAATCTAGCCTTTGGTTCTTTATCGGAAGATTCTCTTAACTTATGAAAAATGACTGATCTCTCAGAGAGATCTGACTTGTCACGCAGTGGAGTTTTTGCTTCTGATACCGTCTCTTCCAATGACTTGCAGACCAGCTGTGTTTCGCCTACAGCTTTTTTCTTCTCATTTCTTTTTCTCCGTACTGAAATCCACTTATCACCACTCAGGACAGCCACACCGGGACTATTGGGAACGGTGACAGTCTTATCCGGGTCCTCAATTTCGACTAGAGGTGTATGATTTTCGATGTCAATATCTACCGGTACTTCACTCCTCGTTAATGTCAACGGAGATTTCACTTCCCCATCAACCGCAGTCAGGTGTTTAGCGAGTCCGATAGCAGCACTTACTACACTGACACAATCTTCACCGTCAGTGCTCGTGTTACCAGCGCTACCGCCATCGTTTTTTTGCAGGCCGAAACCAATAGGCTCATAGCCTCATGAATTAGTAACTTTTTATTTGTACAGCAGAACATACAAAGCCAACGTGAGGTAGGCTTCGAGCATCTTTTGTATGCCATAGGACTTAGGAGTGCACACATCTTATGGTGCCACTTTTTACAGTCATCGCAACCCTTCCTCAACGAGGAACAAGCAGTTTGGTTTTCCACATTTATGAGTCTTACCAACCATTTTAATTTTGACTAAAAAGGTTTGAAACACTAAGTGATCACAGTGAGAACACTAGTGTCAGTAAAGGAGTAAAAAAAGGTACCACAGGACAAAGTTGAGCAAAAAATTACAAAACGTAACCAAAGTACTTTTAGTTAGGGTAGACCAAGAATGCTTTTTGGTGCAACAAGTACTCAAAGCAAGGATAATCGCAACAGGTACAAGAATCACTGCCCTTTTTGAAACGAGTGCGGAGGATAAATTGAAGAGTTTTCCGACTTGTTTTCCGATTCTGTTAGGTTACTTCTACCCAGAGTTGCCACAGCTATGTAGCACTTGATTCTGATGTCCGTAAACTTATTTTGTTCGAGAAGCCCAAAATCAGTTAAACCACATGTCCGAAAATAGATATTCGGAAAATGGCTAAAATTTTGGCGAGACTATAATTTATGGACGAACTAATCAGATATACGATAAGACGTTTAAGATATTGACGCGAAATTCATTCACCCATTGGGCTAAGTAGAATTTTGGCATTATAGCTTATGTCAATTCGTGATGAAAACCCTTAATCTAATTCCTAACCTAAACCATCAACTGCAAATCATAATTCTTATTCTTCAAGTTGCTTTATAACCCTCATTTAGCCCCGGCAAGTAGGTGGACACTCTCAAGGTTGGTCTAGCGTCGCTCAAAGATCGTCCATAAATTATAATCCAATCGAAATTTCATTGTACATGTAAAACGAGCTGACAAAATGGCATTAGATACACACATCACGGTACACCCAAATTTGATTTATTGCGAATGCTGGACTTCAGTTACGAGTATTTCCAGTAAAACTAATAATGTTAGCAACAATACCGAAGTCTTTAAAACCATTTATTTTTAATACATTTCACCATTACACACTAACCGAAACTTTATTTGCATATGATTCCGAATGTGATTAGACTTTCAAATGCATGTAGAATTCAAAAGTAGATGATCTATTTCGAATGATTGGGGACCTATTCAAGTTAGACAGGAACGATGTGACCAACAGTCGAATTCGAATCCACGCCTCATGTGCAGCACCTAACGTGGATCACCTCTTAGTCATATCAAAGTCCTATGACTGCTTTGAAGACCGTATAACACAAAAGACGTTATTATGGAAAGATATAATTAAGAATGCGTATAGAAAAGCTAGTGTGACCACCGTTGGATGATACAGTCCATGAGAGCCATGTTAACATTTACGTTGTCGAGGAATATAGCAGTTATAAAAAGAAAGTTGAAAAAAATTTAGATGTTGGCATTTGACTTATGGATCTACAGTTGGGGACATGACGGGTATAATGACGAATTTTAATAAACGGTAGTATCATTCACAAATATGAAGCAATGATAATCCGAATTAGGGATTATCTAACCAAAGCTCAATCGAATATGTCCTTCTGAATACAACACACTTTCTCATGATGATGTGTTTTCATCTGTAGCTCTGAAATATATCTAAGAACATAAAGATTTTGGGAGCAGTTCATATGAAATCCACAGGGCCAGTGAAAAAGCATGTGATAAGAAGTACCGAGAACGTGATAGATCACCTAACGACATAGCAAAACTCTCTTGTATTATTTGTGAAATTTAGATAATCCGGTAGATTTAAAGTATGGAAAGCCAATCGTGACAAGTAGTACAGACCTAGAACGAACCCGGTTGAACGCGCAGTACCGAAACTTATTCATGGACGTGCGTTTTTCTGTTAAAGGTGTCACAGGTAGTCGGAGTCTGATGACACTGTAGTGTCACGTCGAGTCGCGCTTGAATATGATCACCACTGCAGGAAGACTATGTGGCATTTAATCGATAAGATCCCCCGTAGGTCGAAAATCAGAGGACAGTTGATGGCAGTAGTCGAGACGTATTTGTTGGTGATCTCGTGGTGTCGCTTTAATACCGAGATCGTGCCAAATGAGTACAAGTGGAACTACTGAGCAAACGTAAGTTCGTACAAGGTCACAATCAACGGGAGAATGTATGTATTTTGATACAGTTAAACAGACAATTACGTTTAAACAAACTCTGGTACACTTGGTTATAACGGCAGTTATTTCCACCACACCAATTGCATTCTCTTGATAAAAGTAGGTCACTACAACACTATAACCACAAACACGTTTTATAATCAAAACGCGCCAACCCAGTGTCAGGAGCGAAGAGGTTCAAAGATATACTTGATAAACCGTTGATATATCGAGAAGTGATCAATCTAATTTGACTACCGGTTATAGGAGATATGGAGCACAGAGTACCCACTTGTGATCTCCTTTGGATGCGTGACCAAGCGCCTTCAGCTAGGTGAGTCCATTAAATCAAATGCTGTCGGCATCAAATGTCAAAGACTTACAGAGCTATCGATTTTGGGTATTTATTTACCACTAAACTGTTCAAGATAACACATGTATTTAGAGTTTAACAGAGATTTTACACACAACACGTTTTCAGTCGCAGGATGCAAACCCAGTGAAGTAAGAATAAAAAATTAGATGGTTTGAGGACGTGTTTGGAAAGCTATCAATATGTTGAGAAGCATTTGCTATAATCTGGCTAACAGTTGCAAGAGGTGAGTAACACATCATACCTACTCATCATTTAGTACGGATGCATGACTGAGTACCTTCAGCTAGGGTCCGTGCGGTCAAACTAATGAGGTCAGAAACAACGTGGAAGATCTGTAGAACTATCTGTTTTGGGGATTTATTTACCTCTACATTACAAAAGTATTTTTAATTAAAAAGCATGCTTGCAAAAAGCGGATTGAGTTATGCTAAGTCTTCATATATCGACTTTATGTAAAGCTGATGTTGTAAATGTTTTCTGTAGTAGAAAGGCTAAATTCAACCAAATGCTTAATTCAATGCTTTTATTTGTTTAGTCACATCATTTCTTGCCCCATTCTATACGCGCCGTGTTAACTCGCGCGAATTTGTAACAGGTTCGAAACTTAGCAACATCAACTCTTTGTTTGGATTATCAGGTTGCTTCAATCTCGCTTTTGTGTTACTTTTGGTCGTCTTCAGTTGCTTTCTTTGTCAAAAGTGAGTAAGTCTCGTTTGCTTGTGAGTCTCCAGATAAGCCCTACCTACTTTTTCTTACACTAGGTTCCTTTGTTCTAGACGTAAACTCACCAAATTAGTATGAAAATTTTTATTTGGGTTCGGAGTATTATTTCAGGGTGAGAATCGAAGTTATGTCTTTCATAACGACTCTAATGTCAGTTAACTGACACTAACCAGAATGCTGTTTAAATGTATGACTGAGTTTTGCTCTCAAGTTCAATACAGTGGAACTACTTAAAATACAGAGGGAAGCTGCTTGTGCAATTCTAGAACCTCGTTGTTTACCAGTGACAGCGTCGGACCTTTATACTTTTTCCTACCGCGGATTAAGGAGTACTCTGGTTTTGTTCTACAGAATACTTAAAAATGACTACGGACATGACACATTTTTTCCTCCACCATATCAGGATAATTCAAAAAATAGGCATGTATGAAAGGCGGTGTCAAACGAAATGCTCGTGTCATGCAGGTTTCACACCAAGTCATCAATCCTTGGAGCCGCATTTTCTTTTGTCCATCTCCCCAAAATATGAATTTCCAAGTACGTCCCATTCACAATGACAAAAAGTGGCTAAGTCAACATTTCTAGACTGTTCGAAAAATTTAGAGTCGTCCTCTCACATCGAGATACGAATCAAATGGAATATTCCTTTTCAAAACTTTGAATCCTAAATTATCTGTAGCAAAGTAGTAGTTCCCTGGGCTTTTAGTTTGTATTTACAGAAATATTGAAATATAAGTGCCTTCCATCAAATTGCCTTTTTTCAAAGTCGTAGATAGTATGTTACTCCGTAGTATGCATAGTACTAGAGGGTTTTGGATTTTCATAATCAGCTTGTGAGTTTCACTGAAGGAATGGACGTACTGACCATGCATACTCAATTATCTAGTTAACAACTTACTAAATAAATTCGTAACTCAATGGGTCAGACAACTTTTTAACTTGTGCCATGCGATTTCTACTTTTCTTACACCAAACTCGGTTTAATTCTGACCTTGTTAACATGTTAACCAGATCTGGTTTGTACTGACAGAAAGCATGCCTTAGTCCTGGTGATGAGACATAGCTTACACAACTTTAATTTGAATACATATGTAATGAGAGCTGTTACCGTCTACCTAGCTGGCAAGTTATGCTTAATGGAGATACCAAGTAGAATTCAACTGGTAAATCGTCGTCCCCAGATTTATGAACGTTTTCATCCAAGAAATCTTTGTATTTTGAAAGACAATATAAATATGTTAAGTACAAAACTATTAAATAATTATAGAATTTCAGTCAGCTCACCTCAAGGCTTTTTGTCTGATATAGGTAATAGATTTCAGCAAATTCGTCGTTGTATCACGGCTTCAAGGTTTCAGCGGTTTTGTCAAAGTTCCTATAACTCGCTGCCACCTTTATCAAATGCTCTGGTTCTAAGCCACTAAACCCTGGGGTGTCATAACTGTTTTGGTATCTAGGCTAATAAACACTGCGTATTTCTTGTGTCACGACCTTTAACACTTAGCTGTTGTAAGTTCAGATGAATAATTACAGACGTTTGGTGACATGATGCAAATGTATTCACTCGTTGTCTACCATTAGATCCTGAGTTTTAATAATTCTTATACTCTTTATTCGGCGAATTCGTTCCAAAATCTTGTTTGTATATCCCCAATCCTTTTTACTACCATCACGGATACCGGTCTCATTAATTTCAACACGCTATGCTGTGTGAGAACTGAAGCAGGTGGAAAATCTATGTCAGGTGTACTGCTACTTATCCCTGACCGACCTGTTAGCTACTGAGTTTCCTGTACCTATAATATCATCTACATCACTGTATCAACAGCGTTATTTGTTTCTTGCCTTAATGGTCATTATGCTTCGTTATGCTCCTGCTTAAAGTTGTCTAAGGTCAGACCATTCTGCTAACCTGCCTAGATTCCTTTGAATTCCTGTCAATGTTCACTTCTTTACCCAGTCAGTCAGTCAGCTACAACGTAGGATCAGGCACATATATGCATCAGTACAAGTTGCCATACCTCATTAGCACAGCAAGATGAACACCGAATTCATATGAGTGGTTAAGTAATTGGTGGTAATATATAAAATAAAGATTGCATATAAGGATATAGTACAGGAAGAAAGAATTATTTCATAGAAAGAAGGATATGAAACGATTTTAATCTCTTAGTTTAAGGGAAGACAGAGAGTGTATACACTTACGCCATTGTGATTGATTCTGAGCCATGTCACCAAGAGTCTCCAACCATGGGTTACGAAAGCCACGCGGACCCCAATCAAGTAGTCTGCATCTTTACCCGTTGCCCTATTAACGATAAATTGAAGTTTAGTTACTTATTCTGGTAAATATTTGGACCAGCGTCCGTGAAGTAATGGAGGATTTCGACTAATGGTTGTTTTCATTACTTATACCGCTAATTTTTTGATAGCGAGCAACTTAAATAATCATTTTATCTGGGGAGTATTTTTTATAGAAGAGATTTTCCACATTTGAATTATGTAAGGTGTCCAAATATTTTTGTTTTTGATACGTAGAATTCAAAATGGAGTGGGATAGCGAAAGTGCGCTACAGGGGTTTTTAATAACGATGATCGTCTGCATAGTATCCAGTGTACTTTATTTTATGTTCAGGAATACTTTGTTCCCTCACCGTATTTCTGTCCATCACGATTCAGAAAACTTAGCCCGCAGGAGGAAAAAAAATGATGCAAAAAAGTCCAAGAAAGTTAAAAAACGGAAAGTGTTAGTTGATTCTCAACAAACTGAAGAAATAGAAACGGACAAAACTCAAACGTCAGACGACACAACTGGTGAAGAGGATGAACATCTATCAGATGTGCTTGACGATTATTCATCAAGTAGCAGTGAGCAGTCAGTTGAAAGACCTATCCAGCCAGTGATATATGACGAAAACTGTTGTAAGGGAGATTCAGAAGTCATTGATACTTCTACTCACAAGACCGAACAATCTTATGTCGAAGGTCCCAGTTTAGATTTTTCACAAGCTACGTTATGCAGAAATCAGAGTGAGGATTCAGATTCGATTATTTCTCCAGGTTCTTCAGAACGTAGTCCAACCACAGATATTCTATCTCCAGTAAATGATTCGAAAGTCCCTCTCACTAAGTCCAAAAAGTCAAAGCGTCGTTCAGGCAAGCGGTCGGTTAGGTATGCGGATTTGTCTAAAGAAGCTATATTTGTTGAGCCTGCCAACATGGAAAATTCTTCAGAATCATTAGAAATATCAAGGACTGACTGTGTTAAACCATATAAAATGGGTGGAAAACAGGAATCATCAAATGACTCTACATCAACATTGGAGTTGCGTACGACAATCAAAGAATTAGAAGGACAATTAAAGGTGAGTCGTCGTGTCAAACGACATGTAGTTTTGGGGTGATTGGTTCCCCATACTAATAGAAATTAAAGATTAAGTATCAGGCTGTATGATTGGTCGTAAGATTCACTGTTAAATTTTATTTGCCGGATACTTTTTTTCTATTTCGAGAATATAATTAACGTGCAAGTGTATGGATCAAGTAAATTAATCAGACTGGTAACTAATGTTTCATACATTCACTGACATGAACAAGGAGATATAATTTTTGGCGGCTATGCTCTAAAATAATTTAAATCTTAGAAAATCTGCAATTCTTTTGTATTAGCTAAGTCGTTATGATTACTGTGTTATCGCCATTTAGTAGCTTTGCTCCAAAATATTTCTAAAAAGTTAAATTAAACACATATCTAATGATTAAAATAAACCATAGTGTCATTGAATAAGAAAAAGAGAATTCAGCGAAGAAAATTTTTGTGATACAATCCTTTCTATCCTTCTATAGACATACATTTTCCATATAACTATATATACGAATGTGCAGCTTAAGTAAGTGATTTCGTCGAAAAGAAAATTTTCTTCGCTGAATTCTCTTTTACATATCTAATGCTTGAATCAAACTGTCGCTTTTGAAAGACCCTTTTAGGGAGTTTCTCAACCCTTATTCCAACTAGGTATGAAAAAATGAACTCAATGATGTTAGGATAAATTAGAATTTGTACCTGACGTAATCACCAACTATTTGCAGGATGTAGTGTCTGATAATTCCTTACTTCATATAAACTGATGAGTTGGTATTCCTGAGAGTTAGGGGACGATTGCAACCTCGTTGTCATATTAGCTATCCTCTCTAAAAAAAAAGATATGTATGGTCCATATCATATTTTAGTCAGTTACAGAAAGTACGGGTATCCGGGACTGTCGTTTATCATATATATGTAAATTCTGCTACCTCGACGTGGTGATCGTTATGACCTTATCGGGCCATGTTGGCTCGGACAATTGTTCTTTTAGGCAGGTCGCTCTCCATGTCGCTACTACCACTACTAATCTAGTCTCCTTTCCAGGTCTTAAGAACAAACATCCTTCCATATTGTGAGCAGCCGAAGAGTGGTAATGGTCCTCAAACCTCTAACAACGTTAGAGATACTCTTGTTTACGATCATATCCGTTCATCACATCTTAATATTCCATTTATCTTCACTATCAACCCTCCTCCTATGACTTTATCTCCATTCACCACCATGGTTAACTATTCTAACTCACGAAATGTCATTCCTGATGCTTTGAAAACGCTCTCCGAACCGTATTTTGGATCTTTCAATGTTCGGATCATATGTCAAATAGACCAACAGGGATCCTTAGTTAGAACTTTAGGATCCCCTCGTCGGTGTATGGTAGCAGCGAAACGTGAATATAAGATTCAAGTTCAGCTATTCGCCTGACCCCACCTAGTCGATACACAGGACCGGCGCGATTTACGCTCCATGTACCTGGAGACTTGACTACTGCTTATCGTGGCCTCACCAGTTTAGGCATATCACTTAGTTCGAAAGTAGAATGGATCCCAATAGACAGTCCTTTGTACTCTATCCGGTCAAATGGAGAAGTAAAAACATGCCGCTGCCTGCTCGTCGTCACTCCCTACTCTCCCGCTAACTACAATTCGAATGAAGTAGAGAGCAAGTTTTACATAAAGCCTTCTCTTCTATTATAAGTCAAGCGCTCAGACGTCGTTATTGTAAAAGCAGACTTTAGCACTCAAGTAGTTAGGTTATGCTAACGTGTCCTAGTTCAACAAACAGACATTGAGGACTGTCTGCCCCAATTATGCTCAGATAACTATTTTTAGTGAGTACCAACTTAGAACATAAAGATAGACACCTGACACGGTGACCCCCACAACCAACTCAACGTTAGAGGTTCGACTGAAAACTAGCGCCCTTCTTGAGACATATCTAAATGCTGGTTATGCTCTAGTGCGAACATTCATCTGTTTGTGTTTTGCAGGAAAGCTACAGCAAAAAAGACCCCAGAGTTTAGCTCAAGGACAAAAAGCCGAGAGTATATTAAAGGAACAACTAGAGAAACTAGTCAAAGTGACGTTAACTCCGATATTGGTTGGCATGATATCCGGATAACTGTAAAAATCATTAATATCTACGAGGGACTGTAACGAAAAGGCTGAGAAAAATCAGGTTTTACTAGCGTTCACTAACTTGATAGATGCTCTGAAACATCCTATGGGGCTCAAAATACGATAGAGAGTGAGGGAAGCTTAAATGTAGAGTGGCAGAAAGTTTTCTCAATAATCTTAAATAGTGGTGGGCATCAAAAAACGAAAGGCAGTGGCGACAGGCAACGATATACAACTTTTCAGACTTACAAAACAAATGGGTATTAAAGACTCGAGACTTACTAAAACTATTTCTGAAAAATAAGGGACAATCATCCGCCATCACCCCAAGGGACTGAAACAAGGGCGAAACATTTTCACAGTCAGTTTAATTGTCTTCTGAGTACCCTTCAGTTGCCCACTTTAACCAAGCAACCTAAATGGGATGTCAACATAAACCTTCCCGACTCCTAATGAAGTAGAAAAAGTCATAGTTCATCTAAAGTTAGGGATACCAGCAAATCCTGATGGATCAACTCCAGAGATATATGGGGATATTAACTCAGTTTTAGCTGTTAAATTGACTGAGCATAATCCCATATAATTGGTCATGATATCTGATCGTTTCAGTCTATAATAAAAAACAAAAGTCCTCTTGTGATAACCACAGAGGAGTCACCCCGAATAATAGTGTCTAAAATATTAGCCTCAATCATCCAACGCTTGACGAGAGTTCGTGAGGAGCGAATTCGGGTAAATGAGGCTAGTTTCAGACCTGGACGAGGATGTGTAGACCAAATATTCACTCTTGATCAGGTTTTAAAACACTTACCTACCGACCTCCAACTGCAGGTATTCTTCTCGTCCTTATGTCAGCATCTTAATCCGTAGATTGACAGGTTCTATGACATCGTGTGTCATTAAAAGATGTACCAACCTTGTACAGGCCCTCTATTCGGACACTCTAGGTTAAGGCAAAGCTTATGGTGAACTGTCATCAGAGTCGTTAACTTTAAATGATTTACGTCATAGTTGTTCACTTCCCCCCATTTTTAATTGATATTGTAGACTTTCTTTTAAAGATAACGCTTTCATCGTCTGATTTATCAGGATCCAATCTACCGACAGATTTATTTATTGACTTAGAATACGCAGATGATATAGTCCTGTTTGGTGAAGACGCTAACAAAATGCTGAGTATTTTGATCGTCTTACGGAACAATGCAAGGGTGCTTGAAATGCAATTCTCTCCATCTAAATGCAAAATGATGCTTCAGAATTGGTCTGCATCATCCCTAAACTGACGATAGAGAGTGAAGTGGTTGAGCGTATTGATGACTTCATTTATCCTGGAGGTCCAACCAACCCCAATTGGTTGGTTTCTGGCAAAATCTTGGCGCAAATTCAGAAAGCTCAACTGGCTTTTGCCAACTTGCGTAACTTGTGGGGTAGGCGAGATATTCATCTCTTAACTAAAGTAATAGTACACTGCACATCATCCCCTTGCGTTCTATTTTATCGCTGTGAAACTTGATCTTTGATGATAGGGAATATTCATAGGTTACTAGTATTCGGTCGTAGGTGTATTGGAAGCACTTCTCGTATGTTTTGGCGCACATCTGAGGTGACTTAGAGTACCAGCTAAGGTTGGCAAATCAGTTGATGAGTTGGTAAATTTTTATCGATCGACACAGTTAGGATGTGCATTACGTGTGTTCATCTACCTATTATCTCGACGGGTAATGATATCTAGTGTAAGAGTAGGTGGGAAAAAAGTTATGGATGACCAGACTAAGACATTACATTGGTCTGTGTGGACACTGTTGGAATAAAGCCATCTTAGTAGGTACAGACTACCTGGTTGAGGTCTGCGTGGTTGTCTTAACTATTACTTGGAGAATATGGATAACATGGCTCAAAATCGTTCGCACTAGTGCACGTGTATTTATTTGTTTTGTTACCTTAGATCCTAAGTTTCTAAATGACCCTGTAAACAATCTTTCGAAGACAACGATGATCAGACAACGAGAGTCATCTAGCATCCCCAACTCGGAGAGGCCAGGTCCTCACAAGCATAGAGCAAAACTGTTTTCACCGACGTGTTATAGATCTGACCCTTTACAGCCAGACTAACATCACACAGGCTCCAAAGATGGCCCAGATTGGTATAAGCCGCTCTGGCTTTCACTATACGTGCATTGATCTCATCACTCACACCCCCACCAGCACTTATGCAGCTACCCAGACACGAACTTCTCGAATACTTTTATTTGCTCACTACCCAGGGTGAGTGCAGGATCGGGGGTCTGCCAGTCTTTTAAAAGTACTGTGCACTTGTAAGGTGCAAAGCACATACAATACTTACGGACACTAATTGCCAACTCATTAAGTGCGGATTGAATGGCTTGGGTATTATCGCACAGTAAGAATATCATCCGCATACTCAAGGTCGAAAATTCATTCTCCAAGCAACAAATGCACACCACCATTACTTACATCCATTAGAGCTGTTCCCAAAACGTCATCGATAGCAAAGTTGAACAGGAATGCTGAGATCGGGCAACTCTGTTGTTTAGGTGGTCGATGGGGACTTGTTGGTCGCAGGTCAGATAACGAGGACCGTTTACTGCAAATGTGCGTAGACAGTCTGTTTCTGGTCAGCACTAACTACCGTCACAGTCATTGCCGATGTGCCACCTGGCCCCCTCCCTCTGCGTCCCAAGCCTGAACTCAGATTGATCACATCGCGATCAACTACCGCTGGCGTGGTTGTGTACAAGACTTCTGCTCCTTTTCGAGTACCATTCTGAACTCTGATCATGCTCTTGTTTGCGCTGATCTTACCTTACTTTTTAGTGGTCAATAAATTCATCGTCCTAAACGGATCAATGTCAGCAAATTAGTTGCAGCTCCAGTTGCAACTAAATATCAAATCGAGGTAGGTTCAAGGCTAGCTAACACTCCACCGAACGCATACATAAGCATCGGTTTCAATTGCATCACGCCATGAAAAAGTCGAGTAAATTCGCTTGTGGCTTCGCGAAACGTCCCGCTTATAAACACTGAGTTTCTTCAGGCTCCTTACAACTCATTGAATTCAGTCAGTCTACTCCAGGTGACCACGAGTTTGACCACAAACGAAGGATGCTAAGTAGTGAATTTGGGCAAAGCTTGCGTAAGGATCGAGAAGCCTGGTGGTCGGAGTGTGCCAATGAATTGAAAGTAGCAACTGCATCTAGTAACTTCCGGAAGTTCTCTCTACTCATCCGAGCCACTGGCAGCAAGAAGTCTGGTGTGAGCGAAGCAATCTGTGAAGATGACGCGATACCAACCACTAACATCTCTCGACGTCTTGGACGATGAGAAGAGTTTTTTTGAAAGGCAGTTCAACTGTTCTACTGTCCTGGCAACGTCAATTAAACCGTCTTACCCTCCATGGCCTGTGACGGCTGATTCACCGAACGAGGTGAAAGTCCGCAAGGAACTCCAACTCTTGAAGCGCTACAAATCACCAGGGCCGGACAACTTACCTCCTGCAGTTTTTAAGGATGGTGGTGACTTTTTGGTTAAGGAACTGACTGAGTTGTTTACAATGGTTCGGTAGTTAGAGAGTGTTCCAACACCATGGAATGAGTCGACAGTTGTCCCTATCTTTAAAAAAGGGTTCACTTCGTTTCTGTAACAACTATCGGGGGATAAGTCTACTTCCGATTGCGTCCAAGCTATTAGCTTCTGTCGTACTTCGTAGGTTCAAAACCCGGGAAAGACTGCCTTGAGGATGCATTGTTCATATCTTCACCCTCCACCGGATGTTAGAACAGCGTCATACTTATCGTCGGCCAACATTCGCACTGTTTCTTGACATTAGGGCTGCCTTCGACAGAACCGTTCTCTGGGATTGTCTATTGAAGATGGGTGTGAAAAGTTTAATAACATCTTAAATACCCTATGTACAAACATCTTAGGCAGAGTAAGGATATACAACCACCTCTCTCCATTGTTCCATTCAGGCAGTCACAGAGACAGTAAAACTACTTCTCTCCTTCCTATTATCGTTTTTTCGATGGATCTTGGATTGACTATTAAGTATAGGTTGTTATCAAAGTACTTATATTTCAAGCTTGGATCAATTGTAGCATATATCATTTTTTATCTAATTTGAGAATTAACGTCCAAAAATAAAGTATCTATTTTTTTGCTCAGTTATGTATGTGATTACATTTTGTGAAGAAGAGATATTTTTATTTAACCAACAGATTAGTGAAACCAAGCTGGCAGAAACCTCCCAGTGGGCGAATTCTTTAGTTGAAGAAAACAAGCATTTTCGTACGAAGAAAGACGAATCTTCTCTAAGTTTACATGTACTGCAAATGCAATATAATGAACTCCTAAGAACGAATAAAACACTCGAACACCAGAAGAACTTGCTGAATGTGAAGTTAAAAGTAAGTACTTTAATGCATCCAAGGGGATAACTGTTTCAGTATATTAGTGTTATTTTAGGGCAATCATGAAGATATACTACATACTTCTTGTTAATATTTTAGATGATTAGACAAGACAGCTTCATAGTTATTCTCGTTTTGCTGGGCTCAATATTCTAAGCTTTAACTGCTTTAAGTACATATAATTTTGGTCTTATTCAACAAGCAATAATCTGCTGTTCATTTATTTGCCAGCTGTCGTAGATAAGTTTTTGCAAACAGGTCTTTGTCTCTTAGGCATTGAATTCCCTACCTAATCGTTAACAAAACAAAATATGAACACTAGTAAATATCTTACAATTTCTAACGTTCATGTCAACCATCAGATAAATAGCACCAATATAAAGTTAAGATTCACCAACTCCATGAATATCCAGAAACTTTTACATTGTCTTCTTTATTTACGAAAATTTCCGAGTTGATTAGTTTTTTATTGACCATTTTGGGTAAATCCATTACTTCTGTGTTTCACCCAATTTAAGTTCCGTTGTCCAAGCATTTCTTTGCTGGTACCCTGTATTTTAGTACTGACTCATGTGAAAGACAACCTCAAAGCAAAGTATTATTCCAACATTCAATAAAACTTCAACTACCAATTTTTTTGGAGAAAGTCTTGATCAATGACTAACCTCAGCTTCGAAATACAATAGGAACTATAATCATTTATATCACATTATTGTATAGCTTGACAAATACTAGGATAAAAATTAAATTTTTTTAGATCAGTTAGTTCTTGAGATTTAGCTTCTAATTTAGGGTATAACTGTTCTTATCAACTTCATTTCATAAATTATAAATTTTTGATCTATAATATATATAATATAATAACAATGGATACCCGTTTTCGATAATTATTTTCACAATTCTCAGTCGTTGCTTTAAATACAATTTTTTTCTAGAATACTGAAACTGAAAACTGTGATCTGCAAAAACGTTTAGACCAGACAAATGCAGATACTTTAAAGGTAAAAAAGGAAGCTGAATTGGAATTGTGTAATTTGCGAGAACAGTTAACAAAACACGAAACTCAATTGACTGCAATGGCCAAAGCAATGGCTGCTTCTACTCCATCGATTCCTACTGGTCCTATACCAGAACTTATTCGTGCTCAGGAATTAGCGCAAGTAAGGCTATTCTTTCCTAATCCTTGTAACATTTACTAAAAATATAATTTTCTACCATATATAAATATGTATTCATTTGTACTTCGATTTTTATCGGTTCATATAAATCCGGATTATAAAATTAATTGATGAAAATTCCTGTTAGGTAAATCGCCCATTTTTCTTCTAAAACTATGTATCATAGAATTTTAATAGACTTTAGGGAGTTTGTATCGATTTTAGTACAAATCTTCATTCAAAATCTACCGTAAATATTACATTTAAATATGGACATCAGTTATGCTTGATAAATATATATATATATATACCAGCAACACTGAGCAACAGCTTTCTTTTAGGAATGTTGATATATGTGCATAATTAATGTCTTCTGCAGGATATTCACTTATTCACAGTTGTTTTCTCGTAAAGTGTACTTAATTCGACTATTCAAGTTTAGAGTGATTCATGATCACAAAAACTCTAAGTAACGTTCCAGTACGGTCATCTGTATATATATTTACTTGTACATTTTTTAGTTGGAGTTGTCAGTAGTTCCGACAGTGCTTCAGGAAATATAGTACTTCATCTACTAAAAAATTGTTGTTAGGAAATATTATAGCACCGTAGGCTAGAAAAAATTTACAATTCATATTAAGGATTATCGGTTATCTACTTTTCTTAATCGACCAAAAGTTTTCTCTGTTTTCAAACTACGAAATCACATCAAAAGAAATCCATCTTTTTAGAAAGTACGTGGCTTTGAAACTTTTAGAAAACGTTCTTTTTAATAGTAATTCATCATGGCGATCGCTTCATGTCTTTAAAAAATTCACACTCATCTTAAAATCGTTATTGAAAATAATTTCGTCACTTAGTTACTGCCTACATTGTTTTATTCACTCCTGCTAAAGTAGATGAAACATCTTGGTAATTATTTTTAAGCGCGGAATTATGTAGTTTCTAGTTGCTTAACTTACTCAACTCAGTAACTTAGATGTATGCCTCTTCGTTGTATTCCAGATGTTAATAATGATTATTTAGTCTTTGAATACCATAACATTCATCTGCGTGATTGAAAATAATGAAAAATATGAATCCAATAAACAAATAGCAATTAAAATAAAGCTTAAGTTGGCAGAAAGTATTTTATCACCCAAACATTCGTTAAATTTCCTCATAAACCTTTATCGTATGTAGCATATCCATGTCACCCTATGACTTATACTTGAAAAAGAGAAACCAATTCACTTCCTACGACGCGAAGTAAGAACACAAAAGATTGGTACAAGTGAAGATTTCACTCCAAAATCACGACGAGACTAGTCGGAAATGCACTCATTTATATAATGATTTATACACCCATTACGTGATTATCAATTCAAAAAAAGTTATATTTATGAAAGATGTTCAGAACTCTAACAAAGTCGCATACTCCATGTGATACCGAACTTAATTCATGTTATTTTAATACAAATAAACACCACAATGAAAATAAAATGAATATTATTCCGAGCAGCCATCGTATTGAATTAATAAAGGAAAATAATATTCAGCAACAATCATGTTGAATTAAGGAAAAAAATGTGATCTCACTTTTTTATGTCGTCATGTCGATATAGTTTCTTTGTGTATGAAGTTACAAATTTTTACAAATGACAATAATAAGTAAAACATTAGGTTGAGAAAGAAAACATTTATTGTATTTTTAAGCAGAGATGAATAGTGGCTAGCAGTGGAATCCAGGACACGCCTTTCGTCCTACTTGGGACTCGTCAGCTGGATATACCTGCATCCTAGAGTTGATGTTCACTCCGGGACTCGAAAGCTTATGACTTAAGGCTATATCGAGGCAATCCGCACAGGATGCACATATGCCAACATGAGACTGATCAATTGCAGTCTTAAATAACAATTGGAAGATACAAGTAAAACAACACCAAGTGAATTTATTTATTGTATTTGTTTTTTCGAAGCTAAAATAATCGGTTTACTTATAAAATAAAGGTGAATAAAATTTCTTTAAAGTTGAAAAATCATATCAAATTTATTGTTTAAAAGTAACTATATATTTTCACATAATTCTCTGAATTTCAAAGGCAATGTCCAATGATAACTGTTTATTAAAATCACGTATTGAGCAATTGGATTCAGAATTAACCCAATTGCGCCAAACAAATATGAGGCAACAACAAGATTTACAGGTAATTTTAGATTGATTTATGCAACATTGAAAATAATTGTATTCATATGGTAACTGTCTTGTTTTCCATACTAGCATAACGAGATGAATTTTGATTTTAAAAAAATCAGAATACACTGAACATTAAGATTATGAACCAAGAAGGTAGAATGAAAAGATATATTTGAAGGAATGTTGGGATCCAAGACTTGGAGTAAATATATTTATGCCATTATGATCGATTCTGAGCCATTTCATTCAACCTCTCCTGCCACTAATCGCTGTTATCGCTTGAACCTCAATCAGATAGTCTACATGTCCTTACCCAGAAAAATAACCAATAACTTCATGGACTGTATTGCATTTTGGGTTGGCTTTCTCTCAGTTGGTCAACATTTACTACATCACCAACCAATTCACTGTTTTTGTCTAATACCCTATGCCTAACCTCAACGTTGCTTACTCGACCGTTCCACAATACTCAAGCAGTGCTTCGAAAACATATACGATGTAAGGCTTAAAGCTTACGTATATCTGCTTTATTTAAACAAAAATTATATTCTTGTATTTTGTTCTTCACACTAACGTTATTCTTAAAATGCAAACTGATTTCCATTCCCTCAATGCTTATATAAAGGTTTTCCGGGCTGAAAATCATAAATTACATTCAGAAAAAGAAACAGCTCTGGAAGAATTACGTATTAAACGACAAGCAGAGTAAGTTACTTTCCAGCTGTCATTGGTTATTAATGTCGTTTGTCACTATTTCGTTCATTTCCTTTACACAAACTACATGCTTCGATAAATTCGTAACTATCACTTTCGTATACTTTGGTTGTTTAGATCACCTTCATAGTTTGTTTTGCTTTAATAACTAGACAAGATAAAGAATTTCAATAAAAAGTCACATTTATGAATCTTTACAACAAGTATTATCTAATATTAAAAATGATGTATGTAAGACCCCAATAAGTAAAGGTCAGATTTCTGACATTTCTTGACTCGTACACCACTTCTTCTTAGAATAAAAATAAATAAATAAAGTTTACACGTCTAAATAGTACAAAAGACACAAAGTAGAATATTTTAGTACAATCCAAATTAAAATCAGTCTGATTATGTTAACATTATCACGTCGTTTCGGTCAAGATTATTTTTTTGTATGAGACCTAACTGTATACGATTGTGTGGGGATCTAGACGAAAAATCTGGTGATTGTAATATGAGAGTGATTTCAAGTCTCAACCTTTTTAATGAAAAAGAAATCCACTGTTTAAATTCTTCAAAATCCAGGCAAATCAAGAATTATAAAAAGAAGCTAATGAGAGAATAAAAGAAAAAAGTGACTACCAGTATTGATTCTGCTGCCTTAAGGATGGTTCATAATATCCCATTCACAGCTCTAAATAAACACGAAATCACTCTCTCAGGAAAAGGATTAGACTTCAATGTACACTGAAAACCACTTAACACACTAGAACTGCCCCAATTCTGGAACATTTCCTCGAACAATTACCAGAAAAAGTGTCATCTCATACTTCGAAAAACACCTCACATTTTGACAAGACAAAAACGCCTCCCACCTAACATCTCCAAAGAGAGAAGGCGAGCTCTATGGCCCATCAAATATCTAGGACAAAATCGCCAATCTGGATATAGACTTCTATGACCTTGTGCCCATGTTAAACCAATGATACCGCTAGCACTAGCAGCCCTCATTCAATATGGTGTATTGAACGAATAGGTCAAGTGGGGAAGACCAATTAATTGTTTACTGCAAAATCACAGTGTCTTCGTAAATTATGAAAACCATACACTAAATACATTGGGTATTGTTTACTTGAATCTTCCCATTGATGTTTAGGACTGCAATTGATCAGTCTCGGATTGGCAATGTCTCGACATTGCATTAATTCACAGTATGCACATGTGCCAATAAGAGACTGATCAAGTGCAGTTCTAAACATCAATGAGAAGATTTAAATAAACAATGCAAAGTGAATTTAAACTTTACCCCATTGCACAAACAAGTAGTTATAAGGCATCAGTAGCTAAGTGGACAACGCGATGGCGTTTGAAGCGAATTGTACTGGGTTCGAGTCCCAGAGTGAACATCAACTCAGATGCAGGTACATTCAGCTGACGAATCCCATATGGGACAAAACGCGCGCCCTGCATTCCACTGCTAACCACTATCCATATTTGCATACATTATATACTTCATGTTCACATATTCCATCAGTTTTTTCTTACAAACTTCATCGTTCCTTCATTCATGTTGTTACTGTAATTATTCTGTGTTTACATTCCTTTTGTCTTCGATTCGATCTTCACGACATTCTGCTGCCATGCAGCCCACTTCTGATTGTGTTACATACTACTTATGTCTCAGCATAAGTAACATGCACCATATTAGTACCAATGATCCTACTTGTTTTTTCTTTGATTACCACAGACAAGTAGAAAATGATACTGTACATATGGAGTTAAAACGTCTGTGTCATGAACTAGAATTAGAGAAACAGAAAAATCAGGTCAGTTTATTTATTATCTCTGAAGTTATTATTTAAATTATAATAGTGTTGTTTTTATTTTCTTGCAATGATATTACAAAAGAAAAAAATGTATAAGGTGAACAGTTTCGTATCAACTAAACTATTTGTAAATATTGACACTGTTGAGTGAGAGTGAATAAAAATTAAATAAGATAACTGAAGTTGAACATAACTGTCAACAGTGTTTCTCTCAGTATTTTCGCGTTGATTTAGAAACAATCAATATAAAATACCTACTACGATTCGTTGAAGATTTTCTGTTGGTTAATTTTATTCTATTTAAAAAAAACTCTTACATACTACAAACACTTTAATATTGATTATAGATACTTTGAATAATCTGTAGTGTCAGTTGACATGTTAAGCCCATATATCTTATTCTCGCTTTCGGATAGGCCAATCTATTCATTCTACTTGAGTCGTATTTTGACCATGTTAAGTATCCTCTTACCGATCTCGACTGTTTTTATATGAGCGCATATATGTGTGTACATTTATTATCCTATTCATCACATGTCTGTAACTTATTTTTGTGTGACTAAATATTGATTAACGCTTGACTAAATGGAGTTGGCTTACTCGCCATCTCCACTGCGCTTCGTTTCGCTTCGCTCTATTCTTTTCGCTTCATATACAAAATATATGTATTCAAAAGTTCATTCTCGTTATTTGACTTATTTAATTCCGTTATTGACTAACGCTATTTAAGTCGATGATTATATACGAGGATAAGCGATAACAAACATTCATACGATCAAACTGGAGTCAGATTCCGAGCCACTAAAGTGAAGAGCCCATCGACAACATCGTCCAATCTAAATGACGACGAAATAAAGGGCCCCACTAAAAATCATTGTTTCATTAGCGTAATTACTGAAAAAACCTATCAAATGTGATCTGAATAATCACTCGAAAAAAAAGAAAATAAGCGACACATTTGAACTATTATTCATTTACAGTTGAAGAAATATATTTTTTTTTTGTTGTGCTTATTTTCGAAAACTTGCTGTAACTTGGCGATATAATCTAATTCATAGCTTTGTAAAACACCCTGTCATAACAGTGAAATTTGGTAATACCAAATTGTTTAGTTCAAATTAAAATTTTATTTTTGACATTTAAGTAACATATTATTGCTGGATATATAGTCAATCTTACATTAAAGTTTGAATTTGTGTAGAAGTTAACACTCATACAAGACATTATGCTTAAGAGATTTGTGCTTTTCAATCTGTAATTAAACATACAGATATAGAGCCAGTTATACCGTTGTTTTTGGACAGCATTAGAGCAACTACCTGAGTGTGTGGAGCATTTTCCTCTTCATGACCGGAGTATAGTAGCATCTCTCCCCTATTTAGCCTTTGTTGTCCAGCTAGGGTCCAATGAGTTTCGCTGATTCCCAGTACTGCCAAGTTGTATCTCCTCATTTCCGTTGCTATTTGACTGGTCTTCCCGGCCTCCCACATTGTTCGAACGTTCCATGTACCTATAAAAATTTTTGCTTTGGTTGTTAGAAGGGACATCGGCCTCGTGGCTTCCGAAGGAACTCGGCTTTCATCCTGAAGCGTCATAATTCTTCTAAATGAAGACCTAACTTTCAGGGCAGAGTTTAAATGGTTTGGATTATTTTTTCTGGTAAGCGTTTTTTTAGCGAGTTAGTTTTCTACGGGATGGGGACGCTAACCCCATGCACAACCCTCCTCTTTTACCCGGGCTTGGGACCGGCAGTAACTATGGAAGAGCTACAGGCCGGATACCATCAGCAACAGCCTTTTGTGGGAGAGAACAAACCAGCTTCCAGCTGAAGAGGAAGTTAGGAAAAGACGATGGAAATGGATAGGACATACACTACGCAAATCGTCAAACTGCATCACGAGACAAGCTTTAACTTGGAATCCTGAAGGAAGGCGGAAAAGAGAAAGGCCAAAGAACACATTACGTCGGGAAATAAAAACAGATATGAAAAGGATGAATAACAACTAGAAGGAGATGGAAAGGATTGTCCAGGACAGGGTTGGATGGAGAATGCTGGTGAGCGGCCTATGTTCCTTCACGAGGAGTAACAGGCTTAAGTAAGTAATACGTTGTTTTTATAAAATGTATGATATATATTATCAGAAATTTCATCATTAACTGACATTACCAATAAGAATCATAAAAAATAATCAAATATTGCGAACATTTATTGATGACATTACTGTTATCAACACAAGAAATTTCAATTTTTCCACGAGTTTTTTTAATTCTCTTATAGGAGTTGTCTATTTCTCTATCTGAGGTGAGAGCTGAACTATCACGAAGTTTACAGAAAGAAAAACGTCAATCTGAAATTATTAGCAGTCTTGAATATCAGTTTGCTGTAAGTGATTCTTTCATTAGTGCTTATTACTTCCATCTCCTTTCTCTACAGAAAAGGATTATTTGGTATATCATTACGTATAGCATGTTTGAGTAATCTTGAACTACAGATACATCACGTGTCACATTGAAAAAGTCAGTAAATCATAACATGAGTTGAAAATAATAATTACTAGTTCTGTTATGAAATACCAAACAGTAAAATATCATTGATTGGATAAAAGTCTTTAAAAGTATTTCAAGTTATCAGTAAAGTAATGAGATTGTGTGTGTCATTTTCAAAACTGTAAATTATGTTGTTAAAGACATCAAACACTAATAATTATGGATGAATAATGATACTCTCTTTACTACACTTTTAGATTTGTAAAAAAGATATATAGATTAAATAAAAAAATATTCGAGTTGAAAGCAAGCGCTGGCTGCGGCCAATGTACCTTGCTCCACAAGAGCAGGTGAACTGGTAGATACATATGGAGGTGATCAGACGCGGAAGCTTATGTTTTATGGATACAGAAAATAAGTTTCTACTAGTGAAGGTTATTCGCAGTTTTGCCGCGTTAAATGTTCTTCGAAGGGATCTGTTTTCAACGAATTTATTATCAAGCTGTACAATCGTATATATATGAAAATTTTGTTTTTGTAAAAGTACTAATTCCGTGTGGAAATGTGAACACAGTTAGTAAAAAAGGTTATAATACTAGATTACGTAATATGAATAATAACAATAACAATAGATTTAGTGAATATAATAAAATGATTAAAATGTTTTTGTCATAATAATTAATAGGTCATAGAGGTGTAAAAAATAAATAAGGTGATATGATGAGCATTTACGAATAAACCAATGAGAATATTAAGACATAAGTAAAGAGATCCCTTCGAAGAACATTTAACGCGGCAAAAGTGCGAATAACCTTCACTAGTATAAACTTATTTTCTGTATCCATAAAAAAAATATTCACATATGTTTACTTGAGTTTAAAAATTCTTTGTCTTTGTGACATAAAATAGTATAACTCATCCCAACTTATCCAGTAATTTAAACAGGTTTCGGACTATAGGTTTAACTATTGCCATAACTGATTACATTGTCTATATGTTCTCATTATCTTTGTCATCCTGACTACTTATAGCTTCCTAGTGTTTTTAGTTTCTTGCTTTGGTACAGTAGGATTATTCAAACAGTACAAGCTTGTTTTATAATAAATGAATAACCCCACAAATCTTATGATCTACCTCAGTATTACTCACCTCAACAATTGTCAGCTTTCGTTAGACCCTAAACAGTTTTACTCTGCTTGAATACATTTCTATTTACCTCAGTGTTTTTATATCCTTGTCTAATTAGGAATTGAATGTACAAAAACAATGCCTACTTGATAATGCTAATCAATCGAAATTAGCTTATGAAACAGCTTCTAGTGAATTAAGAGCACAAGTGGTAAATTTATCCAATGATTTAATACGTGTTACTACTGAATTAAATAATACTGAACAAAAAGTTTATGAATTAACATACCAACTAGAATCTACAACAAAATCATCCAGTAATAATAATGATTTAAATGGTGAACCAATCATAATTAATATTAAATCAGACGAAACATGCATTAATAAACAAGATGAAGAACATGAAAACGAATTATTACATATTAGTAATAATCATATTTATGAAGATTTACGTAATCGATTATCCGAAGTTGAAACTAATTTCAATGTTGCTGAAAAAGAACGTGCCAAATTTTACAATCTTTATCAATCTGCATTAAATGAAGTGGATCATTACAAGGTAAAAAGTTCCATTGTTTCGTTTATCTTACATAGTATTCGTTGAATGATGAGGCAATTTACATGTTAAATATAAACAAAAGACTTTGAATCTTTGAGTGAATTAGAAAATTTCTCACTCCTCCTCAGTGGTCTAAAGGTTAAGCGTTTGCTCACGAGATCGACCGTCCTGGGTTCGAGTCCTGTGTGCGGGGTTGTGGATGTGCACTGCTGAAGAGTCTCGTACTAGGAAGAAACGACCTCCCAGTGCTTCCAGGCTTTCAATGGTAGTCTAACTTAGATCAGTCCGTGATTTTAATGAAATTCAACAATCTCCACAACCTCATACTGACAAGTAAAATAAATTAGTTCGCTTGAGTAATTCTTTTCAAGGTTCTTTAATCGAACTTTGAAAAGCATTTTATCGAACATTTTGTAAGTTGTCACTTATTCAACCATGTTTATATATTGATTATGTTTTTAATGTGATTACAAGTCATATGTTAACATGCGTATTATATTTGAGTAAGAATATACACGACAGTAAAGTGGATATATTCATCTCAGTCATCATGTATGTTGCTCGTCTGTGTTCATCAAACTAAATGGAGCTGGACCAGCGTTGATTTGTTTTTGAAGTACTATCATCTGTAAACCTCTTGAGCTGAATAATTGTTTTCAAGTCTGTATTGCAAATTGTGGCAAGTATAGTTGAAAAAGCCATCCAAAATAGTAATTTCCTTCAGTCTGTTATTTTTGAAAATGTTAATTCATGTTTTATAAGTTACTTTCAAGATATATAATTTCTTGAGGCTATCGTTAAGGATGGCTTCCTCAATTCCCTGTCTGGATTACCAACGTCATCCTCAGTAGGTATGTGTATCATCTCTAAGCTCTTAGTAATCAGTTGATCTTCGATAGAGTGGGAGATTGACCTGATCTCCGTCTAGCCTCTTGCCTTGGCTCATGAGACTAGATCCCACTATCTAGGAGGCACGACTTGGATGTACGAGTCGGACTCCACCTTTATGTAGTAATAACAATTACACTGTTTTCATTCAGATTTACATTCTAAATTTACTTAATTTTTTGAAAACTTCACACTAATATTGGGCTAACGCACATTTACACCAATCTCTACATCGGTTATGACTGACTGACATTGGTTTGCATTTAGTTATCACTTCTAATCCATTATAAATAACCTATTATTACACAGTTGTCTTGTTGAATATACCATCTTTTTAATTACCAACTCATTTACCTGGAACAAGTTCGTGTACTTGGCTTCATAGCCAGTGGGACTACCTGGCTATCCTAACTGAAGTAGATGGAGCGGGATTCATGTCACTGAATTTGTCGCCTAGGATTTAACTCGGGACCTCACTCATACGAAGCAAGCAGTCTTACCACTCTAGTCTCTAACTAGATTAATGTTTCAGTTAATTGTATTATGTTCTTCTTGACTAAAACAGCTTCCCAAATTGGTGGTCTGATTGATATATACGGACTAAAATGTATCTTGGATTTCTCATCATTAGCAACTTTCGAATTTACGAATTCGTAACATAGGACAGGTGTTTTTTTTCATTTCTAACTTGTTTCATATTCTTATTGACTTTTAGTCAACTTTAATACAAACCGAAGAAGTTTTAGCGAAACTAGAAGAGTCTGTTAAACAGACAGAAAGTAAATGGCGTCAACTTTTATCAGAAAGTGAATTCGAACAGATTCAACTTCGTAAACAGTTATCAGAATCTCAATCAATGTTGAAAGATGTAAGTTTAATTCAGTTAGTTGTTTACACTAAAACAAATTATTCTGTAAATTTCTAAATACTTCTCGTTTTATGTTCCATCTGTCTATTTATGCACCCGAATTAAATACTCAAGTGTCTGTTATAGCAGTTATTGTAACTCGGTTTTATGGGGCATTTAACAATCTATCTAATTCACATAGACCAGCTTGTCCAACTATGTGTTGGCGAATAAACAGCATTTCACAGCTTATCTGAACCCTACACTGTTTACTTTTTCATGTAATTATGTTTTATCAGTCAGAATACTATTCCCACATGAAACTGAGAAAGAGGAATTACGTTGTCGTCATTCATGATAAGCACCTTGCAATGATAAAATTAGTTGTTTCAGTTGTAATGAAAATACTCACTCATCTAATCTACTTACTAAATAGAATTATCTTCCAACTGCTCACAATGCACTTACATATGTTTAAGTCTAAACAGTAGACAAATAAGTATATTTGTTTGTATTTTTGATAATGTTTTGTAAAATATGCTGTCTTAAATTGGTAGATGGATGTGAAATGCATTTATGACAAGCTGATTATATACTAAATTGTCAATATCTTTTTCATGGTGTGTTTGGAAATCAGCAGTTATATAGTCAGTGTAAGAGTGATCATAGTAAACAATCTCATATTCATATGGATACAATAATATTGTTAGGCTTTTGTTAATTTCCACCAATTGTAGCACAAGTAATATGTTCACCTGCTTACTAAAGTGTGAGTAAATTGTCCCGAAATTCTCTATATGTTACTTTATGACTGTGAAACATAGTATACTAAATTTAAAGATTCGCTTTGATTGTCAGTATTCGACCACAGATTTCTTCACAGCCATATAGGGATATGGTGGATTAATGAAAATTAGTTGTTGGGGACCATTTAGAGATAGTAAATTGGTCAATGAGGCTGTAAACCTTCATATAATAAGGTGGATGGTACTTATGTTGTACGTGCTCAACCGTCTCCAACACTAATTTGTTTAATATCAACTAACAATCATATTATTCGTCCTAAATATATTTCCTGGTTGTTGGTTTAAATAGGCTAATATGTCCTGTAAACTATGGCATAAAATAAAGATCTATGCTTTCCTTATATAAACAGATATAAATAAATAGCCATTTCCTTCAAAAAAGACCATAGAGCTGTATTATTTTTCTGTTGAAAAAAAAGAGAATTACCACATTCCGATAAGAAATTTAACGGGTATTTAAAAGCGAAATTCTTGTCTTATTGAACAGAATAACAAACAACACTCAAACCACTAATCTAAAAATAATAATAAAACTAATGCCAAGAAATCCTTTCATTACTTATGACAGTACATTTGAATCCTATCATAATGGTATCAACCACTTACTTTATGCTCACCATGCAGTATATACGTGCATGGTCCTACATTGTAGCTGACTGACTTATAGAAATAAGTTATTCATTTTCTTGTTGTTTTTGTGTTATCTTAATAATTAGATCACAGGAAAACTGAATCAAGCCGATGAAGGAGTACCTGCACTAAAGATTTGTAATGTTGGAAAGAGGCAAAAAAAGTCAAAAACACGTAAACCGGTAAGTTCATCATTATTTTAGTAGTAATAATATTAATCTTGGTTACATACATTTTCTTTTTACCCCAACTTGTCGTACACAAAACCTGTATGTCTTAGACCATTTTGAAACTCAATTTTACTGTGTATCAATGTTTCCAATTAATAAAGGTAAATGGTACGACTCGATTATCAGTCCTAACTACTGGCTAACATTGTACTATAGAACTGCCTGGTATCATATTATCACTACTATCAACTCATTACCATATATAAATCCATGTGCTTTCTGTAAACCAGACTCTAAATATGAAGGTTATTGATATAGACTATTCGATTTCCGAAACCGAAATAGGGGAACGGAGTTCAAACCTGTCACTTAGTGGCTAGAATTTCGAACAAAACCATGAAGCTACCATTCTACTTGAATCGAAATAATTCCGGAACTGTAAGGAATCTTTTTAGTTTCATAGCACCAAATAATAATATGATTGCTGACTGTTACTATTATTATAATTATCTCACAAATAAACCTTTGTTACCACTTGCAAATTCGTTACTATTTTCGCCCTCAACATCTATTAACGTATCATAGTCCATTAATTGATAAATTCTTTACTTTTTAACTCATTAATCCCCACATTCTTTTTGAATAAACTTAAATTTCTATCAAAGTAAAAAAAACTTCATCTAATTACCAAGATTTTGTAAGAGCAGCGAATTAGCGTATAATTCCCATGAAACATCTCAATAATAAAAATTACCTTAGAGCAATTCGCAAACGCTTTATTAATTTTTGATCACTTTACACTTGTTCTGTGCATACCGGTTAAGGCGTCTGATTCGAACATCACTCCACCTATTTCAGTTTGAGAAACCGAAGTATCTGGTTAATAATTCAATCGATTCATTTGTTGTTTTTTTATCTATGCTTTTCGATCTCACTTCCCTATTTCATCTCCATTTTGTTTTTCTAGGCAGACTCATCTAATGTGTTTACAGTAGTTGGATTAAATACAGAAAAAACTTTAGAGAATATTCATCCTATCGAACAGAGAATATAAATATTTATGATTAAAAAAGCATTTTTAATAACTAGTTGAGCATGTCAAACTCCATGATTTCATTACATTTACATATTTGCATACTTTCTGTTATTATATTAATATTATCCGTGTAGATTCATTCTGCATATACTTATATTGATATGCTTGAAGGCGGTTGTGTGTTCATGTAGCTCTTTGCATTGTTTCGCTTTTTTGCTTCCTTTCTTACTTACTATTTTGAACACTATTTTTTGTTTTCTCTCTCTCGCGTCACTTTCATGTGTTATTGAACTTTATCAGGTCAGTATTATTTATTTTAACGTTTTGTTTTCATGAATAAAATCATTACACAAAAATGCATTGTTTTGTGGTTATTTGTGTGTTAAATAATTTATTGAACGTCTTGTCAAATAATCCAAGTTTTTCTATGCCGGATTGAAGGTTTAGTGTTAGTTACTGTGTGTATTGGTAGGTGGAAAGTTCTTGATCAATAATTTGTTCCCTCTAGAGGAGAATCAGTATTGTTATATCATATAGCCCGTCAACTATCGCATGATAAGAACACCGACTTATACGACTTTGGCCTTGTGTCAAACCAATACAAGCAGCCTAGAATCAACTTTGAGTCCTTCTTGGTTCTTCTCACCTAGCCCTGTTTGTTGAGTTCAGAACAAAATCTCAGCTACCACTATATGAATCATGTATTTCAGACATACACAGTTTATGTATAAGCAAATCAGACCCTATCACACCACAAAATAGAAAATAACAATTATACACGATTACGCCCAAAGTGTCTGTGAGTGTGAGAGACTGTAATTAATAAATCGGGAGTAAGTGAAGATTGGTAAATCGTATCGCAATAGCCAATAGGACAAACGAAAGGAATAAGAATATATATATATATATATATATATATATATATATATATATATATAGTTAATAATTATCCAGTTGGAATATATGCAATGGTAGTCTATTTATAATTCCTAACAGTTATTCTTCATTGAGATATATCAGGTTTCCTATCGATTTTTAGAAGATGAATGAAGTAAATATCCAATGCTTTCCTAACTCATATCAATTTGTGATTTAACCTACTTCTAATTATAAAAAGAATCAGGGAACATTCAGTAAAGGTGGTTGTCAAAATCCTTCTATTCAGGCTAATTTTTACATATCACACTATCATACCAACATTGAATGTGTTTATGTTAAATAAAGTATTGAAATAGGGAAAATATAAACACCTGGTTTCAAGAAAAAAGAATAATTTATCTCCTTTTTGTTTTAATCATTAGAATGTTGTTGTTTTTCTCTTTTTATAATAGAAGTAAAATGTTTTATGACATGAACACATTTTTATAGGAATAACTATTTACAATTTTCACTGTTATCATCACCCATCTCCTCTTTTGTTTTCTTGTATCATTCTCATGTGATCAAATTTTCTTTTACATATTTCACAAGGTTATTTCTAAGTTTCTTTCTAATCTTATAACATTGTATCTATATAAACTGTTAAAAGAATAATTGACTATTTAAGAAATAAGATTTACTGAAATCTCTGAATAGTTTCACTTACTTGTCCTTCATTTAAAACAAAAACAATTTTAAGTAAAGTTATTGTGTCACAATGTTGTTTGAACTATTAACGAATCAATCATAGCAATTGTAGAAACATATTTTACAAATCTCTACTGGTAAATTCTTTTACTGTAATTATTTATAGATTATCTAATTGTCATTTAGCGTCCTTTTTAAACAAATTCAGTGTATGTAGTAAAATAACTGTATGATTTGTTTCAGATCATCAAGAAGAATAAACGTAAGATAAGAAATTTTCGAGATTATAAGATTCGTTATGTTCTTACTATGTACGAAGAAAACCTATTGAAGTACTATACGAGTGATAGATCCCAAGTGCTCTATATATCTATGTGCGATATGATTTATAAATTTTCATATACGGTTGTTAATCGATAGGTCTTTTGGTCTGAACCCCATCTTATCCATTTACTTCTGGTCAGCTGAAATGTATCAGTAGTCTTTACACAAACCATTGTAGATGAAAGCTCGGTACAGAATACGTGGACTTGATGAATGAATTGCATTATTAAAATCTATCAATGTGGTAACTATTATGATAAAATAATCAAGTTGATAATTTACACAAAACCAATATTTGAACACAATACGAAAAAAGCAGAAACACTGGCCAACAGATAGAATATTAAAGAAATCTACTGTTTGTCCATATATTATTTAACCAAGATAGTATGACTGTCAGTGATTATTCCGATATCAACCGAATAATCAAAAATGAAGTTTTAAATTATTGATTAAGCTTTACAGGGCTGCATATTCGATATAATTTAATAGACCTGAAACAGTTACGATGGGAATTATTAACCAATATTTATAATTTACTGTTGGTAGATGAGTGAATGCAAGCTGAAGGAAAATCTTCGATGCAACGGACAACCATGAGACAAATTAATTCTGCATTATTACGTAGTAGTTTGGTTAAAAAATTATTTTTAATTCGTAAACTTATTCATCGGTTTATTTAAGCAAATCTTATTTGCTGTACAAATAATCCACCTTCATGAATATATACCATATAATAAATATTTACAAACTAGTCAGTCAGTCAGCAACAATGTAGAACTTTGTACGTACGTACATCAGTTCGAGTTACCGTACCACATTAGCACAGAGATGCAGTTGTCGATTCAAATCCCATAGTGGTAGAGATAGTATCAGTCACCAAGCTGTGAAGTTTAAACAGTAATTCATAAAATGGTTTGTATATAGTTATATTACACATAATAGCATAGTTTAAACGTACACTTATTATAACTATAGATTTCTAAAAACATTGACGTTATTAGAACGTGATAAAACATTTCATGTTTTAATTCTATGCGATTCTAGTTGATTGGTACATCCGTTTTCAATTCAATGTGTTATTTATTCATCATAATACACGTTTTATTTCGGTGTGAAATTTATTCGGTATAATATTCCTCGTATTAATTTAGTGTACAGTTTATTCAATATAAAATACAGTATACATTTTGTATTGATTCTGTATTAATCCTTTTTGTATTTCCCCTATTTCAGTCATGTGTTATTGATCGAATACCATTAAAACTAATACATAAATAAGTGCATTTAGTTTAAGTAGTTATTGTGTTTTGGAAGGATGATTAAAATTTTTACCCCTCATCATCAGTCTTTTTTTTCTTTCTTTGGATGGTACGAATCTTTTAGTTTTTCCTGTTTCAAGTTTCAATTTCTATGGGGAAATTCCACTCTGCCCCTTGAAATGCCCTCAAATAGTCACACGTATATAGCCACTGTCAAGGAAGTCCTACTCACTGTCTTCTAGTAGCAACAATTAAGTTTCAAATGTTACACAGCAGCACAAAGAGGAAACGATCTAGAAAATACAAATATATTTTTATGTGATAAGTTGTACACGTATTTAGTTAGCTTATTCAGTGAATGAAAATGTTAGCTTCAACAGTATTTAAAGGTCGTCTCAAATTTTTTTCAGATCGGCATGAGTAACTGTTATAAATAACCACAACAACAGTTAATATAGGTACATGAAATGTCCGAACAGTGTGGGAGACCTGGAGGACCAATCAAATAGCTACGGAAATGAGGACATACAACTTGTGGTTCTCGGAATCAGTGAAACCCATTGAACACAAGCTGGACAGAAAAGGATAGATTCGGTAGAGATATCACTGTACTTTGGTTACGAAGAGGAAAATGTTCCTCGCACTCAGGAAGTTGCTCTGATGCTATCCAAAGAAGCACAAAATACACCTAGTATGGGAATCTCATGGACCCAGAATTATCAAAGCATCCTTCAAAACAATGAAGGAAGGAATTACAATGAATGTTATTTAATATTATAGAGAAGTGCTCAGGAAAGGACCTGACCATCCTAATGGAAGACCTAGAAGCCAAAGTTGGAATGGACAACACCGGATATGAGGATATCATGAGACGACATGGACTGAGTGGGAGAAAGAAACGAGAATGGTGACATTTGCAAATTTATGTGCATTCAGCAAAATGGTTATAAGTGGCAGAATATTCCCACACAAATTACATGGGTCTCATCGGATTACACTGCACAGAACCAGATCGTTAATATTTGCATCACTAAAACATTTACAATGCCGATGGAAGACGTGAGAACCAAGAGAGGAGTTGACACAGCTTCAGATCACCACTTGTGTTATATCCTAGTGAAGATTACATTACGAGTAACGTCTGAGACCTATTAATGGACTAATAGTATTTATATATTCTTATGGTATAAATATTCAGTAACTAGATTATGTATATCTATATTCCCCTTGTTATAAGCTTTATTTTGACCTACATATTATTATTGTACGATTTACTATTCTTAAGCTATGTTCAGTTTATTGACTACTGCCTCCCACGTTCACAGCCACTTTTTGGCTTTATTGTGTACAAATGTTATTCCCTATTTTATGGTGCGTTGCGGTCTGTTTGTTTGGTATATAAACCCAGTATGTCTGAAATAAATGCTTCGATTCGCATAGTGGAGGCTGTTATTGGCATTCTGGACTCAGCCGGACAGGCTAGGCGAGCAACGGACCAATAGGATGCTGGGCTGATGAAACCGGTCGAACGTCATTGGTTTAGTACAGTATAAGAGCGAATAAGTGTTATTTTAATTGGCGAGTAGATTACGTGATAACAAGCGACTGATAAATTCACAACAACTTGGTTGTAGCCAACATGAAACAGAAGCTAAAGAAGCACTGGACAACTGGGGAAACAGCATTACAAAAGTTCAATAAAGCCCACATTCAAGATACTGATAAATTTAACTAGTTCAAGATTACTCACATCAACAGATTCGAAGCCTCACTAGATCTACTCAAGGAAGAAGAAAGTACTATGGCAGACAATTTGAAAAGGATCAAAGAAGCAATTACAATGAGGAAAGGATTTTAAAAAACATCTACGATTTAGAAAAAGAATTATAATATGGATTTCTTAAAGATATTTTAATTAGATACTATCTATTAGTGAATTCTTTTCTCAAGTATTCATATATATATATATATATATATATATATATATATATTGATAGATTTGAATGAACTTAAGATTCTTTTCAATTATTCAAGTTCCACGAATCAATTCAAAGATAGTTACCCTTTTGTCTTTTAAAAAAATCATTTATTATGTGATTAATAAATGTCAATCAATTAATATACATTATATTTATTAAAAAATTTTCCAGAATAAATAAATAAAAATTAAATTTTTATATTTTTCGGAAAAAATAATTC